TGCACACTGTCTACCGTTTCCATGTTATGTTGTAGTAACAGTTTTTCTTTTTCAATGAAACCAAAGAAATAGTATTTGAAGTAAGTACTAATCTATCACCCATCTCGTATTTATTTTCTCCAGCAGAAGGATCTAGAACCCTTGGTGTCAGATAAACCAATCATTGTCCTGTCCTCAAAAACAGGATGAAGATGTTTCTGTTCATTTTCTGTCATACAGGACTGTTTTTGTGAATTACGTCAATTGGAAGAAAGTCGAGGTGATTCCTGATCATCATCCGATTACAGATAAGGTGAAAAAGGTATCCTTAGTCGTTGATGGTGTTTTTCTTGAAACTCATCCTTTTGTTATTGCACTTCCTGAAGTTCACCAGCAGCTGGTGCTGTTTGACCACAGGAAGAATAACTGTAGTGGATTGTTTGCTGGTGGAAATGATTTAGAGAGGTCTAAATCTGAAACACTAATTTAAAAATGCAGCTTTTTATTGTCATTGTCACAAAATGTTTTATATTCATAGTTTACAGATCAGCAGCTTTGTTCATAGATTGTTCAGCAGTTGTGAAATTTGAGTTGAAAGGAGTCCTGACTGGACCCTTTCAGCTCAAATTACAGAAATATTCAGTTTTTACTCACAATAAGACAAAATATTGCGAACATTCATATTTGATCAAATTAACAAGGAAAGTAATCAAAAGTTGTGCGTCAGAGATTACATAACCCCGTTTATCATGGTTTCGGCAGAATTAACTGTTTCATCTCTACAATTTTGAGATGTCATAGTCAAAATTGAAGCTTGCCCCTCAGAGGGACTGAGTGATAAAAAGGTTTCATCATAAATCAGAAATAGACTCCATCCATCCTGCCCAGGTGCTCTTGAGTCAAACAGCTAATCCTTATCAGGCTGCAGCTCTAAGTGTAGTGACCTCTGACCTCTGTTTTTCTGGATTCTTTGAGCTGATTTTGTACAGACGCCCCTCTGACTCTCTCATTCTGTCCCTTATTTTGTCATCTGTGTTGTTTTGCTGCTGTGTTTGTCTTAAAGTGTACTTTTTGACACGTGTATGCTGTTCATTGTTGGGTTACATAAAGCCATAAGCTTGTGTTAATCTCTCACCTTGTAGTTCCACTCATGCCTCTGCTGCTGCAGTGGGAGATAAGTTGTTCCCTTAGTCTCCTGCAGCTTTTAATCAGTTTCTATTTATTCCATTAACTGTTTCTTACAGAAAACAGGAGCATCGCAGTGTCTGTTTGTGCTGAAACTTTAAAGCTGGCGGAGGCAAAACCTAAAACAGTAGCTCGAGCCAGCAGAAGACCTAAAGGTTTCAGTTTCACACTACAAAGGCAAAGGCTGTGTTTCATCTGCTGCGATTTTGAAAGCCTCAGATTGAAGTCTGACTTTCTTTATAGCTGAAAAGAAAGCAAATCACATCTTTTGGACCTAGACATGACATAATTTATTCACAAAAGAATAAAGCCACTGTAACACTGAGAGGCAACAAGTGTTTTCTGACTTCTGAGCCTGTCTCATGTCATATCCCTAAGAAGAGATTGTTTCAGCAGACAATGTCATTGTTCAGAGCCTCTAAAAACTGGACACATTTAGATAAGAAAAATAAAGTAAAACCAAAAGTATATCTTTGCCATAACTAATGTTCAGCACTTTAAAAAACTCAGCCTTTCAGCTTCCTGCAGACTTTGAGACTGACTGACCACATTTATGTAGTGAAAGCACTGTCTGCAGTTTCTCATTAAGAAAATACAAAAAGAAAATATTTTGTGCTCAAAAATGAACTTCCAGCAGCACAACTAACATATCTGCAAATGCAACTGACCTGCTCTGCAAAAAGGTATGTACTGCAATCAACATAAAGGTACTCCATTCATAAAAGTTCCTGTGAGGAATGTTCAGTTTGCGCAAAGTCTAGCGCCCCCTGTGGACAAAGCTGTCTTTTCTTATGCTTAAGTGGTGTCGGCAGGGCAGTTTTAAGAGGGTTAATGCATTTTTTCAGACTCTCTTTTTCCTGTCTGATATCTCTAAAAGCTTTACGTTGAGCTTCAGATTTTTAAAAAAAGCCTTAAATTTCTCACGGTTGTGTAATAAAATATATTTATTGAAGCCATCGTCTGAAACGCTTCGTTTTAGCCACTGTCTCTTCAAGCTCGAGGGCAGAGCTCTATGTTTTGGCTTCACTCTCTCACTGTAGTCGATCGGTTGAGCAGCAGAGCAGCGTTATCCCATATATATATATATATATATATAGCCTATAATTTCAGTTAGAATTTTAGTAAATCTTGCACATAAACTACGGTCTCACATTTACCCGCATTTGTCTGAGAGATGAGCAGTTTACATCTATTTTCTAAGATCATGACAAAACATGATTACCTTGTGGTTTGAAACTTTGCATACATGTAGTATGGATACCAAACTTTGTATCTAGTTTTTGATGTAAATTTTGAAAAGCATGACACCCCTCCTTTTGTGGTTGGTCCCCTACGATCTTGTGGCGTTAATTACCATAAAGATGCATCAGTCTGAATTTCATCCTGCCTCATAAAAGTACAAAAAACTCCTCACAGGAGCTTTAATGCTCATGCATGTAATTGTTGTTTCAACATGTTTTGGACCTGTTTGATAAGGGACACCTCTTCCTTCAGGGGGTAGAAAGTATTGAGAGCTTTTACAAATTGGTACATGTTAGAGGTATTATTTTTCTGGCTTGTTTACCTGAATAATGGCCCAATTTTTTTGTGTGCGTATTGGATCCCGTCCTTCTACAAGTGCTCCTTCAGAAGTAAAGGCTGGTTATTCAACTTTGATGGTTTGAGGGATCAAAACATTCAGGTCTTTTACCTTCAGGCAGTTTTGACCTATTTTTGCACCCCTCCTTGTTTTCTTTCATCATTTTAATACCAGCTGTGTGTTGTATGAGCTAATTATAGCTGCCACTGTGTATTACCCTCATCTTGCCCTGGCTGTATAGAAACCCAATGAGATCAAGTAAGGTGATACTCTGCCCTTGGATACCCTTTATGCAATGGCGTGCAATTCAACAGGCGTGAGCAGCACACAGGAATAAACAGGATTTGAACCTCAGCTGATCCAGTTTTTAATTTCCACTCTAACACATAAGCAAACGCCCACTCTGTAACACTTGAAAACAAAGAGATCTCCAAGTCAAACAACATAAAAGTAACATGGCTGAATACATTTCATTTGTTTTCACTTAAGAGGAGTCACCTGCTGTTTGTTTCTTTTGCAGAGATGTTTCACTCTTCCAGGTTTCCATTGGAAGTTTATGCACAGAAAAAATACATCAAAAGCGCCGCTGCACTTACTCAGGGTGGTGCCAGTTTAGGCAAGCCACCTTATTGATTTTACCGGTGATTTACCTTAGTTATATGTACTGTCTCTCATCCTGCCTCTGTTCTGTTCTGGGGTCTTTGCTGCTACTCTGCCTGCCTTGGCTTTGCATGCATGCACATGAAAGAGGGGAGAGAAGGGGAGTGGAGGGGAGGGTTGCTCTCCCTGCCTCAGTCAGGCTTTGGCATGTGGAAGGGCAGGGAACTCTAAAAACAGAGTCATGTCACTAAATATAACTAATGCATTAAAAGACATAACCTCCTTGGCGGAGGTAGTGTCTCTTTTGTTGTGGATGCAGTGCCACCAACCTATCAATGTATTTTTTTTTACCATAGATAAGAGGACTACTCTGTCCTCAGGGGATCCTTCAGGGTTAGGGTTATGTAATTGTAATTAATTCACAGTCCAAGTTATATTAAATGTTTACCTTATTAAATGGTCACACTCATACAGTCATGCTAACACAACCTAACATTGTTAACATCAACAACATCATGTCTCTTCAGAGGCAAAACAGCAGAAAGTCGAGGTAAAAGAAAAACACACAGGTATATATATATATATATATATATATATATATATATATATATAAGTGCTTTTTAACACCTAATTGTATTTGCTGGCATTAAAGACAAAGTTCTCAACTGAGTTTTGCTGAAAAAAGTTCCCTGTGTGAAAGTAATTGTAGATAATTGTACTTTGTGGCGAGACAAATGTTCATATTGTACTAAATATTAACCATGGTACCATGGAAAGACCAAAAGTAAAGTTCAATTTTTACTTTATGACACCTTCCCTTGAATCAAGAGATGATGAAGTAGTGAGTCTGTGTTGTTTTAGAGAGCAGCAGTGGTGTTGTAAACTAAAAAAACATTTGTCAGTGGGAAAACAGAGAGTGTCTGCCATGTTTTACATTCCGACTTGCCAATAAAAACAGAGCAAACATGAGGAGTGTCCATCTTAATTTTAATGACATGAAATTGTTTATAGTGTCTCTGACAGCGCCTGTCAGAGTGTTTAAAAGTCATCACTTTAGGGTGTGATGGTTTCTCAGTTATTTTTTATTCAACAATGAAAGTGATGATTGATGGAAAAAAAAATGTCAGTCTATTTCAAGAAAATAAATCTACAACAATTTTATGAGTTGAGAAATAAACGGTGTGAAGGAGCAGCAAGAAGCAGCAAAACACCCTGTTAATAGAAAGAGCATGAGTGGCTCATTTCTCCACTTTAAACAGATTCCTTCCTCTTGACATCAATCTGCTGGTGTGTTTTCATCATGAAAACATAATTCTCGTACTGAATGATGATCATTGTGTTGTCATATTTTCTCTGTGTTGTTTTGCAGCAGTCAAGTGGAGCTTGCACATCATTTGAATAGTAATATTTTGCAGTCAAACACATCCTAGTGTTGACCATAGGAGTGGCAACAACAACAACATTCAAAGTACTGTTATTATCAGTGTCAGTGTACGACATTGATTATACCAACACCTATAAACTTTTATTATTATTATTGTCATCATTATTATTATTGAAACATCATTGCCTTCCCCTTTAAATAAGATCATCCTCCCTCTACTTTGTATACCACCACCAAGGATCCGCCCCTTTATGCAAATAAGCCCTGACGTCGACGGAAGCCAGCGCAACGTCTCTTCTTCCGACAGATATTCCTTTAAAGGCGTATTTAAAGCCCTGGCTTCAGTTGCAGCGGCAGCGCACAACCTATGCAACAAAAGCTGCAGCGGAGCAGAAAGACCGTCCGACCCCTGGAGCGGACACGAACACGGAGCCGGCGGCTGACACGACCCGGTAAGGTGAGCACGGTGTCCGGGCTGAAACCCACCAGCGACGGAGGACAGAGCGCGGATGTTCGAGCTCTTCTGTCCGCCGCTGGGACTCGGCTCCGGCGCACAGTTTCACAGCATCTCAGGTTGCTGCTGCATAGAGAGGAGGAGGAGGAGGAGGAGGCATGTACAGTAGTTTCTGTAGGCCTGTTAGAAAAACAAAAAGAGAAGAGAGGCTGCAGCTGACAGCCTGCCGGGGCTCAGGCTGCATGATTGGGCTGCTCTCATTGGAAAGTGGTGTTTCATTAATACCGCTCCACTGTTTTTGATGGTAATCAGGTGTGTTAAATGAAAAGAGTTGCAGATTAGACATTGTGAAGCTACATTACAAGTTAATTAACCTAATTCAGCCTAAATTAGCTCAGTAGCTTTATAATAAACCAGAAAGGAGACGGTTATTATGATGAGGATCACACCTGTAAGTGTATGAGGATCAAAACTAACACTGTGACAGGTGTGTTTGGGCTTGCCAGTAAGACATTAAATTCATTAGGATGAGTTTACTGTTTTTTTACTATTTGTTCATGTTTTTATTGATTTGTTTATGAGGCTGTTTACATGAGGGTCTCTGATAAAGCATCAGATATAAAAATCTGATGCTTTATTATTGTTATTACATGTCACCTGTTGTGAGTGTAACACCAAGCAGTTTGTGTTAGGGTGAAATAAAAGGGAGTCAATGACAATATAGTCCATCTGTTGATCACAAAAGGTATTAAAGTACCTCCAAACTCCACTCCCAGCATCTAAACTTCACTCATTTTGACTGTTTTTTGAGCAAATTGAACATCCATTAACTATTGGCTGTTGTCTGAACAAATATAAACCAATGTGAGATGTCTCTGTTGTCTCTGGCAGTATAGTACGGCTACTTTGCACATGTCACATTGAGCTCTGTAGACTTGCACAATAAAATAAGTACTTGGCATGAATTCTGGTGCTGCTGCAGCTGTCGAAACACATGCATGACTTGTTTTTTATGAAGCTTAGACAATCTGTTTTTGTTTTTCTACCTGGTGTGTTTAATATGTCAAACACATGTCTGTCATTTTGCATCCAACTCTAGTTAAAGCGCATCTGTGTTGGACTGCTACAGCTCCATGAAATAGCGGGTGCACAGTCACAGTGATGTAAGACTGTAAAGCGTTTTTCCAGTTTGTTTTCTGTCTTTTAGCCCTCTTGATCGTTTATCCTGCAGTTGTGCAGATTTGCTGTCTCATCAGTTGCCGTATTGACTGAATGTACAGCTTAACGTGATGCACTGTTTGTGTGTTTGTGTGCACTGTGCTGATTTGATGGTATGCATGCTAATAGCAGGTGTAAACAGGCTTGTTTCCTTTGTGTGCTTTTCAGAAAACGACTGCAGGGCCTGAGATTGCAGCCTGGACCAAACAGAAACGTCTCAACGACATTTATGAAGCTTTCAAGGCCTTTTGGTGAGTCTCAGACTTACACACTGAAAAAAACTAAAGAGAGAGTGATCACTTCTGTCTTTGCCTGCCCATAAGAGGCTTTTCTGTCTGCATAAAGATTACAAACACAACTCAAATACAGCGTGTCATGCACACTCAACAGTTTTGCTTTAAAACTTCTTCTTTAAAAGAAATCTGTCCCTATGTGTCAGCGTCTCGCTCTCTTCATCACGTGACCTGGTTTCAGTTTGCACGGCTGAGACCAGCCGATTCAGCTGAAGTGAAAGCAATCGACTTCCTCTTGATGAAATGTTTGCTGACTATCAACTGGTGCTGAGTCAGCATCATGTTATTATCTACATGCACACTCGCACGCAGGCACGCACACTCACACGCACAGTTCACCACATCAGATGCAACCAGACGACTGTGGTCACATGCAGACAGTCACATGAAGACCGGCTCGTGCTTATACATGTACACCCTAACACAGATGTTAAGTAAACAGATCATACATCCAGAGATGACTTATCCACCCATATACAAATATTTAAAGACTTAACATGCAAAACTGGATTATATATCCACAGACAACATGTAAAATGTCAGGGGGAGTTATTTAAGCATCATCAAAGATACGTCCGACAGCTAAAACGCAAATGCAAAGCAGCTTTAATGAAGCACCGTTTTAAGGGGGAAAACATGTGAACCAAGGTTGAAATATGTCACAAATCTACTTGAGTGTGTTTCAAGACTACTGAAGCAAGCCAAAACCAGTATATCCACCACCACAACCCAGGTAGGAGTGTCAGTGGAAGCTAATGCAAATGAGGGTTTCACATTTTAAAGAGGTTTTGGGTGCCTATCAAACAACATGATGCTTCCATAAAAGTCTGTTGCTGCAGAAAATCCACCAAAACACGTCAAAGCAACCACATGCACCTGTGCTGATAATAAAGCCAAACTTAAATGCTTAATGCAATTTTATGAGGATTCACACCCTCTGCTTTTTTTTTGTTGTTTTTTTTTCAAATGAGGTGTAGAAACCACAGCTGCTCTCTGGACCAGACTGTAAACAAACAGTGGAATTGGATACGCCTGCTTTCCTGCAAGAATTTAAAGTTTGATCTACAAAAAAAAAAGTTATTTTTCGGTTAATTTACTGCCCCTCTTTCATCTCCTCTTTGTATGTTTACCTTAGTCTGTCTATCATACATACACACACACAAAAACACACACAGGGCTGATCTGGCTTTGTATCCTGGATCCTGATCCTGTGTGTAGATAACCCACTTCCTAGGGAAAGAAAAAAGGGAGCCAGTATGTTTTCCCACCTCTGCTTGGACCGCAAGATTGTGTGTTTGTGTGTGTTTGTCTGTGTGTGTGTTTGTAGTCTCACTTACATCGCTGCCATCAATAGCCTACCTTATCTCTACCAGATCTTACACACACAAACACACAGACACACACAGACACACTTGTTGCAGCTATGAATGCTGTGTGTTGTAGGAGTCTTGGGGAGTATTGCACAAATACAGGATTAAGCTGCGATATGTTAGTTATTCTGGCTGAATTTAGCCTCAAGTCGATTGCAGGAAAGCAGGTCAAATTGAACCCGGTCAAGTTACTCTGCAGCTAGCCTGCTCCAGACCAAGCTAACAACCAGGCTAAGATTAATCCTAGAGACTCATCTAATAGTTTTACTGTCAATCTTGTGAGAATTAATGCATTTTACAGCATTTCTTTGGTTTTCCTAAATATGTTGCATCATTTTAACTATCATGCATGAAAATATTACAAATATTGTCATTTGTCATTTCATTGAAGTCTGTCGTCTGTTTGTAATTGTAACAGTCTTCAAATATTCATCTAAACATTCAACTCTTCATTCATGTGGTACTGTCAAGTCTTATGAAGACTGGCTGACAAATTGCCATGAGAGTTTGGATGAATGTATTATTGCAGTTATTGAGATTTTACTGTAATACTGTAATATGTAGCCTACTTTGAAGTAGCCAATTTGTGTTGCACAGATTGAGTATGTGGACGTCCCTCCCTGAATCCCCTCTGTCACTGGCCTCCCTTTATTCAAGTCCAGTGTTAGCTCCTCTGCTGCTGTCAAATCTTGGCTTAGTGGGCGGGCCCCCATGCAGTTTTGTGGACTTTTCCTTTTTTAAAATTGCTACAATCAAATATTCAATATCTCAGCAGGCACCTTATCTTGTTACCGTATTTGTTTATTATCTACACCAAAGGTAGTCACCAGCCTTCAGAATCTTCTTCATTTTTGACTTGATGCCAGAAGGATGGGTAGATAAAATAGACAAACCAAATTAATGTGGGGTAATTACATGACACAGACACACAATTTGGATAATTCTTTGCACTTCTTACCGAGTAACCTGCACCTCTATACTTGCCACATTTAAAGCAAAGTGTACAACTGTTCATTAGCGGGACTGAAACAAAAACAGGAGTCTAGGAAAAACTAAAGTTAGAAAACAGCATTAGATCAAACTTAAGGTCTGATAGACGTGTGTGTCGCATGAATGTGTGAATGTGTTTATTTGTTTGGTTTGGGGATGTTACTACTAATAGATTATTTAGAAAGTCTATTTGTCTGATTTTCCATCTAGTAAAGGTAAACAAAGTATGATTGTATGTCTTCCCCCACTTTCTACTCCCTGTGGCTTTTTTTCCCAGCTGGTTAACAAAGGCAGACATGACCAAAACTAAAACTCAAGCTCTCCATGAGCGATACACAACAGCAGCCACCACCATGCAGATTTCAACATCTTTGGACACAAACATTACAGACTGGTTTCCCAGACTGGCAAAGCTGGCACATAGTCTACAAACCAGCATCATCAATGCCTCCTGTGTTTGTGTTTATGAAGTCGTCTGCGCTTCGTTCTGCATGACTGTGTGTCTTTACAGATTATTTTTACGAGCCTACACTGCATGTTGATGTTCTGCGGGTTAATCCATTTTTATGCCCTCAATATGTTCTGTAGCTATCAGTTATATCCAGTGTGGCAGATATATAAGTGAGGGTAAAAATCCATTTGGTATTGTTGATGTCATAGTAATAAACTACATTTTAATATGGAAGTAACTGCAAATTGATTGTTAACATTGTTAACAGAGAATTCCTTGAGCTTGCGTCCCTAGTTTAATGTTCAGCTCTGCATACACGGCTGGCTGTCTCTCACTGTTATCAAAGACAATATCAGATGGCTGGACTGTATTTAGCCCTGGCTCAGGGTTAGAGGACATACACATGAAACACAGACACTCACAGATGCAGCCAGAGAGCTTGTCAATAAAACAAAACATCCTCTAAGAATAGAGACATCCACTCTGTTGGCTCAGCTCTCCCCCTCTGTGTTGTTTCTTTTACATGTTTTTCCTCTACAGTCGGTGTTTTGGTCACTGTTCCCCACGAGTCATAAAGTACTTTGAAATTTAATTAAGTTATCAAGCAGATACCATCTGTTGAAGCTAATTTAATGTCAGCGAAGGCTCCAGAACAGCTGACGATTGACCTTTTAGTTGATATTTTTCCAACATTTTTAAGCCATTTTTTAAACTGATGTAACAGATAGATATTCTTTTGATTTGCCCAGCAATGTGTGGCATACCCACACAAATTTTGAAACGAAATGGACTAAACCCTAATCTCTTTATTCCTTCTTGTCACTGACTGTTACATTTGTTTTCTGAGTTCATTTGTGGTAAGAGAGGACTTGAATGAGAAGTAACTGGCCCATATCAGAGGTTCAAAACTCTTTTCTCTGCATCTGTTCAAGTCAGAGCAGAAAAGTCAGCTTGTATTTGATTTGTTTTTTTCCAGGACTGTGAAATCCTGTCCAAAGATCACTTTATAATCATGTGTAAAGAAATGGTGCCACTTCCTTTCTGAAGCAGAAATGCAGCCAGATTGGCAAAGCTGTGATCAGTGAAAAAATGTTGACCTTTGAGAAGTGTTTCAAAGTGTGGATATGAGCTTTAGGAGCAGGAAAACTTGCCGCAATCAAGGTCACTGGATTCACTCTCCCAGCCTGGGATTGTGACCAGCAGCTCAGTGTCTCTGCAGAGCTGATGTTGAGGTTTTTTAACTTTATAAAATGTAGCAAGAAGACGTCATTGGTAAGGGCAGATTCTCCTCCAGGGTGGGGTGAACTCTGATAGCATGAAAAGCTTGAACAAATTTGGCCCCGCCACTTTCCAGAGCTGCTAGGCTTCAGACGCTCGAGGCTGACTTTAAAACCTCATCAGTAAGCCTTTTCTGCTGTGAAAACGTCTCGACTTTAAGGCAGAACAACTTCACAAAGTTTAACCAAAGTCATTTTAAAGATAAAATGAAGCAATTTTGCAAGACACTTTGCTCTCATTGCTAGACATCCTATTTGGTTTCCATCCAATCACTGTTCCTGTCTACTCTGACTCATCCTGAACCCGAAATGTCCTGAGACAAACTGGTGTCCTGCCTTCCAATTTAATTACCAGGAGCTGACTGGATGCCAGGGATGACGGGCGGTGACTCAGATGTTTCTTTCTTGGGCTTCATGGCCTCCTTTAAATCTAAAGTATTTCCACCAAACATCATGAATCTTCTGCTTTAATCTACCGATGGTCTCTCAAAGACCACAAATGGGCCTGTAAATAAGTTAAAACACTTAAACCAATGTGCTGTCTTTGAATATAATGTATGATTTCACAACTCTAACACAGTACTTTCATTGAATGCTGATGAAAAATATTGCTGAATTACAATAATACCATTATAATGAGTGGATTTGGCTGCCTGGATTTACTTTTCGTCTAATCTCTTGGATTTACTTGCACATTACTCCACATTTAAGAGCCGCTCTAATCTTAGGTGGAGCTTTGTGGAAATGTTTCAAAGTTAAATTTTTGGTGCTGACTGCTCAGAAGATTTCAAAAGATTAATTTATAACAAAAGAAAAAAAACAACAACTCAATTTTAAAGCAATATACTCTCTATGTTGGTGCCTTAGCTGTGCCAACACACAGCTAAGGCTGTGTCTGGACACACCCTTGCAGAGGAAACAGGAGGATTTGAGCGCTATCTCTCTGTTAAATTTTGAAGAGTGAGATAAAATTTAGCTACACTGAACTTTTGCTCCAGAAAAGGTCTCCCACAAGCTGATCAGGTTGAATTTTAGAGGAAATGCTCACCACACTGACAGACAGGGAGAACTCTGCTGCTTGTGCTGGCTTTGCATATTGAAATAAACATGAGAACAATTATTTTTTACTTGAGCCGCACTAAAGCTTCTGTTAGGAACTTCTAGTTTTTATTGGTTTTGGTGCCCCCTGTGGACAAAGCAGTCTTTTCACTAATCCTGCTGACTTTTAACAGTGAAATTTATCATTTATTGTTAATATTTTATGTAAAAATGGCAAAATCAGAGTTGTTCCTTCATCTGCTTTACTGACACCTACCCTTTCAGGTGTTAAAAATGAAAATATAAAAATAGTCTGCCTTGTCTCTGATAATGTGGTTTACTTTTGGATATCGTGAAAAGGCATCGTTGAGACTGTTGGTCTATTTAATTAACATAAAAAACCCTCACAGGAGCCTTAAGATCAGAGTTCTCTATCACAGAAAGCTGGAAAAAAAGTATTCACACAAAAGCGTCTAAAACGGTTGGTTTTGTAGCGTTTAATTTAAAAACACTTCAAAGACGTTGAGAAATGACTAATACATGACCTGCTGAGTGTCTCAGCTCCTCTAACAGATACAAGGCCGAACAGGGAAAAGTGATCAGGTATCCAGGATGAGAGACGATAACTGGCTTTGTTCCAGTAATGTCATTAACACTGTTAGTAATACTGCACTCAGAGTAATGGACACACACTGGTGCACACACACTACAGAAGAGAAACAGAACGTGCTTTTACACACTTTTACAAAGAAAAGCTGATTAAACACAGAGTAAAACTGTTACACTAAACAATGTGTTGCTTCGTTACACAATGGGAAGTCACATCTACCAAAGTTTGCCGTCTGATATCTGTCTTCAAACTGGAAAAGCTAATGCAGCCTTCAAATGTAAATGAAGCACAGTTCTAGTGCTCTGAAGTCCCACCAGTGACTCTAATTGGCTGTTTGTTTGTGTCTGTGGTCCAGTTTTGATGATGTGAACTTTTTAAATGTTTATGAAAATCCGTGATAGAAATCAAACTTCATGTTCTGGTAAAGATTTTGGTGAATAAGGGTTTGATCATGAGTCACCACCACATTCTTCCAGCCAGATTTGATCAGAACATCATGTTGTTGACGCTGCAGCAATGTGGACCTGTTTTATGAGAAAGCTGTTTCCGAACTTAATCTCATATATTCAGCTGATCTCGCACTGCACGACAAACAGCAGATGTGACTTTTTCAAAGCACTTCCTCTTTTAGGTGGTGTGTCTCAACCAAAACAGATGATCGTGGTCATGTGACCTTTAAAACTCCACTGAGATCTGAATGTAGGTGACACAGTGTTCTTAACTTTTGCCTAGACTCTTGGTGCGTTGCCTCACATGTATGGATGTGTAGTGCGAAGAGGAAACTATTTATGTTGCCCTCAAAGTGTCCAGTTAGACTTCAGTGTTTTTGAAGTAACGTTTTGTCATTAGTAAATATTTCAGCCAGGCTCTGCTGGTATGACCAGCATGCAAGCTAGGCTGTAGTTTTCTGCAGACAGGGCCAACTCCACCATGTTATTTGTGTAATTTTGAGACAAGCTTTTTTTTGGGTGTGCATACTTTTGCACTTCATCTTTGCACAATTTTAACGTGCGTCAGCTTGTCGTTTTAGCTCAGTCTTTTCCTCGTGACTGCAGCTGTACTTTGAGTCTTAGAGACCCTGAGGTGTTGTTGTTACCAATTCCAGACAGACAGTTTTCTCTGTTTGTGGGCATTTGCTTACACTTTACCCACCAGGTAATCTGGGATCTCTCCTACTCTCCAGTCTTGCCCATAAAGTTGTGCCACAGCTGATCAGCTGACTGCACGTGTCCATAAAATAGTGCAAAATCAAATAGGCTTCTTGTTGGTAAGGTTAGGCACTTACACATGTAATGTTGGAGCGTATACTTAAACTGAAGGGTTAATGTCAGAGTCTGTCAAAATGAGCTAAATCATGAGGCCGAGTTGGCCTTAATTCGGTTCATGTTTCTCATTAAATTGACTAACCTACGAGTGACAACCCCACTTCAACAATACTGAAGTATCCCTTTAAACCAAAAAATGTGTGTGTAAGGAACTGTACAAAAGTAATAGAAATCATGAGAACATTGCAGCTTTAAAAACTTACATTTGGCTTTGCCATTTCTTGGTTTCTGTTTCAGCCAGTTTTTGTCTGCATTATTTTATTGATGCATTTACATTCATGTTGATTTGAAACATATAAGCACTCTGAAGGGTTGAGGTGGTTTTGTCCAACATGCAGAAAAATGGAAGAAAAAAATGTAAAACGTAAATATGGACACTTTAGACTGGGAGGGGGACTAATAATTGTTGCATTCTGAATATGCATAATACAATGCTGATGAAATTTCTGTTCATGGTCTGCTTTTTCATGCCCTGAACTTAGCACAGCTCAAAACCTGCTGGCACACTTCTGCTGTCATGGTGCCAGTTTTCAGACAGACGGTGTTTTGTGCAGCTTTTCCAGAGTGTTTGCAGGAGTGTTCGGCTGTGGGTTTGGTGAGATTGTTGGTCACAGTTTGGTTTGTATCGTAAACTCGGTGTAATTTGTTCCATGTGTCAATTCTCATTCCTCTCCTGCTCTGACACAGAAACAGCATGTAGAGAGAAACAAAGCAAGGAAATACTCTTTCATGGTTTGTCCCGATGTAACATTGTCTTAAAGAGGAGTTCTTTGATTAGTGATGGAGGGTTTTTTGTTTCACCGGCTTGACAGCAGAAAGTTTAAGTGAACAGGATGTTCTTCTGTGGTTAAATCAGTACCAAGCTTATGCAAAAATGTGCAAAACAGTTCATTAAACTTCTCTGTGGTGAAGATTGCAAATGGCTGTTGTGCACATTTAAATGACTTGACTTATCTTTAAAAAAATTTGCATGTGAGTGTCTGAGGAAGAGGGAGGGGTGCAAGTCAAGCCGTTTGGTGATGTTTACTTCAGTTTGCCTTTATCAGCATCGAGCATTTGTCTCTGTATTAGGGCTGGTCGTGTGTGTTGTGTGTTAACTCTGCTGTGGAATATTCCAGTAGACATGTAGGCGGAGTTAAATCATCTCAAGGTCTGCTTCGTTCCTGAGCAGGTCTGTGCAGGGTTGGCTTGTTCTCAAACCTTTAGGCTATGAACTAAAGATCTTCAGTAAAATATGTGGTTTTGATGCTTTAAGCTGACTCATACTATGCGCTGCAGCAGTCACATTGTATGTTGTTTATTAAGGAGGAACCGACTTACTGGCAGGTTGTTATTTTGATGAAAAAGAGGAGTGTGAATGACAGTGTGGAGTCGCACTTGTTGCTGAAAGGAAAAAGAAACATACCCACAAACAAAGATCTAGTTCACCCTCTTATACCTTCTTATTTCTTGATCCCCTGTTTCGTGTGCTGGGGTTTGTGGGTAAAAACCTCACAGGGCTGTACAGGGGGAGGAAATCCAACACACACAGTCCCTCCAGAAGTGGGGAGGCCCCTCTGCGAGACAGGATGCAGGTGGTGAGGTGCAGTAATATGATGTTTGGTAGGGGGTACAGTAACCAGAGGGGGCACAGAAGAGGTTTAAGGTGGTGAGTTATGTCCATGTGTGTGTGTGTCTGTGTCTGTGCAAGGTTATGTGGCGACACACGGCCAGTAACGTGACTCTGGGGTAGAAGTAGGCCAAGGCTGCTTGTCAGCAGGGTTGTCAAAACCACAATGTTTGATGCGCTGTCAAACTGTCAGACATGCAGAGGCTCACACAGCTTTTTCAAATTAAGAGCATGTTAATTTTGGTAGCTGTTCTACAAATAGTCTTAATCTTTGTCTTTAGATGAAAATGCATTTTAGTTTTGTCAAATTTCAGTCATTTTTGCTCCTGAAAATGTTAGTCAGGAAGTTAGTAAGTAAGTTCGTTAGTTAGAAAGTTGATGGAAAGTTATTCCTGGAATAAAACACTGTCCCTGCTGATCTCCCAAGGTACTACAGGAGAATGAACCTTACTCCAAGTCATGAAACAAAACAGTCTGTCTGTGGCTATATTTATTTTCTTTGACTTCTTGCGCCTTTTGTAGGGTGGGGTTGGAGGGTCTAGGCTCAGCCCCCCATCTCCTAAAGTCAGCATCTGTGATCACTGTGATCTTTATTTTTGATTCTATAATTCTTCAATTTCATCTTTAATCTGCAAGAGAGGTTCCTCAAATGTGTCTTTAAACTAGGATGAGGTTTCGAGGTTTGGACACTGAGCTCTTAACGGTGATAAACTAGCTAAAGAGCAAACGAAACATAGTAAGCGGACATCGCTCTGGTTGCTGAAATGCCTCAGGGAAAGTCTACAATATTAAACATTATAAAACAAAGAAGCTCAGAAACAGAGGGGATATTCACCTGCGGTGCATTTGTTGCCATTAAGTGACAAAATGAGAACTGCACCCCCCTAACTTTCTCAAATGCGCTTATGTAGTTTGTGTGACAGATTAGAGACACAGTAGGAAATAAATTATAAATTTTAAATGTCACACAGTCCACCTCAACTTTGTCATACTTCCATCCTCTTATTAACAAATAAAAAGACACACAATTAGGTCGCATAGTTTTTGCCACCAGTAATGCATTTTAATCTTGTCTCGAATTGTAATAATTTTAATTAATGAAATCAACACTGATTAAGATTCAGCGCTAATAAATGTGTGAGCCTTCAGTTTTAGGGGAAAAGCTAAGTGGTCTGCAGATCACATAAAAATGAAGCCAGTTTTTAGAGACACAGTAACATTATAATTGTCTTGATAGGTTAGCAGACATTAGATCAGAAAAGGGTGTTTTAATTCATCTGACAGTTCTAATTTATCACATCATAACACTAATGTAAATACACAGTAATTTCACTAAGGCTCTGTGTGTATTTTTGTTCCGCTTTATCTTAAGATGCTATTTTTTACTCTAAGCTAATGTAGCATAAAATTAGCTAGCTTGCCAGAGGGCCTAATATAAACCCAGTTTTTGTTTCTTATGTCTTCTTTTATTTGTTTGGCTTACTAACTGTGTAACTGTATAACTGTCCTGGCTGTAAACAGACTACAGTCTGTTCACTATGTGAGCCAGTAAGAGTGCTAACCAGCTAGTCTGTTAACCGCCCAGACTAAAAATAATCTTGGATGACTCGGCTATTAGTGTCTCAAAGCTAGCTGACACGACACACAGCAGAGTCCTCTTCTCTCCTTTCCTACATCTCAACTTTGCTAATGTTATGCTAGCCTAGCTAACAAATATCTAGAATCTGAAAATAGACTTGAGCTCCCTGTATTTTGAGCTTTGGGCCTCTTGACCTGAAGGAGACTCTGGGTGGCATCAATACATGCTAACACCATTTCCCCGAATATCCTCCACCAGCAGTTTTTCATACTTTTGCAAAAGGATTAACTTGTTTTTAGGGGCATTAATTAAACAGTGTCTCTGAACTTTTTAAGGATGTGTTAGTTTTGTTTTTTTCGATTCACAATGACAAAACTAATAGTGTTACATAACAGAAATAAAATAGGTCAAGGCTGATGCTTGCCAGTTGGCGTGCTTGCAAAAATTAGTTAACCAAGTCACGTGCAGCGCTGTCATTTCCATTTGATAATATTTACTTCAGGCTTTATATTTTGTTGTCTTGTTAACTCACTGAAAATTTAATAAAAATAAGGATTTTAGTGCACTTATAGGTATTAAGAGTGCTTCAGTCTACGGGAAACCAGAGGCAGCTGTAAGATATCACATCTTCCTTCATAACTCACAGATTCCTTGAAATACACATTTCATCTTTTGATTTAAGAAATGTTATCAAAACTTTTTATTAAAAATTTAGCTTATTAAGACAAAACTGAAAAGTACAATGTAGTGAAAAAAGTCGATAAATTTGTTGTAGAAACCGACTGTATCACCAAAGAACAAGCACACCTAGAAGTAAATACAGGTAGGATCTGGTATCTATTGATGTTACCAAACTTACTCATGAACTTAATTTAAATGTCTTTAAATATTTCCCACAATGTATAAAATCAACTGAAAGTACATAAAGTTTTGCACAAAACTTTGCAAATATTCTCAAAGTAGCTTGATTTTTAGGAACTGAATTGAGTCAAAATTGTGTGTTTTTTTTCCCCCAAAACTGATCAGCTAATGACTGAGAACGATTTATGTGATGGTTCAAGATAGACACATTGACATAGTCTGTTTTTGTGTCATAAAAAATGTATGATAACAGCATGACTTTCAACAGAATATGCTCAATGAAGTAAATTTTAAGCATGACTCTAGAAATCAAATCATGATGTTATTGTAGTTGCTGCCGATCTGTTAGGTGTGATAAAACCAAATATACCAAATACTAACACTTTTGTTAGCATGGGTAAATCATATGAGTTTTTTCACTAATAGCCTCACATTTATTTAAGTTTAACATCCAGTCACTTCAGATAGCAAAACGCAGCACTTTAACACTTAAAAACTCATGTTTTTGTGCAGTGATCCCATTTTTTATTTGAGTGTCTGTTCTGGTGACTTTAGTGCAAGTTGCATTTCAGAATCAGGTGGTTCAGTCATCATACAGGCAGTGTACATGGGCATACATGAATGTTATTTATGGCAGCCTGTCTTGTTAAACTGGATAAACCTGTCTGCAGAGTGACAAATTAGACTGTCAGGAACTTTTTGTCTCTAGCCTTGGTAGCTGAAGTTTTAAAGCTTTCTGTGACATAAGGAAGACATTTCCTTTGTATTCCTGTAGCAATGAGGCTCAGGTGAGACTGGGATTAATTGAGACGTCAGAGGGGATAAAACCAAGTCAGTGGGGGAGGTGTGCATGAATGTTTTAATAACTCCATGGCTGTGTTTGTGCGTGAGAGTATGTATAAGAACAGCAGGTATATTGCGTCACATACATACCAGCCAGTATGCTGGTATAAGCTTTGCGTTATGAGTAAGGGATTTGTCATTGATGCTTGTGCACGTTGATACACATGTGCCCCCCCCCCCCCAACCCCCCCACCCCCACCCTGCTCTCTGCACTGCAGCATGACTGCACCATAACACACATACAGTCTCTGGCTACCTCTCTCCTCCCCTCTCAATGCTTATCCATGCCATCTGTTTCCCAAAGCGAGGAATATGGTCATGTTTGTGGGAATATCATCCACAGCATGGTAATAATGGGTGTTAAAGTGCATGTGGTGTTTAGCAGGAAAGCCTCTGTAATACATGAGGGTGTAGATGTCCTCTGAGTGTCTCATCTGCTGCCAAGTATGAGTGTGTGTAAGTGACAGGAAGAGAGTACACAACCCCAGACTGGAGAGTCTGTGGACCTCAGTCACACTGTCTCAGTTAGAGACACAGAAATGTCCAGAAGACTGAACATCTGCCTCTGACATTTTGTTGAAGTTAACCCAAAAGCAGACGCACATAAAGCCACGAGCATAAAACCACACCACGGGCCCTGTCGGGGACTTTAGGCTTAGTGTTTAAGTCTATGATGTATGTTTCTTCACAATTAATGAGCAGTCAATAATTTTGTGCTTCAACTTTTAAATAAACATTTTAGTGAAAGCTGTGTAGCATAAATACAGACAGAAATATCCTTTTTTATTTGTTTGCCCTTTAAATAAAAGAGAATAAATGCAGACGACAGGAAATAAAGGGATCTAACAGGAGAGGTGAAAAGTCCCAACAAAGCCTGTGTCTTCATTAAACTAAGGATAAGTGAACATTTATACAGTGGACCTGTTACATAAAAAGGACCAGACAGAAACACAACAGTGAACGATTCATGAATGAGCTGACAATAATCATATGATATACAGTTTGTAAGGATATTCATAGACCCGCTAAGATGGGTCTGTAATCTCACCTGCCCATCTCTCTTTTTCTCCATCTCCCTCTCTCCCCTCTCTGAACCCAGCTCAGTCTCAGCAGATGACTTTCTAACATGAGTCTGGTTTTGCTCGAGGTTTCTACCTAATTAAGGAAGTTTTTATCCGCCACTATAACCTGCTAAATCCTGCAAAGTGAGTCTGAACTCATAAAATAGGGCTTAATCTGATCCCATTTGATATTTATGTTTTTCTGTAACTGTATAACCTTAAGGTTTTTTAAGATTTCATGAACAATTACCCCCAAATAAGCTGATTCCATCAGGTCACGGATCTGTTTTGGTTTCCATATTTTGAAATCCAGTCTGTTTTTCCCGGTCTGTCGCTTTCTTTCCCCTTATATTGTCTTTCTTACCCCCCCTTACAGAAACAGATCAACACAAACATCTATAGGCACGGCAGTATGTGAACCTGATACTGAGGTCTCTGGCCTTGTAATCTATATCTAGCTCTGTATGGGTCAATGCTGTTTGTGCGTCATGTTCGTCGCGTTCACGTGCCTCGCTGGTGTGTGACACAAAAAACCCGTCCAGACACAAGCTGATGGGAACAGAGATTTGTTTTTTAGAGGTCAGTGAAGAATGTATTAAATTACTTAGAGTGATACAATACAAATTCCCCTAAATATGCAGTAATTTATCATAATTATTTAAATAAGCAGTCCTTATCCAAACATTAAAAGGCAAAAAATCCACATACCTAAGAACCTGGAGGCATTCAAAGTTGTATAGTTACACTTTTTTGTTGGATCGATTGATGTTGACTCTGTTTACACCTGGACTTCTCCTGTGTTGTTGGTAATTTGATCACAAATTTGCAGCTCTGGCGCAACTGAAATTTGTCTCCTTTTGTTTTGAATAACCTCTAGAGAATAGGTTTAACTTTCTGGCTTTATTCTCAGACAAACAAGTCTATTATTTTTGTCTGCAAAGACCGAATTAATCATGTTTTGGACCAACAGTCCAAATAGGAACTAGGCAGGGTGTTCACTCCATCCTTGAGTATCCATTAAGCATGTTTTTGTTGCTTCTTCCTGTTTTGCACTTTAATATAACACTACTGAATGAATTTTCCACTTATGAGGATAACAGGCTGTTAGAGGCTTACTCCAAAGGTGGTTTGAGCAATTAGATATGAGTGCATCCCCTGGACCATACTTAATTACATTACCATGATAAGATTCAGCTCCGTCCTGGAGGCAGGACTTCGTCTGACTTCATGTTAATCCTTCATCAGCAGAGCACTTTGCAGCATTTTTCAAGTTACAGTGGCAAAACAAAACCTCAGAGCTGCAGAAGCAGACTCATGTTGGACAGTCATCTGGAAGACTGTTTTGGGATTTGATTGGAGAATATGGGAGATGCTGAAAAAGAATTATAGATCGAGACCCAGGATTAATTTTTCTCCTTAAGCTTATATTTTCCATGATAACACACTGGATATAAATGACAGTATTGCAACACACCAAGCATCAACATGTGAAGCAGACTCTTAAAAATAATCTATCACACAGAGAGGGACTTCAAGTACTAAATGTAGAATTGCTGCAACAAGAGAAATGAACCAAAAACTATTTCACTCCCACAGAGTCCAGTTTTCTGCATGCTTGTTCTTATTGATTAAACAAAAGCATGTCCACATGGTTGGGTGTCAAATCAGGGGCGGAACCAGGTCACAATCAGTCCAACGGCAGAAAATTGATGCACAGAAGGCACTCTGTAGCCTACTTTGCCAGTCTGGGAAATCTCTCTGCAGACTTTTTACCAGTCTGTCTTCTTTGTATCCAAAGATGGGGATACGTCCTGGTAAAAAGTTCCTGTTCTTGTACCTGATGAAAGTACCTGATGTCCTTAGCGGTGGCTGTAGGTGACTCCTTAAAATGGGTAATAGCATTTATAAAACTGAATGGTCAGAATGAGAGTATCTGTTCTATATCTGTAGGAACATAAATGAAAGTGAAATGATCTGACTGGCTGTTGGAATCAGGACTGCATTATGGTGTGTTGTTTTCTGTTTTTTTTCTGCCTGCCGAAAGAATCTTCGACATTTACTTTCTGCTCCGCCACTTTCTGCAGAACCGTTATACAGACGTCAGTGAAGGGGGTCAGCGATCTTTGAGTGGAGTTAAAATTGTCAGCTGCTGAACCCCTAAGCCCTGTTTCACTGAAACTCAAACAAAATTGTAAAGAGGTCAGGTTAAAGTGTTTTTGACGGCAAAAAATTGTAAAGAAGTCAGGTTAAAGTGTTTTTGACGGCAAAAAGATTCAGAAAAATGTCAAGCTAAAAACACGCTGGAACTTAAAACCCTCAACCTGATTGACAGATATGTCAAACAAGTTCCTGACAGGATGTTAGCAGGCAGAAAGTCCCTCTTTGGCAGCTCCATCCAAGCTTCTGTGCAGGTACAAAGTGTCCACCTGCTCTGCTGAAGCAAATATTGTCACCTCGAGTATCAAGTGGCTGAGCAGTTTGCACAAGAACATGCAAGCTATTTTACAGTGCAAGAAACCACTTATTTGCAAACTGACACTGTTTGTTCCATACATGATCAGGCTTGCAGACATGAGACAGTTTCCTCATGTTACCTGTAACATTAAAGAGAGACGGTGAGAGAAACAGTAGAAGAAGAAGGAGGAGGAGGTGGAGTGAGCTTGGCCTGATTTTACGCCAGTGTCTCAGGTAATCTGGTCTGCAGCACAAGAATAAACACTAACTAAAATAGACATGGGTTATATGTGCTGTGTGTGTGTGCATGTGTGTGTGTGTGTGCATGTGTGTGTGTGCGTGCTCGTTCACAGGTTCAGAGAAGTGGCGTGTAGGTTGGTGTGTGAAATACAGGAAGTGACAGACTCTTAATTTGTCATGACCTTGGACTTGACGGGCATCTCTTTCACCTCCTTCTGTTTCCCTCTCCTCTGTTGTGTTTTTTTATTTTTATTTTAAGGCAGTAAAGAGCTCCTCTGCAGACTTTTCCACTTTGTTTGTCTCTTTTTCCCTCATCTCCCTTCATTATGCTGCTTTTTTCCCTCCTCTCGTGCTCTCATGTGAGACTACGTTGTTTACGTTGGCTCTCAGAAAAGCTGAGGTGTAATTCTATATAAGCTCAGCTCATGTTACGGACACACAAACAGTATGTCTACAGACACATAATCAGATAACATTGACTTCTTTGTGTGTGAGTGTGTTTTGCAGGACTGAGCATTACAGGTACAAGCAGGGAAAGAGATTCATACATGCAGGGAAGCACTGTTTCTTGTTTTGTTGACTTTTTCACAAATTTTCCTGTTCAAAAATAAAGGTTACAAGCAATAAGCACAGACTCACATGCACCAAACACACAGGTTGCAAATTTTAGCCCTCACCCAAACCCTTTCTCAGTCTCTCTTCAGAGGAATTAATTGTTCCTCATGTATTCAAATGTATTCAGCTGCTGTGTCATCCTGGTTCACACCCTGACAACATGTTTCTGTCTCATTGAATCATCTGTCTTATTGTGCTCTGGCAGGTGTGGTGTAGCACAATATTTCAGCTCACAACAAACCCAGGAGCTAAAGTTGGCCTGATGCTGCTGATGCAAACAAATCCTTTAAGAGGTTTATTTTTTTAATGTTTTAACGCGAGGTTGTGTGAGTTACACATCACTTACAAGTGTGTTGGTTCTGCCTCTTTAATAACAAACTGCCAGAAAGACCTGCATGTGGGCTAGGCTACAGTTTTCTGCAGACAGGGCTGAGTCTGATGCATAAATTGGTGAATTTTGAGGGAGTCTGACCCCCTCCTGGGAAATGTTCAGTGCTTTTCCATGGCAAAGCCCAAGTAGATGTAGCACAAATGCATGCTCCTCCACCTGCAGCTAATATGGTCCAGGCTGTACAGGTTACCCTTACACTCTGAATTTTGATACTTTACAATGCTAATACTACTAATACAAATTAGTAGTGACATGTAACTAGTACAGGGTTAGGATTAAAACAAACTGAAATTATATTAACTGGAATAACTGGAATGTGGTAATTTGCCAAATAATAATTGAATCCTTTCATGGCATTCTGGTTTAAAATACAAGAATATGTCTCTTATTTCCACCTTTATTTTAACTGAAAGGATTTTGTTAGTGTAATATGGTTGTAAATTGAATCTGTTTTGGTTTTCGGGCATCAGTCAAAAACTTAACAGCTACAGTATATGACAGTTTTTCTGACATTTTCTGGAAGAAACAATTTCCTTTACAGCTTGTTTTCAATAATAAACTAATGCAGAATGGAAATAATCTGCTGCCTTAACAAGTGTGGCCTTGGCACTGAAGCAAATGGACTTCTGATTGTCAAATATGGATTTATAGCCTGAAAAACGGAGACTGCTTTTGGGAGAATCAATTCTCCCAATTAAACTCTTCAAATGAGCAAGAATTAAAAGTCACTCAATGAGATGTTTTGGACTGAGCCCATGTTTTCAGCACCCCCACCTCTCTGTGTGTGAGAAGCAATTGTCAATATGTTAAAACATGTGTCTGTGTCAAGTCTGTGCCTGCATGTTGCCAGTTTAGGTGTCTGAGCACATCCTGTTCCCTCTCTGGCAGCACGCCCTGCCCTGTAATTTCCTCAAAATTCAGAGGATAATTAGCATGTATCTGTTGTGTATGTACTGTATATGATAGTCTGCAAAAGGGAGAGGGGCTGTTACATAACCTGCTGCAATATGTGAGACGCTGGGGAGGGGGCTGTGCGCGAGTGTGTGAGGGTAAAATATTAATGACCATCTTGAGTGCATCGTGAATGTTAATAGGGACACGTGAGGGAGAATAGAGGGGGGTGAAGAGAGGAACCACAGGATGAGAAGAGCAGGTGGAAAGATGGATGCCCTGGTGGGATCTGCACCAAAGTGTCTGGTTCTGCTCAAGGCTCCTGCCTGTTAGAAGAGACTTTGTCTTTGTCACTGTGGCGTGACCAAGTGGTTGCTCATGTTGCATCAATACTGAGTTTCTCATCATAAATCTAAAAATAGGACAGTCTGGACCTGCTTTAGTGAAGGGTAATTTTGATTTGGCTCCACAAGTTTAAACTCGTAGCTTTGGTGAATCAGCTTCCCTGAAATGACTGGCAGATTTTCATTTTGTCAAATCATGCATAATAAAATCATAATAAGTTCTTGTAAGTTTAGAAATGCGCACTGACAGCTGTCACGCACAATACATCACTCCTAATAGCAATGACTCTGGACACGCCTATCAGGGTAAATGAGTCTGAACTGGCTGACAGGTCTAGCAACACCAGGCCTGGATTTGAGTTTGCACTAAAACGTTTGGACTACCCCAGGTTCCTGCCTGTTAAAGAGGATTTGTGTCTGCTGTTGTAAAGTGTTTTCTCATGCTGCAACTTCTCCAAATATCGAAGTATAATTGTGATGCAGCTTTATGTTTGTGTCATCTTTATATGTTCCTCCATCATCTTCATCTCTTCTTCCTCCTTCATCCACCTGTTTACACACGTCCTCCTTTTCTTGCTTCTTCCCTGTTTTCCTCCTCTCTCATTTTGTTTACTTCCCCAGTTTCTTCTTAAGAGGCTTGATGAGGGTCGTAGCATTGCGATGACGTGTGTGTGTGTGTGGGTTGTTCACATGGCAAACTGGTGTGTGTTGGGTGTGATGAAACGTGCTGGTTGTAATCCTGCTGCACAAAAACACACTCTGGAATTTAACTCTGCAGGAAATCATATTGAACGCCCTGTAGTCTGTTTTTCTCGCTCCCTTTGAGGCGTGTTGTTCACCCGGGTCCTTCACGCCTCTTTTTTTCCCTGTTCATATCTCTCTCATTATTTCACATCACACTAGCCCCTCTGTGTGCGGGGAACAGAAGCTCGATTCGTAAACATTTTAGGTCATAAAAAACCATGGCATGCTTGTACCCCTCTCACCCGTTTTCACAGACGGTCCGAGTGTGCGAGTATTTATCATGTGCTCAAACCGATTACACTCTCTGAAAATGGACTCTTTTCATCAGAGAGGGCGCACGTGTGTGGGGTTATAGCAAGTCGACATTTCTGCCTCCGGCCCTAAACGAGGTGACTTCAATTTCCCCACTCTGTGCTGCTCACGTCATGAAATTAAAGGCTTATTTTTGTCAATATGACCACCCTGGTGTATTAACTCAGCTGGCGCCAATCGGCAAAAAATCCAACATTGACCAAAAATAGTAGTACATTTTTCTCAAACATGTTGGCAACACAGTGAGAGAATTGGAGCCATTGATTACTCAAGATGAAGAGAATTTGATACAGTTTTCTGAATATGTGCTTATATGTCAGCCACCCTGGACTTTACTGTTGGAAGCTTGTGTGCTTCCTCAAGGCAGCGTTGATAAAGCAGTTTGGGGTTAAAAAACAGCTGCTGCGTCAGATAAGAGACTCTGTTACAGAAGCTCAATTGTCCCCTATTTACATGTTTCAGATCTTTGGAGAAGCCACGGAGGTCTGTCCCTGCTGGCAACGTCATTTTTTACTTGCAAAAAGATGTGTGGACCGCACTACAGTACATCCAGTGTGGCCACGCCTCAGGCTGTATGAAAAGATGGCTGACATAAAAACTCCTTTGAAATGAAGCCTAAAGTTGTTGACTGGCTGCAATATGAGCATTGAGCCCTGCCTCTTCCATGTGAACAGATGGGACATGGTTCAAACATTAAAATCTGAATACATTTAAAATCAAAATGGTTTCTGTCCGTTTTTGTCACTTATACTGATTCCTATAAGGTCCAAATGTTTTTTTTAAGTTTATTTTTAAAGTAGTTACTTGATGCTGTTGGATGGCCCCAGCTAACCCAGAATGCTGCAGCCAGAGTCCTGACACACACCAGTAAATCTGAACAAGCACTTATTGGCTACCCATTCAATACAGAATCATTGTGGTTCTGTTCATGATGGCCACAGGCTCTTTTTCATCATGCCTTCTCCTCCTCTCCTTGTTCTATTCTCTCTCCACCTAATCTGGGTTGAACAATTATGTGGTTCCCTGTGATAGATTAAATTGTTGTTCGGGTTTTTGAGCTTGGTTTTTATGGTCATTAGAGAGAACTGGTTGGGTAAAATTGTTGTTCAGGCCTGCAATCAAAAAACAAACAGTACAGCCCCAACTTTAGCTTCCCCAGTCAGTTCTCACTGCATTACCTGAGCTGTGTGTGTCAGGTGTCCTCACGTTCAATCACAGGTTCATGCTGATCAACCTGAAAAACTGACACGACAGGAAGGATCTCTACTGAAATATCAGCTTGTGAAGTCATGTCTGAAACCCAGCGGCTGTAACTAACTGGTGTTTTTTGTTTTTCTCTCCCTCTCCACACTTCTCCACCTGACCAATGGGAAACCTACTTTGCACCTGCGCCTCACCTGCAGATTGATCAGCCAATCGATGGGGATTCTCAGAGGAGCTCCGCCTACCTGCACCGCCTGCCCTCCTCCTCCACCTCCTCCCCCCTCCCCCTGCAGCCTCCCCTTTGCCCCCGCCCCCTCTGTCACACAGCCCTCCATTCAGCCCCCCTCTATACACAAAATGACTCTGGAACTCACCGAGTGGTCCTCTATATGGATTTTTACAGCCTGTAATAGACAGTAAGAGAAAGAGGGAGTGACCTCAATGACAAGAAAGCCATAAACAAACCTACACACACCACATACACACACACTCTCACACACACACACTCGCACCCACACACACACACACAGAAAGAAGAAAATGCACAAACTTGCTCTTGGAATGTAACACAATTTCTTCCAGTGAAAAGTCACCCACTCCCATCGATTTTGGGATCATCAGCAAGCCTTCTGGGAGTTGGTTTCACCAAATTTTTGTTTTTCTTTTTAAAGGCCAGACAAGGATTAAAACCTGTTGAATTTGGAGCTGCGTTGATTTTTGGAGGACAACTTGATTTTTTGGGACAAATTTTTGAAGCGATTGCTGATTGATTGTTCCTCTTTGAACAGATCGAGGCTCAATCCTTCGATAGTTTCTGATTATATTTAGAGTATTTTCTAAGTAGGACACAGCTCGAGATATAACCCCTGACCTTGATGCTGGGACACTGTTAGTTCATTTGGAGAAATTGATCCCTATCCTTTAGAAATGATAATGAATAAATGTGTTAATAACCAGCATGTTACTACCACGAGTTGCACTTTGTAGCTTGTAAAGATTGTACTCAAGATTCTTCCAGAACGTTAGACCTAACCTAAAGCTTTAGCTCAACTTTCTTAGATTTTTCAGTGTGTTGGAAAGGGTGCACTTGTTTTCTCATCGCGTGCATGCCCTCCAACATGCCTCCCCAGAACACAGAGGCTGACACTATGCAGGTCGGATCTGTGGTGGGCGGGGTCAACGCCAAAAACTCCACTGCATCAGGAATGGATGAGGAGAAAGGAGGAGCAGCAGGCGAGACGGATGGATCGGGAGACGGCGGCGGAGGAAAAGGGGGAGGAGGAGGCACAGGAGGGGAGGAGTCAGCAAGCGAAGGGTCTATAGAGGGCATCCCGCTGAAGAGATGGGTGATGCACGGAGCCGTGATGTTTGGACGCGAGTTCTGCTACGCAATGGAGACAGCACTGGTGACACCAGTTCTGCTGCAGATCGGTGAGTACAGAGTCCACAAACACAAAGTCACTGTAGCTGCCCTGTATGGAAACATGACCAAGAAACTAGTGTGTTCATGTGGAGACATTCACTCTCTAATCAATCAGTAGGTAGGTGCACACATTTAAATCCCTGGAAACGCACTTAACACTGCGCATGTTTGCTACTTTTTTCGAGTTGGTGTCCATAAGATAATCAAAGATAATCTATTAGTGATTATGGATGGTGTAACTCTTGTCAAACCATAGACCCGGTATAGTATGGACAACATGACTCCGCCTCCTATCATTGTACAAATTATTACTCTTGGTATTTCCAAGATTTTCTCCATTTTCTGAAACTGGCATTTGCGCAGTAGTGTTCAGCGGGAGAGTCGCCATAATGACACTCTGCTAAAAACTGCATATACCCCGGATGAGGCTCATAGGCTGTATCAAGTATCGATACAGCCTATGAGCTGTATATCGATTTATATTCCTTGTGATTAATTTTGAAGTTTGTCCTCAGCTCTATTAAGTTTGCTGGAGGAGGCGGGGTTTATGACCTATACTGCAACCAGTCACCAGGGGGTGCTGTTCTTGCGGAGGCTTCCCCCAGCAAGGAGGCAGATGATGTCCATTCTATATACAGTCTATGGGTCAAACCCGTGCAGAGTTTTTCTATTTGTTCCTCTTATTCAGGTTTTTAGTGATCATAAGAAACTCTGAACATAAAAGGGTTTGTTTGCCATGACGTTACTCTGGCATTTAAGAGGGCACCTTGGCAGCTCCACTCTGCACATCCTGTTCACCTTGTGTCGATGGACTGCCACTGGATATGCCAAGAGATTAGCACACACACACGCGCACACACACACACACACACCACACACACAGCTTCATCTTTGACAGCCTTTGAGAATTTGCCAAGTCCAAATTCATCAAGAGTACACTGGAGCCCTCAGGGGGGACGGAGAGGGTGTGAAGAGAGAAAAGGCGACGAGGAGAGGGGAAAGAAAAAAAAGAGGAGAGGGAGTAAGAATTGGAAAGAGAGAGAGAGACAGACAGAGAGAGAGAGAGAGAGAGGGAGAGAGACAAAGAGAGAGATAAAAGAGCAGTAACAGCCATAACCTTGTTGATCATTCAAAGTCCCTTGCAGTCTCTTTTATCCCCTTGCTTCCTTTTCTCTCCAAATCTATCCTTCCCCCTCAGTGCTGTTCTGTGATATCCCTGCTTACGTAACCACCGCTACATGAGTGGCAGGACGCTATGTGGCCACCGTGACTCCTGGCCGGCTCACCCGGGATGAGTCTTCTTGGGAAGCCAGCCTTTGAAAACCAAGATCGGCTCACTGCTTGAAGTTTAGAAGATTTTGCACCTTTCCACCAGAACTGCTGTAACCCCTTCTTAGGCTTTTTTCCCTGGGACGTGCTTTCCCTCTATTTTTAGCCCAGATTTTGCAGCTCGAGCCGATTTTTGTAGATCAGGATGTGTCTGAGCCCCTCTTTGGAGATTTCAGAGGTACCACAGCTACAGATTACTTTGCGAAAATGAATAAAATGACAGGAGGCAGAGCAGTACCTCGCTGAGAGTCACCACTGCTTTGGAGAGTTAATCCAGCCTTGTTGGTCTTTTCATGTGGCTAATTGACTGCTGTTGAGTTTGACCTTTAATGCTGATCACTGGTAGAGAGGATTGGTTCCCATCACAATAAATTATGAAGGAGATTCACTCAGGTGAGCACAAACCTCCACAAACACTGCTAAGGTTTCTTACACATGTCTGAGGCGTGTTTGAATGTTTGAAATTCAGATTGTGGGCATACAGACATCCTTCTCCACCCCAGAGTTTCCTGCTACAACAGGGAGGACATGATGAGAGCAAAAAACCGAAAGAAAGGAGCAGTACAGCAGGACTAGAAGAGCTGAAAGTTGGTGCTGAAAATGTTTGGCAGAGTTGGTTTGATCTGCAGTCGGATTAAAATTTTTGGTGTTAGTCGGTGTCTTGGCCAATCCAGTGTTCATGTGGAAGTGCTGGTTAAGACCTGTTTTGGTAAACCCACAAACACTCTTACTCCAAAAATTAATCAGTAAGACTTAAAGCAGTTTAAAGTTCTGTTTTTCATTCTTGTAGTGTTGGGTTGTTCGCGAATGGTTCGTTCAAAAGAACCAAATCTTTTAAGTGAACATACTGAACCGAATCACTGCCAAAGCACGCAGCATTGCTGGATGAGCAGCCAACGAGTGAGGTACCACATGCGCAAACGCCTGAATCTCTTGGTGATCGAATCACACACTCTCTGGAATTGTTTTTGTCTGAGGGATACACTTTTATGGTGACATTTATTCCCCGTTGTTTTAATAGATTTAGTTCCCAATGAAACAAAATTAAAACGTTAGGCTGGCAGTAATGAGAAAAGAGTGAGACGCAACAGCTGTAGTAAGCTCTTGACAGGAGCAACGGAGGGAGATAGGAATGTGTTGTGTTCAAGTGTACCTTGGAAAAAAACTATATATTTTTTAACTCTGCTAAATTGCCACTACAACAACTTGTAAGTAGTGTATACAACCCTCATTTTGAGGAATGCACGATTGATCTTAGCATTGCAAAAGTTTGCAAGGGAACGGTGCATGTTCAGTGTAAATTTTTCACCGCATGTACTGTGGGGTAAACGTTCAGTGAACGAATCACTCACTGAGTCCCAGTTTACCCAGTAGACCTGATAAACAGCATATCATTGGACAGTACACTTAAAACATCACGATATATAAACAAGTTCATTTTTACAAACGTGTTTGTCAAAGCAACACAACCACAACACTCTTGTCCCCTGGTCCCAGAAGCCGTGAACTGAACTGAAACCTGAACTCTTCAGCTGTGAATTAGTTCAGGAAGTCGGAGTCACAGGCTCCTCCTGCCAGGCGCTGAATGATTTGGTGATGCGGTGAACAAATCTTTTGAACGAATCTTTTTAATGAACTGATTCTAATGATTCCGTACATCTAAAAGAGCTGCCATTCCCATCACTACACCCTTGATCACGCTCAGTGTAGTGTGTCTGAGGAGACGGTTAAATAAATAGATAAATAAATAAACATATTAGATCATGTGCATTTCCCCCAGCCCCACCCCTTTACCCAGTTCCCCTGCTAGCATCCAGACATGTTTAGTGAGATCACATCTACCCCTGTCCAGCTCCACAGGCAGCACTCCAACTATCGGTAAAACAGATATCGACCTCCTATTCCTCCATGTGGTTCACCCTTGATGCACTGTGGAGACCGTCTGTAGCTACTGGAATTAGCTGGATAGCTGGTAAGCTGGCTAGTTGGCTTGCCCTGAGTGAAACCATTGTGTGTGTCTGTAACCCCCACAACACTGGGGTCAGGGAAAGAAAGAGGGTGTGTGTGTCGGTGTGTGTGTGCAGCAGGCACAGTTTGGTCAAGGAGTCCATATTTACACAGCCAAAACAAAGGAGAAAGGAAGCTCTACCTTACAAGGTCTTGTTCAGAGGGGGTGCAGGACTCAAGTCTGACTCATACAAGGACACAGGAGGTTTCATCCAAAGACTGCTGCACTCATGACATCATTTTTATTATTACAGAAAACAGCAAATCAGAGCAGAAATCTGTTGTTTAGCAGAACTGGTTGAACATGGATTCGTTTCCTGCGAAAAGGAGCAAAGTGTGGAAATTGAAGGTCTTCTGAAGCGACAATATTCAGCCTCTCCTCCCCACGTCGATCACTAACAGCCTTCGAAAGGGTTATCCCGTGTCAGAGCATCACCTTGTTTCTAAGTTTGGTTGAAGGAAACAAAACATTTAGTGAGACAGAAAGAAGACAGACCAGTTTAGAGGATGAATAGAAATAGAAGGAAGAGGAAGAAAGAAAGAGAGATTTTCTGAGAAGAAGAGAGAGAAAGAGAGAGTGGAGACTCAAGGAGGAGGAGATGAGGTGACGAGCGCAGACGGCGTGTTGTGTCTTTTTTGGTGAGGAGTCTGGAGTATTACATAACTAGGAGCTTTTTCAGAACTGAGCTCAAAGTGACGCATTAAAGCGGCTTGAGCATCACAGTCTGCTGTGAAGACGAATCAAAGGAGAGAGAAACATCTTTAACATCGTCTGTTCATATTTGATCGCAGCAGCTCAATAATTAGCAAGGAAAACAGGATTATCGACGTAAAGGTCTCAGATCAGGGATCTTAGTGGACTCAAAGTCCAGAAAAGTCAAACACACTCAGACAAAATGAAATGAATTAACAGAAGCTGGTAAGCCTGATTTCACAGTTACGGAAATTTAGGTGGAAGTAAATGGAGGATTTAAGTACAACAAAAGCCATTAATCTGCAGAGCACAATAAAAATAAAGAAGAAATGCAGATCAAATAAACTTGATTTCTCTCCACTGTGACCGCGTTTTATTCCCTTTAGACATTTCAAAAACTGCTGACAACAAAAGAAATCAACTATTTAACAGATAAGAGCACTGTCAAAATATGCTTTTATTTTGAAGGATGCTACAGCTAGGTAGTCTTGTACTTCTTTGTCCATCTATCGGCGCTTGATTCCAATGTTTTATATTATAATAAGATTTCACAAATGTTTCTTTGTTTCAGCTTTTTAAAATGAACTGTTAACTGTGACAAGGATGTGTCTTTTTCTTTCATTAAAAAAAAATTGATATTACTCTTTCTAATTTAGGACAGATCAACAAAAAAATGACGAACCCAAACTATTTCAATGAAAATTTGAAAAATAAACACGCATGACTTTACAGAGACAAAGCAAAAACTAAATCCACATGCATTATTAAATCTCAAAGATCTGGAGCTGGTTCTGGATCCACAAGTCTCATGATAGCTCCCTGCAACCCTAAAAGAGACACAGGGTACAGCTGATGGTTGCATGGAGATTAAAACATTTAAACATGCACAGGTAAAATTTCTTTGAAACACATATAGACAGGAGACTTTCAGAAGCTGACACTGGTAAATTTGGTTTATTTTCTTTGGAAACGTTCTGCAGCACAGACCAGTTCTTTTTTACATCAGTGATTTCTGTTGCCTCTTTGTGAAGCTGCAGAATTTCTCCACATGGTTGCAAAGTCAGAGGATGACCCCAGCACCAACTTTTTCCTCTCTCTCATTCTTAAATCTCTTTCATTTGCTTGTTTGACTGACTAGCTCTGCACGTAGAAGACATGCTGCAAACAGTCCAGTACAGGAGGTTTTGCAATGCTGTTATCCCTCCCTCCTTGGAGGCCTGGTTGGCTTTACAAAAGGAGATTAAGAGGAAATGTCCCTCCATTCACTCAGGTGCCATAGCTCAGAATCTCAGCTGAGTTTCGCTCTCCTGACCTTTGAGACTTTCTTAATTCTTAATCTAAAACTTTCCTTTTTTGATACAGGCTGTATAATACCTAAACTTAACAGAAATCAAAAACTTGACTGGGCTTTAACTTCTCACTTTTTAAATGCCTCATATTCAATTTTTGAATTCTACCAAATTAAGACTCTTTTGTTGCATGTTCGTTGTATTGTGCTGTTTTATTTTCCGCAGTAGTCCAGCTTGCTTTTGCATTGTTTGGGTTAGCACGCCAGGTACCCTAATCCACTGAGTGATCCTATCATGCTAGCTGGTCTAATCTAGTAGATGACCTTGCTGTCAGAGAGATACAGTGTTATATAAATGACTGGCTTGATGTAACGTAGTGACTAATCACCATAATCTGACCCAGTCAGATGGAGTAGTTGGAGGACAGAGTCTGGGAATGGATGGACTCAAAGATGCAAAACAAGACTTTGGAGGGGAGAGGAAAGGGTGAAGAAAGGAGCTGCTGACTGTGTGGAGTTTGTTCTGGGAGAGCGTTTAACCTCGATTTTCAGTCTTCATTTGCGTTTTACACCATTGCCTGTTTCTCAGCCGGGAGGGAGAGAGGGGGAGAAAGAGAAGGATGGGGGTGGGGGGGGAGGACAAACAGAGTCTAGCCAGTTATTTAAAGCCCTTCTATTCATAGCTCTTTATATAACCGCTGCTGTAACCTTGATGATTTATTAACACTATCACTGTACACACACGGAGACACAAAAGAGTAACTTGCTAACATCGCCAGCTTTGGAGGACGACGTTCTTGGCAGATGTAGTGAAAGATGAGACAAACAGCAACATGAGCATGTGATGGCTGATGCCGGGGCGTCTGAAACTGTGGCCACCGCGATCAGCTGGTTCAGGAGATCTTACAGTAAAGAAAAGTGGGATTGGCTCGTGTTTGTGTGTGCTGACGTCTAACCAGCAGAGTCAGCAGAAACTTTAAGACAAAGCTGTATTATGTTCACCATATGGGGGTTCGTGTTTTTCCATGCAACAGGCGATAAGCTAGGTATGTGTGTGCTATTAGTGTAGGATATGTGAGGAATGCAGAACTGAATGTGTGTGTGTTGTATTTGTTTGTCAGCACATTGCTCCCACCCCTCCTCCCTCCAGGGAGGTGAAGTCATCAAAAACAAGCTACCACCGAGCTCTCAGGTGATGATGAGGAACAAAGAAACATCCAGCAGAAGCAAATTCCTCAAACAGGAGCTGAAAGCAGCAGTTATTTTCATGATAATGATGCGACATCACAGTGTTTGGGAACTCCGGGGCTGCAGTGACGGGCTCTTAGAGAGGGAAGTTTATGGTGCAGCTGAAACCCAGGAGGTGTTTCAAATAAGTGTCGAATAAGTTAACTTAGCATTGACAAATAAAAAGAAAGATACAGGCAGAAAAAAGTATAAAGCTCCTGCATTTCCAGAAGAACTTGTTTGGTGGTTTAAAGCCCGGGTCAGGGTTGTAGTCATTTCAGCGTCTCCTGCACACAAAGAGGCACAATTACCTCTTTGCAGACCTTATTGCTGTCTTTCCACAAACCACCTTCCCCTTAATCCTGTACGAGTCAAATACTCCTGACTGAGACCATCATCAAGCTTCCCATTGTGTGTACATCTCATTTGTACATAGGAAATGTCCAAATATGACTCACTTTGACCCTGGGTATTCACAAAAATGGCTGAAATGTTGAGCACAGGAGGAAATAAATCTGTTGTTTACAGGTTGAAAATATTTTAATTTTAAAGGTGGGGTAGGCAGGATCTGAGGAAGTGCCCGTTTTTAGGAGAAGTCTTGAATGTAAACACTACCCCTCCCAACCAGTTTTTCCCTCCGCTCCTCCTCTCCCCTCCCTCTCTGCTCCAGGAAGCCCCGCCCACAAACAGACACTCCTGCTTGCTCGTATTGTTTTAATTAAATTCGGATATAATGTAGATAAATACTTCAGATAATTACAAATGGGGCCCAGTCAACGTGAGAGTAAAAAGCATTGGTGCTACTGTAGATGCCAACAGACTACCAGCAAACACAATGTTTGCAGGACTTCTACAACTAGGATAAAGTGACATAGTCCAGGACCCGAGGTAAACAGTTTAGCGGCGCTACAACACGCAGCAGGTCCCGTTTGACAAGAAACACTTCTGTCTGTTATAGCGGTTTACCTGTCCAGCAGAAAGGTTACAGGGTCCGTAAGATCCGGAAGCGTCCCTCGTCATTTATGCTGATGTTGACTTGACTTTTTAGCTCTTGTCTGGTCTACCTCTGATTTAAGCGCCCGTTATTCCACCAGAGTCTCCGGTATTTACTTCGTTTTCTTGCTTGTGTTGGCAGTCGTGGCCAAAGGAGGATTCTGACATTTTTCTGTACTTTCTGGTTGGTTTCCACCGATATTGTAGCACGCTAACTTTGTTTGGAATGGTTAAGGACACCGGGGACCAGTGTCTGCCTCACAACCAATCAGGTTGGGGGAGGCGGACAGTCAGAAAGAGCGGGCCACTCAAAAAATTTAAAATGTTGACTACACAGACATAACAAAACACAGGGATATCATTATATTACCAAATGTCCTCAATAACTAATAGCTATTGACTGATATTAAAAGCTTTTGTGTATATACACCACAAAAAAGATGCTTCTTTAATGGAATCCTGCCTACCCCACCTCTAATTATTTTGTGTAAATAGGATGATACTTGTGTAAGTATGACTGGAGTACAGCAGTCAAATCAAACAAGCTGAAAATCTATGAAGAGCACAACACACACAAACTCACACACGCGACAGGCCTGATAGCAGTCAGAGAGGAGTAGTAATGGGTAATGGATGGCCTCAGGAGTACTTTGTGTGTGTGTGTGTGTGTGTGTGTGTGTGTGTGTGTGTGTTGGGGGAGGTGTTAGTGTGTGTGTTTATTCAAGATGGGAGTAGAAAAACATCTGCTCTCTCTCACTGACACTCTTTGGTGTTGACAGTACATGGATGGATGGATGGATTCACAGTTATGCATTCAGTTAAATGATGATTTTCAGATCAGTTTAAGAGCATGCTTTAAGAAAGCATAGCTATGTTTAATCTCCACACTGCAGGAATTTGGAATCACTGCTCTCTGTTTGTGTGTAAGAAACTCTTAAAGGTGGTTCTGGTGCAAAAATAGAGCAGGTTGTTAACTGGTCATTCTCTCTCTGTGTCCAGATTCGTCCCAAAGGCCTATCTATCTTTGTGTGTGTTTGCATGATTTCAATGGGACTCCGGGCACTTTGTCTAGTCTTAGCGTGTGTGAAAGGGTGAATGTGCCGTGTGGTGCTTCATAAATGGAGTCCATTTACCATGTTTGGGCCATGTGCGCCATTAACTCACATAGTTTTCTACCATGTTGAATCAGTTTGGGATAAAAAAAAAAGGGTGCTGGATCCAAAACAACCAGGCGTAACGAAAACCACACACCAGAGCCAGTTGATTCAAAATACCTCACAGTTAAAACGAGCCATGCACCCAAATTTAAACCTCTTTATGTTGCAGCAGTGTGCCTAAACAAATCAGCAGGAAGAGAATGTTGTCACTGGACAATGTTTAATCATGTAGAGGACAAGATAAGTGAAGACTGCTCAGTCAACAGGGGGCGCCAAAGTTCACGAAAACCCAAAGTTCTTCAACGGAGCTTTAAAATTTCACTTGTAGGATCACAGCGTTAGTGTTATGGTACAGTAAAATTGTTGGTCATTGTAGATTAAGAGCATTTGCTTCAGAGCTGCAGTCATGCTCCCTGTCATATGACACCTGAATGCACCACTTTCAGGTTTTTTCTTGCTGACTGTCAGTATTTGTGGTTACATAACATGAGCTCACCATCTGAAAGCGGCTGATTGGCTTTATTGATCACTTCCTGTCAGAAAAGGGCAGTGAGGGATGCTGGTTTGAGCTTCCTGCTTATGATAGGTCAGCCACAGTTGGGGGCCCGCCTCCCTCCTGTCTCTCACACATGTGAAATGTGTAATGGGCAGATGCTGCAGGGTTAAAATAGAAATGAATGAGTACTTCATAAATATTCGACATTTGTGAATCAGCACTGATTGGATTTCATGCTTTGAGTTTGTGTCTCAGTGTCTCCCTCTGTCTTTGTCTGGCTCAGTAGGCGGTGAACGTTTACTGCAGTGTGTTACATAACTCCACCGACTGGAGGCAGCTGTATGTGCGTCGATGTATGTCTCCGTGTGTGTACATGCAGACTTCATGTAATTTTAATGTCCAGAGAGAATGCATGGTGTTTTTTTTTAACCCTTTTTTTATGAGTTTACCATTTTCAAACTAGGATCGTGTTTGTTTGTTTGTGTGTTTGTGTGTGTGTGTGTGCATGAGCAAAGAAAGGCTCATCCTCTGTGTCCTCTGAGTGACATTGAAAAACGGTGAGGGCACACACTCATGAGTAAAAAACTGAATCACAGAGCAGCTTCTGTTCTGATGACATCTGAGTTTTTTTTATTCTCCTTCACTTCTAAAGAAAACCTCTCCAGTGTCTTGACTACACCGCTCTACTCTCTGCATTGATTCGTTCTGCAGTTTGTGGCCATCAGCTGACCCACACACAGTCGTACATCTATGTGCCTCAGTCTGTACTCGGCACTTTGTTCATGATGACCTTGGCTGTGTGTGCAGCTCGTGCTCCCCGTGTGCACGTTACTGAAGACTGTGTGATTGATGTCTTATTGGATCTTGCTGCTGGATAGTACTGACTCACTCGTTTCTCTGTCAGCCTCTCCGTCAGTCCTTTTGTATTGACTACAGACACAGCATTAAGTATTTTCTCTTTGTTTTATCTGCAGTTTGGTCTTATGATTTTACAAATACAAACAGGATGTCTTGTGTGTGATAGAAAGCTGTTAGTCGAGTGCTTCAGTGTTGAACTGTCTTTTTCTAACATGGTAGATAACCTGTTTATCAGTGAGTCAGGTAGCCACTGGATTCAACGGAGGGTGCTCTCATTGTAACACAATCATTGAATGGCACTCTTGACCCCAGAATTAATACTGCGATGGTGTTCTACAAAAATAGAGCACACCTTAACACCTAAACAAGACCTTGTTGACATTGTTGTACCATATGGTATCTTATCACACCCTGACCAGACTTTGGTAGTGGTTCTTGGTGATGCAGAAGTTTTAAATTTGCATTTTTTCTAGGGTGACCTTATGTCTTCTTTTACCCGGAAAATGTCCGGGGTTTTATGGAAGTTTTGAGTTTGTGTAGCATTGACTAACTGAGTTAGAAGCGCGTAAAAAACACCCAACTTGACCCGAAATACCCTCAAAATTTTGTGCATGACTGTGCATGGCCTTTTTTGGGGGATTCAGAATATGGTCACCCTATTTTTCCCTCTTTCACTGTAAGTGGCTGCAAGTCCAAGTGTCTTGTGGTTAGCTGCACAGACAGAAATAAGCCTGCAGACTGGAGCTCTGGCACAGAATCTGTGATCTTATCAATAAGAAATATTGATGTAAATATTTGAAATCTGTTCTCAGAGTCCATCTGCTGCATTTCTCCCCTTTCTCCACTCTCTGAAAGCTGCACCTGACTCAGTCCACGTTTCTTTCACTCAAAAACACCTGCTTCCTCCTTTCCTTTCCTTCTTTTCCTTTCTTTTCCTCCTGCTCTTGCTCTCTGATTCTCTCCCTCCCTTCCTCCCTCCTTCCTTCCTGCCCACTCTCTCCCCTCCACAACCTCTGCCCCACTCTCACTTTCACACTGTTTCTCTGACTGTTTTGACGTTTCTTTTTTTTCCTTGGTTTTCTCACGCCGGTGCAGGATATGAAAGGATTGTTTCGTGTTTATGAGGGAGTGGGAACAGGAGGGATGGAAACAGAGAAAAAGAGAGGTGAAGAGAAAGAAGGAGGCTGGCATTTGTTAGTTCTTGAAGAAAGATTTGTTTGATTTGAGTTTGGAGTGGGATGGAGATGTCTGACTTCTGTTTGCTCACATTTTGTTCATTGTGTGGAAGAGAGGAGGTGACAGGAGAAGTGGACGAAGAGGGGGAGGAGGAGGAGAGAGAGCGTGTGTGTGTCTGAAAAGCCCAGGGACGGGGTCAGTAAGAGCAACAGTAATAGACCAAGTTCTTGATGTTGTAAAGATGCAGGTTGAAAAGGCTCAATAAGTCATCTCTTATCACAGCAGCTGATCATCTATGTGCTTTAAGAGACTGAATAACTTCTGCAACAGGAGAATAAAAAAGGGAACCTCTTATCTGTTCATGGTTTCATCTTTCAGGCGCAATGTAGCTCCAGGAAAAAGTTCCAAAACAAATCACACACTTATAAACACAGACAAAAAGTAATCTTTGTTTGGAAACAATGAGAGGATTGTGAGACGGAGGAAGGAGGTTTCATAGTACTCATACTGATCCAAGTCTTCAAAAGAAAGATGGAATAGGAGTGAAATCATAATATACAGCTGGGTTAAGAAGAAAAGGACGAATGTGTCGGATATAAAAACTCAATAACAAAATAACTGGGCTTACTTTCACAGGAACAGGGCACGGCGCATCTTTGAGTGACAAAGTACTAAAATAAAGGTGGAGAAATGCCTCAGGGGAAATAAAGTCTTCAGGATGTGGTCAGGCAGGTAAATAAAGGATGTTGTGCACATGTTATTAATAACAGAGGAAGATAAACTCTCTCATAGTGCAGTAGATTCTGTAATAAGCTCTTTAATGAGACTTAAAGGAACCCTCAATGCCTGCTTTATTAGAGTTCAACATGATGCTGCAGTTTACAGTTTGGTATGATTAATCTTGCAGCCCCTGGAGGTACAGAAATGATGCAGTTGGCTGGTTTAAGAGTTATTATTCCAAGAATCCCTTAAAAGGATGTAGGTCAACAGGCCGAGGATAAATTTATGATAAGGCCAATAAAATTTGCCCCAATGCGGAAAATATGTTTAATTACTGCAGAACACATGAGCTTCAGATGTCTGTCGAGGCTCACAGAGTTTGTACTGTTTACGCAGAGTGATTTTAAAGGCGCCGTATCCAATCAAACACTGATATTGAGAAACGATCAGAGCCATAAATGATTACTATAAGTGTATGTCTAAATGGGAAATCCTCCGCCTCCGCTGAAAGGGGGGATGAATGAGCGATGTGTACTCAGAATGCTGCACATTGACGTCCATATATTCAGTTCCTGTGAGTCAAATGAAGGCTTTGATGATGGAGGAGGCAGATTGTGTGTTCTCTTTCCCACGATCAATCAGCAGCACCGTCACCGTCGTCTGCCAACTAAAATTAACTTTTTCTGTCCGTCTGTTCTCAGTCCATCCGGCTTTGTCTCCTCCTCTTTTCTCTCACCTTTATCCCCCCCTTCCCCCCTCTCTCTTTCTCTCTCCATCCTTTCTCACACTCCCTCGCTCATTTCACCTTCTCTCTTTCCGAAATGCTTCCTGTGTTTCTGCTCTCTCAGTATTGTTCCCTGTGTGTGTGAGTGTTTGTAGATAGAGAAGTGAGTGTGTGGGAACTCCACTGTGTTTTATTTTGGTAGGTGAGTCTCAATGTCTGTATGTGTGTGGGAACACAGACATGTCCTTATTTGTGAGGTGTTGACTGTGTTTCTCTTTGTGTGTGTGTGTGTGTGTGTGTATGTGTGTGTGTGTGTGTGTATGGGAACTGTTTACTAGAAACTGTTTTCCTGTTTTCATGTTGACAAACGTACAGACAGACTGATTCCTATCTGCAGCTTTGTCTCCTGTTTTATGGATGTTTGAGCTTAAACCGACTCTTGTATGTTCTCTTTATTTGGGTGTGTGTGTGTGTTATGTGTGTGTATGTGTGTTACATTTGTGTGTTTGTGTTAAAAAACAGAGAAAATAAATCGAAGCAGACAAAGCTTTCCACTACAGGAACCCTGTATGAATGGAACTGCCATATTAGGAGACAGGAAGCCAAGGTGATGGAGTCTCTTTGGTGACAGGGTTCCCAAGACCTGATCACTATGGTGACAGAGGTCAAGCCCTTGTTTATGGTCATGTTCATGAGACAAGGTTGGGCACAGAGGGCAGCAGGAACAGACTGTTAGTTTGAGAGGAACAAGCTAATGCTGCGGTTAAGAAGTGCTATTAAATCTCCTGACTTTAATAAAACCTCCTAGGCTGTAAAATAAACAAAGTACTGCTGACTTGTCCCCTTCGTCCTTTCTGTAAATTTTATCCCAGGCTGGAAGAAAATGTGAAAGTTTCCCCTGATTTCTGCAGAAAATTTCTCACATGACAACAAACACAGCAGTGACCATTAATGACGACAACAGCTTAATTCGTATCAGGACACTAAGTGTGCCAGAGAGGATTGCTCTTTTTTGAAAAGCCAGAAAGTTTCACGTACCACATGTTGGTGGCAGAGAATGTATTAAAATGATTTTGGTGGATGTATTACCTCAGCTGAAAAAAACGGTGATGCCTGAGGCTGTTTTTAGGGACTGAACTGATGGGATGTGAGTGGATCTGTGCAGGAGGATGAAACATCCTCATGATTAGATGGCTTGGCTCTCGGTTATTGATGTTGGTACTTGATGTTGGAGGAAAATGCACCTTCATTGTTAAAGGGGCTCTCATTGAAATTAGCTGACATCAGCCTCCTCTCACTTTTCATCTTTGCTTTTCTGTTCACTAAGAGGTGAAACATCAGCAGCGCCTCACACATATTGATCTGCAAAGGTCCAAATCAGGTTTCTGTCCCTATTCTTTTTGATACATTATGATTTAATGAAGAGAAGAGGAGATTATATCATTATTTCATCACTTAAAGAGAAATACTCATGAAGTTGTGCCATATTTGCCTCCTAAGATATTCAAACTTAATCATCTTAGTATGTCCTTTTGCAGACTTTTGAGCAAGTACAGTTATAGTTTTTATCAGAAAATGTTGTGTTTGTTTGAGCCAAAGGAGTTTTTCCAGTCTGGCATGTGTTCAGACTAAAGGCCCAGATGTTATGAAGCCCTGAACAGACAGATATCTGCAGTTTGGTCTCCATAAGGAAGGACAGCGTGGAGGCTGAACGGCACTTAAAGTATTAGTCCTCTTCTGCAGAGAGGCTCATCAAGTGACAGTTTGTCGATAAGACAATGATAAAGTTCAGATCTAATTGTGAGCAGCTGAGTTGCCTACACTCCTCTAAAAGCCGTCTGCCTCCTCTTCCTCTCAGCCACTCAGTGACATCACTGTGCAGTCTGAAGCACTAATAACGTTCATCCTGAACAGGCGGGCCGGGAAAAGCTAGTTTCATTAGAGCCTCAGGCAGTGGGTGTAAAGTAATAAGAGATTGATCTGATCTAATAAAGTGGAGTGATTGTGTCTGCTTGCTGGTGTTTGACAAATAAAGGGAGTTTAAGTAAAAGCACAGACATCGTAATATTTCTAAAAAACTAGGGGTAGCACACTCCCCTTTCAGAAATATCTCCAAGAGTCTTCCATGATTTTGTTTAAGCTACAGCTGCTATCAGCCCCATGCAGGCCAGTTTCTCCAACCGTCATGCCCTCCAGAAGTGAGGACTGAATCAGCACATGGAGCCAGTCAGATATCAGTCTGCAAAACAGTTTGGAAGTAAAGCAAACTCGTGTAGGTTGCAGAAGCAAATGGCAAATAATCAGTTTCTTTATTGGACTCTCAGCTTTTTGAAGGACAAAGTAATTTATGCTCAGCATCCTCCTTTAACAACTTTGTGTACAGAAAATACAACTTAATGGCACAGTGAGGATTTTCTACTGGTTGAAAAACAGACTGAAACTGAGACTATCCCACTTTCTTTTTTATTTTAAATCTCTCTTGAGATGTAACCGACCATCAAAAAACCTCTTAGGTCATGTGTGACTATGTGATCCACTAATAATTTGGTGTGTGTTTGAGCAGTGCATCTCCTGCCTTAAAGGTCACTTTTCAGAGGATCGTGTGATGAGTTGAATAAGCACTGGATCTTCTGGTGACAGATATGTGTGCATGCTCTTAGAGGTGTTGTCTGATGTTATTCAAAGCTACAGTCTACAAAGTCTGCCCGCTGTGTGTTTTTCCAGCATCCTGTGTGTCTTTGTGGCTAAAGTTATAGGCTCAGTTATTTCCACTCACCTGGTGTTGAAACCCACCTGCTGCCCAGTTTCCTCCAGTGGAAAGCAAACCATCAATTTAATAGAAAATGGAAAATGTCACGTGTACTAGACAGATGAGGTTCCCTAAATATCAAATCATCCACCAATTTTTTTCTTCTACTTTATCAGTGTTATATTAATTTTTAAAGCACCAGTAAGGAACTTTTGATTTGTGCCAGTTTTGGCGCCCCCTTATGGCTTTTTTTTTCAACAGCTGTTTGATGACATCTACCTCCTTAAACCACTTCCTGGCATTAAAAAAGGCAGTACATTAACCATGAACTTCGTCCCTGGTGGTCTTGTTCTATTTTGTAAACCATGAAAATGCATCAAAATGAATTTCAGTTTATTTCATCAACATCAAAAACATCAAAAACCTTGAACTTTGAACTACAAATTAAATGTCTCTTATAAACTGTCTCTGTAAACTGCTTTAAGACTTAAAATATCTGTGCTTCCAAAAAGCTTCAAAGTGAAGTTTTGTCCTCCACCTATGAGCTTATAATCACATCAAACTTGATGTTTTTGTCATGTATGTCTCCAAATTCACATAAAGCTGTAGAAACTTGATCCCAGGGTCTCCACACTCCGGCTCAGGTTCTTTGCATTAGCCTGCACTCATGTAAAGACGTTTCAGTCCTTTGTATGATAATCCTGACTGGTTGTCCACACAGAGATAAACCCCCCTGCCTGGTATTGTTGCTGTGGTGTTTTCCTCCTCACTTTTGTTTGGGATTTAACAGAAAGCCATGAAAAAGTTACCCTCAGGTGAAAGCTCTGGTAACCGTGGAAACACAAACACAACAGTCAGATCATGTCAGTGTACACCTGTGACTACTCTGCTGTCGCAAGAAGCAATGAGCTTTAATGCTGTGGTTTTAATAACCAATAATAATTCCTCTCTAAAATCAAAGCTTCAGCTTATTATTTAGAATATATGTATGTATATATGTATATATATTTATATATACCAACAATAACTGCAATAGCTGATTTCATTGAATGACCCTTACGCAAGTTAATTTGTATGGGGAAAACTTTTACTTTGTTAAGTTTTTAAACCAGTATACTCAGGATAATGGATAGAATAGGATAGAATGAGAAAAAGTATGGAAGAGAAACGAAAAGATACAGAATTGAACGGGTGAGAATATACTTGAATAGAAGAGAGGAGAATAGAACAGAACAGAATAGAACCAAATCCAATCAGATAGAAAAAAACAAAAACAAAAAAACAGCTAATTACCCAATTGGATAGAGTAGAATAAAAAAGAATAGGATAGAATGCGATTGAAAGGAATAGAGTGAAATAAAATATAGAGTAGAATGGATTAGAAAAAGAGTGGAAAAGGATAAAGTAGAATTGGATTGAATAGAATAGAATTTATTGAAGAATGTATGTATTTTTCAAGTTTTTAGTTTAATCAAAGTCAGTTTACTCCTGCAGTCAGGATGATACTTGCACCCCCTAGTGGAAAGCAGAGGTATTTATTGCTTCTCCTCACCTGGCAATAAAGTCTCAGTCCATAACTCATACCTGTCTGTGTGTCTCCTGCAGGTCTTCCAGAGCAGTACTACAGTCTGACATGGTTCCTCAGTCCCGTCCTCGGCCTCATGTTCACCCCTCTAATCGGCTCAGCCAGCGACCGCTGTACCCTCAAGTGGGGCAGGAGGAGACCGTTCATCCTGGCGCTGTGTATTGGAACACTTATAGGAGTGGCTCTGTTTCTGAATGGGTCACTGATAGGTGAGTTATCTTCAGGTGTTTCTTTGTGTCATTGTCTGCAATAGTCAACATACAAAATATTTAATAGTCAATGATGTTATTATCAACTACTTATCGCAGTAATTCTGCTTTATTTCTTTCTCACTGACATAAATTATTTGTCTATTTCACTGTAAAATTAAAACAAAAAAGTCCAGGTCACTTAAGCGCCTCACTTACTTTTCTGGGTTTATCCTGCTGTATTTAGAGTAGAGTCTTTGTTGTTGTCTGTCAAAAACAAGTCAATGTTTGACATCAGGTATCGTCATCTCTGTGTGTCTACTGTCTCCTCATGCATCTGCTACATTTTGGATTACAGAAGTCTGCGTACCATCTGCCCACACTGTTATCTAAACCCTCAGAGTCTCACAGTCGTGGTGGGAATTAAACCCCCAAATCTGCCAAGGCAAATACAGTTGTTTTTACCCAGTATGTACTTGTGCTGCATGGAAACTAAAACATGAGGACAGCATTTTCCTAGAATCAGTGGTTTATCCACGGAGACGTTACCCTCTTTCTGACCCTCAAAATCATTACATCATCCTCATGTGACTGCGAGAACACAATTGTTCAGCCAGATCAAACTGATTGATCAACCATCGATCATGCTATGCATATTTATTGATCCCTCGTTTAACTCTAATTGTAGTTTGGCTATACTGTAAACAAAGACACATAAAGACTGTAGGAAGGTTTGTGTAATCGGTGAATCTATGAGTTTTCAACTGTTTATGTTCAACCATCACCATGTCATTTTTTACTCCCCAGAACTCTTAATACTGATGATAATTTTACTCGATGGCACAACAGACAAACAGACAGTTGTACTTGACTGCAGTGAAATTTGTACAAATCTCTTTTGCAGCCTTAATAGTCTTAACCTGCTAAAGCATGCAGGTAAAAGCAGAGGGCATTGACATAAAATTAGAGTTTTGTTTCACAGTTGGTTTAGGCTTCACAGGGATTTAACCAGCAGGTTTGTCAAATAAAGCCAATGCAGGAGTGCCAAAAATCACAGTTCCTCAAGTGTCCGCTAAAGGCAGGCTGCAGAACTACTAGAAACCACATACACACCTATTCAAAAAAGCTCATCTTTACTGCAACAATAAACACGTTTACAGCAAGGTAGAGAAAATGATTTTGGTCTGAACAGATCAACTTCTAACTGAACTGATTTTCTCTAACTTATTAGTTAAGAAGAAAACAAAGTTACAAGTTCAGCATATTAGATACAGGGCTCTTCTATGTTGACGTCACTGACAGCAAAATATGCAAATAGTTTTAAGAAACTAACTTTATTTCTATGTTACAAAGTATTGAAGCTATATTAGAGAGGGAAAAAAATGATTTACTATATTCATTAAAGCTGTTAGAAATGTTGAGTTACTGTTGCAATAATAAAGTGGTGGTGTAGTCATGGTATTGTGGGAATAAATTCATAATGGTAGAGTCCTAAAATTTTGAGAACCAAAATGTGAAAAGGACTTAAGACTTTACACTTCACATTACATTTATTTACTTAAACATGCACCAAATGGTTCATAATGCAGAGAGTAATAAAAAGGGCCTTTTTAGTGGATTTATCAGATATGAGCACTGTGTGAACCGCTGTCTGTCAGCAGATTTTATTCAGTTTTTCCTCCATTCTTCTGCAGAGAGGTCAACACTCAGGTCGATTTAGGGCACCAGTGTGTATGAGTGTGTGTTTGTGTGTGTGTGAGAAAGAGACAGAGAGAGAGAGAGAGAGAGAGAAGGAGAGTACTTTTCCAGAGGGGCTGACCTGGGAAAGAGCAATGACCTGTATGTATGTGAGACAACTGAGAGACTAAGAGGGAAGAAGTGTACGTTTCCGTGCCTGTATTTATATGAATGTGTGTGAACAGCACACAGTGACATGGGAAAACTGTAGTAACCTGTACAGTCTGAGTGTGTGTGTGTTGACATGGGAACACAGGAGCAGGCAGTTCACAGGGAAATGCTTCCTGTTTGCTTCCCCCTTTCCACCAATCACAATTCACTTCCTGTCTGCCTGCCTGGCTAGTAAATGGAGCTGCTCTATTGTCCCACACACACACACGCATAAACGCACGCGTGCGCGCACACACACACACACACACACACACACACACACACACATGCATACGCACGCACACACACAATCACACACGCACGCATGCACATACTCACACAAATATACACCAACATACACACTCTGTGCTGTTCTGTATGTGATCATTTGTTCCTGCATCTTGATAGATTCAGTTTGTAAAGTCATGTTGCATCACACCACCTGTAATGTGTCTCCCCTTTGGCCCTACCCCTTTTGTCACACACACACAGATTCATTCATATCCATGCTACTAAAGCTTTCCCATGTTGTTTGTCCTGCTCGAGGGTGAAGCCTGGGTCACAAACATGCTGCAGGTTGCAAATATCTTGCATAGCATCATGGGTAATGTGTTCCAGCCCTTTTGTTGACGTCAGTGTTCTGCAGCTGTCCTCACCCAATAATCAGCCATTGATCGTGGAGTTTGTGAGCTATTGTTTGCAAACAATCCTAGATGGTTATGTGAGAGCAGTGATGATATTTATCACATCATTAATTTGTGATAAACATGCAGATTTAAGAGTAAACAGCTTTTTGTTCTGATGATATTTCTGAGATATTTTCTTCAACTACGCTTGCATATCATGCATATGTATTTCTTAATTGATAATAACTATTACATGAAGCATTAGAAGACTCAGATCTTTAATAATGAGCAAATTTTATCATCTTCTGTTCTTCAACAGCTGTCTATATATATATATATATATATATATATATATATATATATATATATATATATATATATATATATATATATATATGTGTGTGTATATATATATAAAGCTGATGATACAACAGCGCTTTAGGGGGAAAATATGCTTTTAATTGCTACAGAGGTGAACTGACTTATTAGGAATGTTTTGATCTAGGCGCCGGTTACCCTCTTTTAAAATCTTCTATAAGGAGTTTTTGACATGAATAAAATAGATTAGAATTCACATTAATGCTTTTTAAAACATACAAAAGCAAACAAGATCATTCAAGACCAGATAATTGATTTAATTTTGTAAATGGGATTTCTGCCGGAGGACCGGACTTGCGCATAGAGGAAAAGAGCTGCAATTACTGCTTTGTCCACAGGGGGCGCCAAACTTGACAGAAGACAGAGTTAATTGTTTTTTTTTTCAAGACGTGTTTATGGTATAATCTGGCTCCATAGTTGTCTTGTTTGTCCTCAGTTTGTCCAATTGTGTTTTTCTTGTTACTGTTATCATGATCTTTTTTGCCCTTATAATCATGAGGTGCAAATCTGATATCATGAAAAGCTCTTCTCTTCTCTTACAGGTCTGGCTGTGGGTGATGAGAAGGGGAGTCAACCAATAGGGATAGTGCTTACTGTGCTGGGGGTGGTGGTGTTGGACTTTTGTGCTGATGCTACAGAGGGACCAATCAGAGCATATTTGCTAGATGTGGCAGACACAGAGGAACAAGACATGGCACTGAACATTCACGCCGCCTCAGCAGGTAACGTTTCCATTTGTCACAAACAGTCAAACCTTTAAACTAACCCTGTGTTAGATGCAAGTTTTGATCCATCCTTTGACAACGTAACTGGTTTTCTTGCACACAAGACTGTAACTCTGCACTTCTGTCCACATGTGCAGGTCTTGGTGGAGCGGTTGGTTACGCTCTCGGAGGTCTGGATTGGACTCACACCTTCCTCGGAGCAGTTTTCAAGTCCCAGGAACAGATCCTCTTCTTTTTTGCTGCAATCCTCTTCTCAGTCTCTGTCGTTTTACATCTTTTCAGCATTGAGGAGCAGCAATACTCGCCTCAGCATGACAGGCTTGACCAGGTACGATTCATCTAAATAAAAGTTCACTTTTTAGATCTGATGACTTTGGTCTCTAACTTCCCACTCTCACTGTCCTCCCACCAGGAGAGTCCAGATCGCACACACCTGCAACCGTCAGCCAATGGCAGGACCGGCCTTCTCGCCCCAAAGCTGGAGCTGATTGGAGAGGATGACACTCTTGACAGCTATGACCTCTATGACCCGTATGGAGACGACCAGTCAGAGCGCGGGGACATGGACTTCCTGGAGGTGGAGCTTGTCAGGAGTAAGCCTGCGCACGCTCTTTTTCTGACTGTGAATGACATGAAAAACTTGTGACTGGATCATGAAGAGGTCATTTCCTCACCTGCTTTCTCCTGGTGTTTTTACAGGTAAAAGTGACAGTGTCCTCGCCATGGCAGACGCCACTCTGGACCACATAGACCATGATGCATTGTTCCTCTGCCACATAGAGCCGTCCATCTTTGCTGATCGCCTCTCGCCCTATCATGGCTCCCCCCCTAACACCGCATCCTTCTTTAACCCCATCCACAACACCCCGCCCCCCAAATTTGGCAACATCAGACGCAGCAGCAGCGCAGGAAGTCAGGACCTGCTCCGCCTCCAAGCTAACAACCACCAAACACATGCTCCAAGGATTTCTCGTCTATCAGCCTTCCTGCAGGAGATGGAGAACGATGACGGTCAGGAGGCGCTACTGAACAACCAGCTTAATGAGCAAAGGACGCTAAACGGGCGTCTGTTAGCCGGCGTGACAAACGCTGACAGTGACAACACTAACAGGCTGAGCTCCAAAGGACAGGCACACAGAGCTGGGATGGTCAAAGGTCTGTGTTTTTTTTAGGTGTTTTAAATGAGACTAGAAGCATAAAGACAGACTTTCATGAACTTGTTTTAATGCTAGAAACCTCTGAGTCCCCAGAGTGGTGTCAGATGAGGGCATTGAGAGCATGCTGCATAAATAGCTCTTTTGCATTATCTATGGCAAAGATTAAAGAGACGGTCAAAAAACAGGAGGCTAAAACCTGTTTTTAAAACGGCCCTTGAAAAAAGTGCCATGAAGGTGCCCGGTGATGCCTATGATATAAATAAAACAGATGTTTAGTTACAAGATGTTAACTTTTCTTTGCAGATTCCTCTCAGTTTCCCGACCTGTAAATCATGCTATTTGATCATTTAAATTAACATGTAAGGCTATAGTTTAACCATGTTTCATTTCTAGCTGCCAGTACCGGAGCTCCCATGCGACAGTCCCGTCACCGCCACACCTTCTACCGCCAGCCGTCCTGCACTTTCTCCTACTACGGAAGAGTGGGAAGCCACCGCTACAGATACCGTCGGGCCAATGCCGCTTTTCTCATCAAGCCGTCTCGCAGCATGAATGACCTGTATGAAGTGGAAGCCAGACACCGGAGGAGGAGCAAACAGAGGAACAGACACCGTAGTGGAAACACCAACTCCTCCAGCGGAGACACAGAGAGTGAAGAGGGAGAGGTGAGAGTCTTTTTTCTTCACCCTGTTTAATCTTTCCAGTATGTTTTCAAGGATCTAATTCTGTTGTCTCTCTTAAGGTTGAGACCACTGTGCGGTTACTGTGGCTCTCCATGCTGAAGATGCCTCCAGAGCTGCTGCGACTATGTGCCTGTCACCTGCTTACATGGTTCTCCATCATCGCTGAGGCTGTCTTCTTCACCGACTTCATGGGACAAGTCATCTACCACGGGGATCCTACCGTAAGACAATACATTTGACTACTTTAATGAGTTCATTTCTGTCCAAACTAATTTATACATCAAAAAATGTCAGCGATAAGGTACAAACCAAAGTTTATCCAAACAAAATGATAATTTTTCATTCACTCTGTCACATTATAACATCTAATTTCAAAGACAACTGTTTTGAAATAAAGAACACAAATATGGGGAGATAATTTTCATCTTTGATTGTGTCTCTTTCTGTCATATTCTTACATTTTAAGACAAATCACAGTTTAAGCTCAGCTCTTTAGATCTCAACCGACAGTATAACAGGCTAACGTTACTAATGTCCTCATCGATTTCTAATCTGTATCTGTTAGGCTCATTCTAGGTGTAGCAACATTACAGAGACTCCAGATCATCTGCTGGTCTGAATATCTTTGTCTCAGTCCTTTGATTTAGGGGTATTTGTCCTCATAATCTCCCTCTTAAACCAGGCTGGCCTTGTACATTCACAGACTGTGGTCTGAGTTTATTAAGCCTCCAGCTATAACTCCTCTTGAATTTTTAAAATATCTTTATTTTTTAGCTTGATGTCTAACTGAAATGCATATTTAATTAGGTATTTGACCCCTGCAACTATAAATCAACAAATCAACACATAAGTCATTTAGTTGTACATTAACTGGCCAATGGTTAGTGCCTTCAAGTCTAAATGCCAATATTCTTATTTTTTTCAATTAAAGATGTTTCTAATAGTGAAAATATAACAATATGTTAAAAAAGAAAAGCAATAGATTTTGTTATCACGACAACTGCTGAAACATTTTGCTTGAGGTTGCCAGATTACAGGGTAGCACATTCAACCTTTACACCAGCTTACACCTCTGCTTAGCCCAACCGGTACACATAGGCTCTGTTTTACCTTATTTTGAATGTGGATATTCACAAACAGACAGTCCAGTTGAGATTGGAACAAAAGTACATGGAAATGTTAACAGGGATAACAAAGTGGAAAAGTGGGATAGGAAAGGAAAAAAGAGAGAGGGGGGAAAAAGAGATTCGATGACTGAAAAAAGTTATAAAAACAAACGCAATCCCTGACAGATTATTTTGTTACTAATACCGAAGACTCAAATCTGAATCTGAATCAGGGCAGAAAACTGAGACTTTTCTCTTTCCTTCCCTCTCTTAGGCTCCTGCTAACTCGACTTTGTTGGATAACTATCACAGAGGAGTTCAGATGGGATGTTGGGGACTGGTTATTTACGCAATGACTGCTGCCACATGCTCAGGTAAAACAAAAAGTTCACTAAGTCTAATCATATGTACAAATATTGTCTCACTATACTCAGTTGCCAAATGACTCAGAGGAAACAGCTTTAAATCAATATATTCTGGACTAAACTCTCAATCCCTCCACTTTTTTTAGCTGTTCTTCAAAAGTACCTTGACAACTTCGACCTGAGCATCAAGATCATCTACATCCTTGGAACATTGGGATTTTCAATCGGTAAAAAAAGAACTCAACACAATAACACAGTTCACTTTATCCACATGTTGTATGTTAGTTTTATGTTGTTTGATTATAGTGTACCTGTCTTTTGAACATTTTGACTCCATAAAGTTAAATATGGAGGAAAGTGATAGAAAATTAAACAAAGACACACAACTATAACATTTTATCAGTGTTTGTTTGGTTTCTCGTTTTAAAAAATGAGTGAGAGAACAATGTCGTCCTTACACTTTTTCTGTTCTTTATTCTGTAGGAACTGCTATCATGGCAATGTTTCCCAATGTGTATGTTGCAATGGTGATGATCAGCAGCATGGGCATCATCTCCATGAGTATCTCCTACTGTCCTTATGCTCTGCTGGGACAGTACCATGAGATGAAAGAGGTGCCTGAATTCTCACTTATTTTCTGAGAATAATGTCAAGTTTTGATTTGTCTTATCCAGTTTGCAAGAACCAGGTAGTGATACATATTATGTATAAAAGACTAACTCAACATATGACCTGTAGTAACTGTACATTTCTCTCTTCCTGCAGTACATCCAGCACAGTCCCGGTAACTCCCGCAGAGGCTTTGGCATCGACTGTGCCATCTTATCCTGCCAGGTGGGTGTTAAAGTCACATAATCGCACTTCCTGCGACAAAGCTTATGTCTACTTGATGACGCAAAACAGACTGTTGTTGACTGTTGTCTCTAATCTGGTAGGTGTACATCAGTCAGATCTTGGTTGCCTCGGCTCTGGGTGCTGTCGTGGAAGCGGTTGGAAGCGTCCGCGTCATTCCCATGGTGGCCTCTGGGGGCTCCCTTCTTGGATTCTTCACTGCCTGCTTCTTGGTCATTTACCCAACTCCAAACAGCAGGTGGGGGAACTTTGTTGAGAACAGATTTGGTTTCCTGCCAGTATTGTATTAGGAATATAACATACCCCATTTTGGACTACCCCCACCAGTTTGTAAAACTGTTCTTCTGAGTATAATCTCCAGTCCTAACATCTATGGTTTTGATTCTGATCCACAGGGAAGTGGACTCATCCAAAGCTTCAGAAAAACGGGCCTTGACGAAGCTGGAAAATCCCATCAGCAGTGAAGTGGCCGTCATCGTAGAAAAACCCAGTTTCCTTAAACTGAACAAGGCGGGCAAGGCCACCACTACCACCACTTCCTGTCATACAGAGAACGAGTCTGCTCTGTGATTAGCTGGCTTCTTCAAAAAGCACGTGACTGCAGGACTGGGTCACCACTGATAGAGGGACTTTGTTTTCTTGGTTTGCATCAACAGGATAGTTTTATTTAGACTTTTTGAAGGAAACTAAATCTGCTGCGGGACCAGTGATTCACCTGACCAACGTACCCAACATTAAAATATTCTGGTCCCAGAGCGGTTTCAGCCATCACTGAAATTCCTTCTTCTCAACCGTCACAGTTATCTGATTGATCCGTCTCGGGTCATTCAGAACTGAGCAATTCATGGTTTAAGGAGAGGTCGTCTCTGTCTCTCAGGGCCTCTAGGAGGTGCTACTAAGCAACCACCTGGACAGAAAACTTCAGGGGACTCACTCATACACGCACACACCTCTTCATCAGGGGGTTGACACGAGAATTGAATGAATACCTGAGAAAAAGAACTTTGTTGAATTCAAGTCCTCGAAGCTGCAATCATTCTAAATGCTGAAATTGTTCTTCCTCTCTGTGGATTAAGTTTGATTGAATCTTTGCGATGTGAAGTGGAAGTTGACGGAAAGTGTGTTTTGTCTGCGGACTTGTTGTCTCTAGTGGAGGCATTGTGTTCACCAAAATAAACCCAACGACAGACTTCAGCTTTGTTGGACGTTTGACAGCACTCTGATCGCAGCTTTAAGACTCAACAGACTTTTGGGAGTGGCATTTTCTGAAACTAAGAACCGGAGTCCGGTGAAAAGCCTTGGGGAAAAAATGTTTGATCACGAGTCCCAGAATTGGTCGGGAATGTTTTTTGTGTTGTTGAGTTTTTTTGTTTAGCCTTAAGGAGGTTTGCTCAGAAGAGTGGGGCATAAGGAGAAAGTTGCCTGAATACTGAGTCAAAGTGTAGTGAAATTCCAGGAAAGAAAGAGCAAAGGAGCAGTTTGCATTGGCATTACAATTCCAAATATTTCCTTTTCTGACTCATGGAGGGCCCAGAGTGATGCTCCTGATTGTGTTAAATAATCAGACTAACCTCCATGCTGCACGTTAGAGGAGCAGAGAGAAGACAAAACAAACCGTTGACCAGAACAGGAGAGAGTTGTGGAGTTGTTCTCTATTTCTCTGCGTTCTAGATTAATTTCATTTTACTTTTTAGAAATGCTGTTGGCACAATGTTTGTCTCTTACTGCGCATTATTGTTCAAAGACACTCACTAATGTTTAGTACATGAAGTGCTGTTTGAAACTTATTGAGACATTGAAGGAGTTTGCCTCGTTCGGACTCTTCCAGAAACAATTAGAGTCTTAAATGAGACACAAGAATATTATAATTTTTCCCTGATATACTGAAGAAAAAAGAGGTGGAATTACATCAGTCAAACTCTAATCATTGATAAAGAAAAATTGACAAGAGTAAGCTGAATTATGATCGGTAAATGTTTTCCTCAATATTGAAAACGTTTGTTCAGGTGTCAACAGACAGTTTTTGATGTACCATTTGCACCCCTGAAAAAAGAGGCTTCTTTAGATTTTTTGGCCTTTGCAAAGCAGCTCACTAGCGCAAACAGCTACTTAATCATAGCTGATCATGTGAGTAAAAACATTTTCTTCTACCATGTCTATATTAAAAGGGGCTGTGTCGACCGATGCTGTTTTTTTGTGCTGGCAGCAGCTATTTTTTATTCAGACTTAATGCAGTTAGGGTTAGGTGCTAGAGTGCTCAACAACCTCAGTGCAAAAATAAAAATAGAAAAATCAGAGCCCTGAATAAATCTCTTTTAAAGTCCTAGTTTTCTGACTTCTTTCTCAGAATTTTGAGAAATATAAGGCCTCGAATAGTTTGTAATTTCGCGTTGTATATTTTTGTCGGTCCCGGTGTGTAAGGACCAGAATTTTAATTTAATCTCAGAATTTAGGCTTTAGAGTAAGTTTTTTTTGACTTAATGATTAAAATCTGAATTCTGACTTGATTCTTTTTGTAATGTCTGACACTTTTTGAAGTTTTCCTTTTTCTAGAGTTCTGAATGAAAAGATGGAAATCTGGCAAAAACAGACTGAATTTTTAACCTTAAACCCAGAATTCTGAGAAAATGACTAAATTCTCACTTTTTTTTAATCAGATTTTTCTTATTTTGAAAAAGGTGCAATTTAAAAAAAACAAAGATAACCTTCATGTATAACTTTTTTTTCTGTAAACTGGCCCTGATCCTCTTCCGCGCAAACCCACAGACATTTATCCCACTGCTGCACTCGTCAATGTCACTTTTTGGTACCTGACCAATCAGAGTCATGAAAAAGAGGGGCGGGACTTCTGTTCATGCTTTGAAAATAACTAAGGTGGAGGTACTACTAGAGCTAAAGTGACTACACTCGATTTTTCAAGGTACAGTTTTCTAAGCCAAGAGCTGCAATATGACACAACTGCCACAAAGTGCAAGTAAAGATGAAACACGGAGCATTTAAAACGGACCTAATGGTCACTGTTAAGGAAGCGGAAATGCTGCGCGACATTTTTGGTTAGCTAGCAACAGCATGAAGCGCGCTGAGATTGAGATCGTGGGTGCTGCCGGCGCCAAAAAACACCTCAGTGGACATGGCATCCAACAAAACTTAGAAGACAGTCATCAAAACAATGTTTTAAAGAGAAGAGGAGACATGCACGATGGGTACATGAAAATCAAACCCTCATTGATAGGCTACTGATTTATTATATTTGTAGGAGAATTTGTTAGAGAAACTTCTAGAAATGTGTCCAAAGCTCACACTGTTGGATGTGATATAGACTGTTGGATGTGATATGTATATTAATTTCTTCCTGACAAATCAGACGTGTTGTTGCAATACCAGCCTTTATGAATGATTTTGGAGGAGGACTGTGAAGGTTGTGCAGGGAGAGCAGGGTTATTGTTGTGTTTTTCTGTCCTCCATCTGTTAGAGTGAAAGGCCAAGGATTTAGGTCAGTTTGCCTCTGGGCTCCATCAGCTGAAACATGCAGATTTAAAAGAATCTGAATGTAAACTGCAGTGGGTTCATTTACTAATGACGAAGCTTTTATCTTAGTGTGCAATTAGTGGAGGAGCTGATTTTTTGAATTGTTTGGAATTTAGGAGAGGATTCACTCACACATTAGGAGGGGTGTTGGTGCAGATTTCAACTCTTTTTTTAGACTAAATCAATTCCATTATTTCAGGTACATTCAGCCAGTCTCCAGGCGAAGCGGACAGGGAGGATTTCGCTCTGACTTTGGTGTGGGATGGGATGGTGACTCAAAACAGGGGGGTCCAGATGCAGAGTTTTGAAAGGTGTCTGTTACTACTTGGGCAATAAAACATTCTGGACTTTAAAAAAAAAAAAAAGACATGCAACAAAAAAAGACAACTTAAAAAAACTTTGGGTGTGGGAGGTTTGCATGCCACAACAGCAATATGCATGTGTGCAACACCAAAGTATGACTCTGTACAAATCACTCAGACTCTTTTCTTTGTGTCCTAATAGGTCAGGGATGTGTTTTTTAATGCATGGCTGGATGTTTGTGTCTTTTTGTTTGAATTTAATGTGTAAAAAAAACAACATGTACTCTTTAAGCTGGAGCATTGTGCTCGGTCTGGGTGAGTACACTCTTAACAAGCATGTGACTAAATTTTCTTTTGTTTTCCTTTTTTTTTTTTTTTGCACATTTATGATTAAAATTTAGGACCACACTCACCTTGTCACCTCTCAGCGCTGCATACAGGTGCTTTGCAGTGTTTTGAACGGTCAAAGACGGGGTGTGTGTGGTTGCAGAGCTACACTTCTTGTTAAAAGTGTAGGTGAGAAACTCCAGGCCATGAATACTTGAAGTGCAACTTGAGTGTTTCTGTCCCATTGCAGTGGAAAGTCTCTGATTTTAGGGGTTTGTTTTACTTGTTCTTAAATGTCCCAAGCCTTTTTTTTAATGCAGACTCTGGAATGTTCAGACAGCAGCTCGGCCTGCTGGGAGATTGAGTTCTTACCTTTGATTCCATCTTGTGACTTAAATGTTCTTGAATGTCAAGTGATTTCATCTGAAATCATTTTAACTCTGATGTTAGCAAACTGGGGGTGGGGGGGAGGTCTGACATTGCACAGAACTTGCACATAATATAAAAAACAAACAGAGGTGTGTTGCAAAAGGAAGACATTATATAACTGTGGATATTTATTTTTTGAGCTTTCTTGTCTCTACAGGACACTTTCTCTTAGTTTCCAAAAGACTACATTAAAGCTACTCTGTTAGCTGTTACGGGAGATGTAATACAGGTGGACTGGAGTTTGAAAATGACCGTGTGTGTGTGCGTGTGTGTATGTGTAAAGAAACAGGTAAAAGTGTGTTAAAATCGTCATCTCAGTGTTTGTTTTGGTTCTGGTTCTCTGTTCTTTTCAATCACCTGGTTTACACTTAACTCTGGAATCGATGGCTGCAATACCAGGGGTTATTGATGAGTCTTTAATGTTCTGTTTTAACTCAACTAGATGTCTTTTTCATGTTTTTGTGTCCGTTTGACCTCAAGGCAGAGCCACACACCAGAGTTGAGTCTTTTGCACTTTTCAGTGGCAACCATATTGGCTCCACCGTCCCCATCTTTGAATGAATGTTTGTGACGTAAAGCCGCCGCCTCATGTCTCTGTGAGTGGCTGTCAGCAGCGTGGCGCTCATGCTGTTAAGTCCAATCTGGCCCGACCCGGCGTGTGCGGCTCTGCCTTCAGAGATCTGTTTGTTAGAGACAGAGAAGAGAGATGCCTATATACTTTGATTTTCACAGAGGTTTAATCAAGAAGAAAACTTAAAGAATGGGAAAGCAAGTATGCGCAGTGTACTATATATTATATGCCTTGTTATTTTGGAAAAAAGATGTAAATATACATATTTCTCTTTTAGTTTCTTCTTTTTGCTGCTATAAAAAGATGATTATTTTTGTTAGTACTTTTGTTTTCTATATAAAGACTGTATATATAAATATATCTATGTTCTGTAAATATGCTTGAGCCTTCATATAGGACTCTGGATGAACACTGTATGGAACGCACCTTTAAAATCTGTTCAGAAATTAACCAGAATCGACTCCGCCTTTTGTTTCTTTCATTTTGATTTAAATGAATCACTCACGGTTTGATCAGTATATCACAAGTGAGTCATGGGGAAATGTGGGTAAAACTGGTTCATATTCACACCACACACAGACTGACGAATTGGGCTCAATTTTTCATAAATACTTTACAATATTCAAAACCTTTGGAGACAATTATGGAGGATGCCATAACCAGAAAATTACATTGACATAAATGCTGTCCAATTCTACATTTTTGGGGCACTGTGAGGATGAGACATAAAAGTTATTACTTTGTTCACGGGGGTGCCAAAATCATCACAAACCAAAAATTCCTCACTGGAGTTCTGAATTGACATTATTTGCACACTTGCCAAAAGTTAATTGCACGTTTTTTAAGTTTTTAATACCCACCATAAAAGTGAAAGTGGAAAAATATGTTGCACTATTATTATTATTATTATTATTATTATTATTTTTATTATTATTATCATTATTATCATGGCAACAAGCCAAATTAATGGCGGATACTGTCCAGAAAAATATGCTAAAATAACCTCAAATTTACTGCATGCTCAAAATCTAAGCAGTAGGTCTAACATGGAGAAGTCAAACCTGACCGGCAACAACAGAGGCTCATACCGACCTGACTGTCACATGTCCTGGTAAGTCTGGCACAAATCAGAGTCCAACTTTATTCTTGCAGAGGTTCAATAAACTCCTCCTGTTTTTTAAGAAGCTCAGCACAAAATAATAACCTGATGGATCGCAATCAGGGACGGAAGTTATTACGATTTTTAGTAACCAACAACATTATCAATTCTACAAATTGACCCTGTTTTTAAATTCTTGTGGATTTTATGTGTGGTGAAAAGTCAGTTTAAAAACATTTACTGTGTCAACAACACAATGTGTTTTTGATGCAACTTCTTATCGGGTTTTTTTTACATACAGGAAGGGCATCTCGAGTGGACTTTAAAAAAAAAAAAAAAAAAAAAAAGATCAATAGACATCCAGAGAATCCTTTTTGGGTTAATTCGGGAAAAACATCTAGAGGGCACTTTTTAAAAATGATCTGTACACTGGAAGTGGATACAGAGAGTAGCTGTCCCATGGTTTTAATACAGGAAGGGCATCCAGAAAGCATTTTGTCATCCTTTAGAAGAGCAGTTCTTGGAGCAGCTTTCTGTGAAAAGGCACCAGAAAAGGCATTTTATTTTTTTACAGGAGCATCCAAGAGTGCTTTCTGCAGCATGTATGGCTGCAGCAATAGACAACTCAACCATTAAAATGGAAGTTTTTTGACTGAAACATATTACACATGTAGTCTGCTGAAAAGTTTTAGGCACCACTATACCTCTATGTGTGTTTTGATCTTGCAGGGTTTTTATCCATGTGACCACTGATGAAGTCACCTGCTGCTCGTCTGAAGTTTTTGTCTACTTCAGTGTCTTTTTTCTGTGTTCAGCAGCACCTTCAGAGCCACTGTCTGGTTTCCCATCATGTCATGTGATCAGACTGCTGAGAGAGGAGAGGAACCAAACAGCTTCACTCCTGCAGAGTCAGATATTTCCCCCTCACACGGGGTCAGTGCCCCTCGCTCTTTCCATACAGAGACACCAGAGAAGGAACCTGAAACTGGTGTGTGTGTGCAAATGTGTGTGTGTGTGTGTGTGTGTGTGTGTGTGAAATGTTCTTATGTAAAAGGTGTAAACTTACAGAGCGAGAACATTTACTTTAACTGAACTTTAATAACCTCCTCCCCATCTGTAGACTTAAAGCCACTTACTGAACAGTATACAAACTCCCATTCCAGAGTTGACTGCTCATCCACCTGCTATCAAGCCCCTATTAATCCATATCACTATAATCCAATATACACAAACAACAGAGAATAACCTCTTCACTTTGTTAATGTTTAGTTTAACCTGTCTTTGTTTCCTTTATTTAAAATTCTTCCTTATTGCAAAATAAAATAAAAAGCAATGAAACAAAATAAAGTGAAACACACAAAGATAAAATAAAATGAAGTCAAATAAAATAAAGGAGGGAGACAGTCTGTCTGTTTCTACTCTGGTGTGACACTGCCCTCTAGTGGAGATTTGCAGCTCTAAGTCAGGAGAACATTGCTGATTTTTTATTCTTTCCTATTTATTAAAACGGCAAAATAAACAAAAATCACCATTAAACAAAGTTATTATTTTGTACATGTTAGAAAAAAGGATTTAACACATACAGAGATTCTACTTTCATTATACAGCAAATTATTCCAGCAACAATACAAACTCAGCGTCAAGGATCCCATAATGATGTAGTTCTTCAGATAACCACATGGTGTCAGCAGAGCGTCAAAATCAACAAACACAACAGCTACTACAGCAGACAGAGAACCTACAGGGACACAAATGTTTATTGCAGACAGATTATATAGAGTACAGTGTGGTTTTATGTAGAATAATATGGATTATATGGGATTATAAATTACAGGAAGTCCCCCCCCCCCCATTACATTTCTTCCCTATCATCTCATGACATTTGCTTTAAATGAAACAACTACAAAAGTTCTTACTGTGGATGAAAAGTATATGGACATGTATAGTATATGTATGGACATTTTCCCAATAAAGAATTTCAAACATTTTTCCAGAAACTTAGAGTAATATCCTGATACCTTTTGAAATTTATCATGGAACTTTTTTTTGTTATCTCCAGAACACCTCTGTGAATTTTTAGTGAAACCCAAAGAAATATTCAAGACACTCAAGGCAATTTTTCCATATTCTTATTTTTAAAACATTACCAGAAATTTCTGGAAGTTTTCTAAAACTTTAAACTTTCAAACACCTCCTCAGGAAATTTGCAAAAAGGTTCTTGACAGTCCTATATGTGTCTTTTATTCTAACATCTTATTTTGGTGTTAATCTTTATTCAAAATTTTTCAAACAAACAAAAAAGGAAGAAATCTTGGACATGTGAATCAACCACAATCCAAACCTACAGTAACAATTACTGTTCCAAACTGAAGTCATAGACATATTTGTTGTATACAATAGTATAATTATAATTATACAGCAAGAACAAGAAGGTATAGAAAGACATATAGAAGGAGGGAATAATCCTAAACTAAAACTTGGATATCATTGTTATACAAGAGGTTTTGCATCCCACCAAGACAGCAAAAAACTTGAATCACGAAACCCACAAGGCTCTGGTGTAGCTCATTTACAGCAGATTGTATATACAAAGTGTGCCAAAACTGATCGTTTCAAACTTAAATGCACCATTTTTTTTTATTTTTTACATAAATCCAAGATATATCTCTACAGAACTGGATCTTCATGTTTTTTGTGGCCTTTACAGCATCGACACATCTGTCGGTAGGGCAGACAGAGGTGTGTATCTCTTCCCGTCAGTATGGCGGTGAACACTGTTGAGTTGGATGGCCAGCTGCCTCTGCCCTGACCTCTCCTCTGAGTTGATACCGTACGGCATCTTGGACATGACAGCCATACTGAGTTTGTAGAGCACATTACGGAGAGCCAGACGGTACTCTTTCCTCACCAGGCAGTAGATGACAGGGTTGAAACAGCTGCTGGTGAACGCCAGGCAGTTTGCAAGAGGGAAGAAGTAGGTCTGAGCCAAGTAAAAGGAGGGACTGATATCAACTATATCGAGCTGGATCATGACGCCCCACAGTGTCAGGATGTTGTAGGGGAACCAGCAGGCACAGAAAGACAACACCACCACAGCAACAGACTTTGAAATATCAGCTTTTCTCCGAGAGTTGCTGCCTTTCAGTTTATGCCTGCAGAGAAAGCGTAGGAGAAGCAGATAGGAGAGGATGATGGTCGTGTAGGGGAGCAGAAATCCCAGCAACACTCTCAGGAGCTGGTTTATCCCAAGCCAGGCTGTGCCATCTGGGAAGCGAAGCAGGCATGCTGTGTCATTTCCACTCCCCACATTTTTCAGATCTGCAAAAACAGCTCTTGGTATGGCTGCTATGAGAGCCCCAGCCCAGATAAACGCTGTCGCCACCGGGGAGGTGCAGGATCTGCTGCACAGGGAGGCCCTCGGTTTGAGAGCTGTGGCCACAGAGCAGTAACGGGTCACACTCATAGCTGTGAGGAAAAAGCAGCTTGCAAAGACGTTGAGTCCAGTGAGGAGGGACACGGCTTTGCATGTGGCCAAGTTAAAAGGCCAGCTGTAGTCGAGTGCAATGTCCACTGCCCAAAACGGCAAAGCAAGGGAGAATAATAAGTGAGCCAAAGCCAGGTTGAACACGAAGAAATTGATGGTTCCTGTGTTGATAGTGTGAGTGGAATACATGAGGAACATCACCAGCAAGTTGCCCAACACTCCTGCTGTGGCAACAATAAAGTACACCACAGAGATGGTGATTCTTAACCAGGGGGACCCATCATCCAGGATCTCCAGCCCACCATCCAGGCTGGTGTTGTGTAAAATAAAGTAGGAGCTGTTACATGAAGGGCAGCTGTTCAGGATGCTGCTGAAGAACTCCAGTGTCTTTGAGTCAGAGTCTGACATTTTCAAACCCTCAAGGTGATCCTGCTGAGATGTTTTTGCTTGTTCTTCTTTAGGCCGGTAATAAATGAAAGTTATGGTTGTCTGTTTCTTAGCTGACAGTCATCTGTTCCCTGCAAGGAGAGAGGAAATGATTATTACATAATAGGCGCTGCAGCTTATGAGTAAATAAGTACATTAGTCCCAGCAGATAAACAAATTTCACCAAGTGTTACCCACAGAAGATGATCACCCTGCAGCTTTAAAGGAACATCTACAAAAGGGAAGAGGCTGTGAAAACAAACTTTATTTCACCTATTAAAGCTGAAAAAATGAAAAGTTTGATATCTGCATTTAAGTCAGGTAAAACTCAGAATTGACATGCATCATTTATTGTGAACATCGTAGGAGGATAATGTCAAAACAGGACTGTTTCTTCACCTGTTTCACTGACACCTACCCCCTCGCTGCAATTTCAGGCATTAAAACTCACAATATTTAACCATCGATTTTGTCCCTGATGGTTTTGTTTGTTTTTGTATGTCATAAACTGGCATCAGTACAAATTTTGGTGCATTTCTCAACCATAAAAAACTCCTAACAGGAGGTTTGGGTAAATGCATTGACAGATTACTGATGCATTTTGCAATAACTCCTTGGACTGGCTTATTTTCTAATTTTTCTGTGAGTTATACAAGTCAATAACTAGTTGGTCAATGTCCATTTTTTTTTGGCAGGTGAGAATGAAAACAGAATAAAGAGACAATGAACTGAATTTAAGTATGCCATGTCATGTTATAATTGTTTTCTGAAAACTCTTGGTGAAGTCATTGCACCAGTCTTTAAGAAATAAGTGAAAGAGAAGTGAGGAGAAGAAATGGGGTTAACTGAAGTTTATCTTCAGTCAGAACAACCACATGCACAGTGAAGTTGAGCTGTGGTCAAAGCTTGGTTTAACTGGACTACAGTCCTCGTTCCACTTTACAAACACCAGGCAAAAATCAACTGACGGATTGCCTTCACTATGGAAAGAAGTAACCCCCCGTAAACTTTCTCCACCACTTATAAAACTTCTCTTGAGTACTTTTCAACCAGGAAAAGAAACATTCAACTCTTAGAGGGATATGGCGGACATTTTATTAGAAATTCAGCAGGGCTCAAACGGTGAATTTCAGGACTCGTCTGACTCAGTAATGGCGTCGGCTCCGAGGACCCAGTTTACTAGTAAGTATTTGCATTTATCTATAAGGCCGTGTTGTGTAAATTGATATGCATGGAACACCTTTGTCATAAAATTGTAAACACTGTAGTAAGTATGGCAATCCAATAGCATTGAATATTACTGCAGTTTCACTATATCTGTTTATTTTGGGCTTACTTTGCTTGCAGATACTGCATTTGATCTGTCTTCGAATATATTCTTTATGACAAAAAAAAAAGAAGTACATATGAATGCAAACAAAATATAGTAGAGGTCATGACTACTCAATTTAGTGAATAAGTTCACATATATCCACAACTTTTGTGTCCTTCAGTGAAATGTACAAATGTTATTTATTTTTGTTCTCTATAGTAATTGATCACCATTTTCACAGCCACCAAGAGGAGGGGAGTGAGGCACAATTATGCATTTATATGTATTCATTACATTTAATTTACTCTACCTGTGTTTGCTGTATTTTATATTGTTATATATTGTTTTTAATTTACAATATTTGTTGCACTTTTACTTTTTATTTTAAATTGTTTGCACAGAATGTTTGTTTCTCTTTTTGCACTTTTTTCAAATAAAAATACTCCCTGTGAAGAAAGAAATGTAGAAGTTCCTGTTATTTTTCACTATTCTGTATTACATATAAACAAATATATTGTGCAGAATGGTAGAAATTGATGAGGCAAAAGGTAAAGTTCATATTTAAAAGCTCCAATAGGTAGTAGGAGACTAGTCTTATGGAAATAAATAGTAATTTGGAGCCAGTTCTCATCAGAGGTAGAAAATAATCCATTTGGTACATTTTCTCACAAAGTGTGCCAAATTGTGCCAAACTGAGTCCTCGCCTGGGTGTACCCTTACAAAAACCTTCATGTAGGCTTTACTGTTTGCCCAAATTCTATCAAATTTGGTACATTTGTGGTCAAGGAGTGGATGAAGCTAATCAATGGCATCTGGGGGCCTGGAATCATTGCCAGCATTGTGTTTTCCCCTGTCAAAAAAAGAAAACATTTTGGCAAGGATAAAAAAAAAACATAACTTTTCCTCGGATTTATTCCAATTTACTCAGGCATAATGACAGATAAAACACTTCTGACACTTGGAACACATTCTCTGAAGTCTCTAGATGTCCAAGGACACCAAGAACATGCATATAACCTTTAGTAAAGTGTTGTAATTCCTAATTTACTTTGGGTATGTCTTTTAAGCGTTTTTTTTCCTTAAAATATGCTTAGGGTCGAAGGGGTCAAGAAGCTGTGTAGCGCTCCGCTGATACTTCCTGTGTATTGCAATGAAAGCCTACCTCATATGGTTATGACTACCGTAGTAAATTGTATATGCACATGCCCACAGCTTTCAGATTTCCAACACCATTGAAATTTTTCTGATCAGACAAATTTTGACGGTGTTACAGTGATAACACTTAGGGCATAGAAAACATAGCGCCAGTGCTATGGCTGTATAGGTAGAGGGTCTGGTCCTTCAAAATTACCTTAACTGAAGATGTTATGAAAATGAAAAAGTAACAAGTTACTGCAAATAGCTGTGCAGTTGTTGTCAGAACTCTGGTTGTTATGTACCTTTGCACATTTTCTCATGGGCTTATGGAAATTTGCGTACTTTTCTAATGGGTATACAGTGTATACCTGCGTATCATGTAGACTACACCACTGGTTGACCTATTACATCAGCTACCAAAACAATTGACAAACTTGTCAACGAGGGGCTTACCAACAAAGATGAAAACACCGACAACTTTACAGCTTTGTACCTTTACTATGAACAACATGACCGCTTTGTTTTTTTTACACATCTGTTCTTATTCTGTTGGGGTTCAGGGAGTTTCCCAGGACAGACAGCGCATGAGTTTCTGTAGCCTGCAGCTGTCTCAAAGTACTGGTATTAACAATAACTGCTAAAATGAAACATTAATATCCTGCTAAAAACAAGTCTATGGTAATACCATGAGTTCAAAGTAAGGGTCCCTGAAGCAGTCATACATCAGAGGATACAAGGAGAAGGAGCAACAGCTGCTTAGTCACCAAAAATCTGAAATTCAGAGATTTATTTTGAATCTGAAAACAACATTAGAGCTCCTGCCTGTTCAGGTTACTAATGAATTATACACTTTCTAATTTTTTTTAAACTGTTTTCATTCAATTCTGTTTCTTACCATCTACTAAAAGTAGCCAACTTGAAATAAAAGCATATTTTTGCAACAAAAGAGAAAGCAGCCTAAATGCAGGATGGACAAAAATATCAAAAGAAAAGCGTGACAAACAATCATTTCACGAGATGCTGTCTTCTCCAAAGAAGTTCCAGTCACAGGGCTAGAGATGTGGATTAATTATAAATCTGAACATCATCAGAAATGAATGATGACTGTAAGTTAATTGCTCTCATTAGCAAAGTGTTGCTCCACCCTCGCCTTGCCTTTCCTCACTAATACTTGTTGAGTTTTTTTTTATTGTCAAGTTTTCCATAATTACTTAGATAACAAGGTCACAGTAATCATGAGGTAAAAATCATATACTGTGACAGCATTAATGCGCGCAATACGTTTATATTTTCCCACTTATCTTTTTGCACAGCCTCTCAGAGTCAAACAAACAACAATCACATCTATAAGGTAATATTATACAAGAAATACTCTGTCAGCTAGTAAATAAATAAAGTAGCTGAATCAGAAGTAAAGGTGCAGAAAATGGAAACTGTTTGGCTGCAAATCAAAGGCCAACATTTGGTCATTCACTTTCTGAGTAAGAGGATAAAAATATATATAACAGCCAGTCTGTGTGCACTATCTGCGCAGTTTAAAAACACATACAAACATAATTGCACCTCATGCATACTTCAAAAAAGTGGTCATTGTTTGTGTCGCCATCTTTTTTTAAAACTCCATACGCTGTAATTTCTGTTTTATCTTGCAAGCAGAGCGGTTGCACATTAGACATGGCTACAAACCTGTTTGCATCGCGCATACTTTGTTTGCATTAGGGAGCAATTTCTCATGCATTTGCCCCTGTTAAAAAAATAAAAAAAATATGGAAATAAAAAAAATTCAAATACACATATAGCATTGCAATAAAATCACTCAGTATATTCCTTTTTCGGTTTTCTGATCTGACGCTTGACTGCGCTCCAAATGCCTTAAGACTCTATAGATTGTCCACAGCTGTTTACAAAAATAAAATCTTACCTGATTCTCATTGAGGACTTAAATTTTCAGCAAGCATTAAGTTTTCTTGGAGCCAGATGACCGACTGCACTATGGAGTTAGTTCAGAGGCGGACAGTGACAGTGAGGTAGATGTCACTCATCCCAGATTCATGCTCCACCCTGTGCAGATTCTCACTCTGCATAATCAGTCTGGAAACCCCTCATTTCAGCAAAGTGCAAATGCTAAGATCCTGAGTTTTAATTTTTTGAAACTTGTCCTCCAGTTTTACTGGATTAGCATATGAACACCGGCAAGGCAAATTTAGAGGATTTTGACAAAAACAGGTGAACTATCTGTGCATGTGTCATCTCATACTCACTTAAACTGCTAACTGAACTCTCACATCTTTTGCTTTTTTTCCGAACACTGCATCGTGAACATAAATCACAAATTTTTATGTATTTTGCTACCTTAACTGAGTTTATTTTATTTAGCAGTTTCCATCCAAAAGTCAAATCCTCCAAATTGAACCAATAATTTTTCAGATTTATTGTAAAATGCATTTTTCTGTCTTACTAAAACAGTGTATCCAGGTCAGAATGTTGAAAGATTGCCAAAGTTCATAATTTAACTTCTTATATATACCCATGCATTTGTAGTAGGGGCATTTTCTCTCTTCAGTCCACATTTATGCCTCTCTTAACCATGAGAAAGGTTTTAAAAACACTTAGACCTTAAAGTCAAGAAAAAATCTTGCAGAAAGATAAAAATACATCAAGTTCTGTCTATGTTAGTGTCAGGGAAGCTGCTTTCAGATTTGACTGAGGAGCACAGATGACTCTTCATTATAAATGGTTGATAGTGGAAAACACATCAGCAGTGAATGACTAAATCAGATTATCGGGGAATAGGCGGAAGAGTAGAGGAGCTGATTAATGCTAATCTGTCTATGCTGAGCCATTTTCATAACTAACAGAACAAAACATGCAGTGTTCCTACAGTGTTTATGTTGTCATGGCAGAAACATCTTTCGTCCTCTGTGCCAACAGATTTATGTTTACTTCAGGACCATTAACACAGTCAGGAGAAAACTGCAGCAGTTTTTCATGAACAGCCACAAAAGGCCCAGAATAGAGGTCCTTAATAAGAATATGTTTATTTATATAATAAAACAAGTGAGAGCAGTTGTCAGGTTAATCCTGTCACTTTTTTAATGCAGCACTGAGCTCTAGTTACTTCTGTAGAGCGTTTATCTTAAATGCAAAAAATTTCAACTGGACTTTTAAATCTGAAATTGCTCAATTTTTCAAGTGAAACAGAAAAACCACTTGATATGGACCAGATCCAGAGAGAGGTTTAATATACACGTAGGGGATCCAGGTGGCACTTTTTGTTTAAAAGTATAGGCAACAAGGGGGGATTTAATTCCATCGATTTTACTCGATGTACACCCAGAGGGCATTTTAATACATTTTATATACAGGAAGGGCATCCAGAAGGCACTTTTGTGTTCTACATTTATCAGACAGTCCTCCAGAGGATACTTTTAAACCCTAATTTACTGAAAGGGCAACCATGGGGGACCTTTTACACTTTTTATGCTCAACAGACATCTGAAAAGCATTCTCTCTACATTTTATACACAGGAAATACATCCAGGTATCTGTCTTTTGTAAAAGATATACTGGAAAGCCAACAAGAGAAGGCACTTTTTAGTCTTAACTTCAGTATCCAGGCGGCCATGTTCAGGAAAGGCATCTAGGCATCTGTTTGGATACTTATCCACAAAGAAAAGTTCCCCTTATCTACATAAATTTTACAGGGAGGGCATCCTGGGAACACTATTTACATTTTTACTGGAAGGGCATGCAGAGGGCGCTATTTGTATTTTTTCATACAGGAAAGATATCCAGCTATCACTTTATTATATTTAATAAAGTGGAATGACAGGCAAAGGACACTCTTTCATGTTTCATCCTGTGGAAGAGCAGCTAAATGAGCTGTTTTTCAGGCATTTTCCACAGAAAGTGCAGCCGAGATTTTATGCAGTTTTATGTATGTCAGGAGTATCTGAGGGCACTTTTCACTGTGATTTTTAAGACATAAGGGCCCCTCCCCCAACACTACTGTGTTGCTGTTTTATTTTAATGTGTTTTTATTAAAGTTGCATGAAATTAGAGGCACTGTTGATCACTTTTATGCACAAATCCACATTTAATTTAGAAAAAGAAATTCATAACTTTCAAAACACTGCTCATCTAACCCAACCTAAAAGACTGTGTAATGACTATTAAACACAAGTTTTCATGTAATATTATTAGATCACTGGGATTTTGCAAAATGGTAAGACCTAGTATTAATCTTATTTTAGAAATTACTATGAGAAAGCTGTAATTTCGTGCTGTCTAGTCAAAGAAAGACAAAACTGACGCTGCCAACATCCATGTTATATGTGCATTTCTCAGCAGTTTCCAGAGTAGATAAAGAGGTTTGCCAGGAGAATGAATAAAGAGTGACAGCAGGACTTTGTTGCTACCCTTTGTGCAGCAAGACGACAGTACTTAACTGTATCAAAAACCAGAGGAGGCCTGAAACAGCTCCCTCCACTACACCCTGTGATCCTCGGTTAAAGGGAGCCCTCTGGTGACAAATGTCCGACCTGACAATGAGGCAGCGTGAGCCTGTGGAGACACCATGAGGGGAGAAGCTTTTAAGCAAAAAAGCCCATATTAGTACTTGGATTTACTAGAAAAGTGAAGCAGACTTACACTAGTAAGATAAATATAGTAAGCTTAAAGATACTAAATCATCAGCAGTGCTGAGCTACAAATAACTACTGAGGGGTCAAACACAATTCTACAAGGGTGAGAAAATTAAACCTGATTTCTCCATCGAGCAGGAGAAATTAGGAAATAGGGGAGACCAGGGATATTTATAACATGGGGAGAGCTGTAACGTCACCACTTCTACCAATCAGGGATTACATAGAAGTCACATAATTGCTTAATTGTTAACTCACTCTCTCACTGACTCTACATGGTGATTTTGTAGGCTGTGAATAGATTCATCCTATTTTTATTTTCAGATTATATTATGTAAAAAATCATGAAATTACCTTTTAGTCTATTTTATTTTTGTAAAAAAAGAGAGATAAGATACTCCTTTATTAGTCTTACGAGGGGAAAAAAATACCCACAACAACTTTAAATGTTTTGATTTATGTGAAAAGCTTAAAGTACTGTTTATTTCATTATTGTAAAAAAAAAAAATCCTTATAGGAGCTTTAAGATTATTTCTTTGATGTCAAAATAAAAAAATTACTTCCCATAGGAGCTTTGAGTTTATTTCTTTTATGTGAAAACAAACAAACAAACAAAAAATCCTCACTGGAGTTTCAAGTCTATTTTTGTTTTATGTCAATAATAACTTACAGGAGCTTTATGTCTATTTTTTGTTGATGTGTTTAAAAACTCCCCACATGAGCGTCCTCTTTTTTTAATCTATGTAAACAAAAACTAAATAATAATGATAATAACAAACAAAAAAATTACAGGAACTTTAGTCTATTTTTATCTATGTAAAATAAAAAATCTTCAGAGGAGCTTTAAGTCCATTTTTATCCATGTAAAATAGAAAAATCCTCACAGGAGCTTTAAGTCTATTTTTTTACTATGTAAAATAAAAAAAAATCCTCACAGGAGCTTTAAGTCTTAATCATTATTGACAAAGCTTATGGTATTGATAAATCAATAAGTTTTTTTTCTTATCTTATAATGAACTTTGAATCAGTGTAATATCTTATGAGGCTGCAGGTTTGATATGCCCTTAAAGACCACAAGTTAGAGGCTGTTAGCCTATTAGATAACGTTTACCTTCTTATTAATCACGTATCCCTGAGTAAACTCGAGTAAACCGAACATAAATATCCCGCGCCTTTTCACTCCTTTCTGCTCAGCAGTGATGAATGGGGCAGCGTCGCAGGGATCACTCGGCCTCGTTATTAACGTTATAACGTTATCTCTCGCGTCACTTATGTCCCCAACAACGACGGCTGCTGCTGCTGCGGAGGAGGAGGAGTAGGAGGACTGGACTGGACTGCGGTTCAGGTGCACCGCTGTGATTGAGAGACACCGAAGTTCAACCCGGTAGGACAAAGATTAACACTCGTCTGAAGGATTACATGAGAAGCGTGCATGTTTTGAATCGAGCTCGGCAGTTTTTTCGCCTTTTTGTCGCTGGTGATGGGATTCCTTCAGGAGCGACCTGCCGCCTAACGTTCACCCCTGTGAGGTAAGAGTGAAGCGAAATGACGGTTAACTAACAAAAGAGAGAGGAAACGGGATGCTGAGTCAGTTTGTACACGCGTGGGGGCTCTTTAAGTGAGTTTTTGTGGGTGAAAGTTAACTCCAGCCCTAAAGAGTGGTTAGTTATTCGCAAATAGGGATGTCAGATGGAGTGAAACACTCGGCCAAGTCGTGAGTAGGGAAGACTGCTACGAGCAATTGTCACAAGTCCCCCCTGCGCGAGCGTCCCACCTTCTCAGTATCACTACCTAAATTTGGGGTCATGATACGGTTTCAAATGCGGGTTTGGCACAGCTGACTGCCGGTTGTCGGTGCACAGTTTAAAAGCACGCAAACTTGTGGTAAGTGAGTGCAAACGGGACAGACAACAAGGCTGCCATTGTACCGGATCAGCGGCGGATTAACGGAATTCCTTTTCTCTGCACTGTCTGAATGGCCTTCAGTCTCCCTCCGTTTCTCTCTCTCTTTCTGCTTCTTTGCGGATAAAACATCTTGATTTCAGCCACTTAAACTCACGCACTTGTTAGGAGCCGTAAACACAAAGACCTCACACCCTGCTGCCATTGAACTAAGAGTCCAAGAGAGCTGGTGTCAAACATGTGGATGGGACAGGTTTAGTTTGTGTTGTCAGGGCTTTAGGCTGTGAAAGGGTGATTAGTAAACAGCAGTGCTATTAAAGTCTATTCTGTTTCAACTTTTGAGTTATCATTACATGTAATAAGGGTCAGTAAATAGTGATAATTTTCTTTAATTTTGTCATTTTTACCATTTACATTCGTATATTGACAGATTTTCCCGATCATGAGCTTAAAATTCAGATAAAGTTTGCATTAAGAAAAGCAGCGAATCCTCACAGTGAATATGTACATCCCAGTAGTTTTGGTCCTTTTGTGTGATAATTGAACTCAAAAAACTTATCAGCCCTAAAATTAGCACTATGAAGTTGTTATTTTAACTGTTTCATCATAAGTAAACAGCTTTTTTTGGTGATGCCATCCCTCTCCAAACTCCTAACTGTGCAGAGTAAATAAGCATAATAGCATATTTGTGTCAAGAGGGTCTTTGGGGTTTTATTTGTCTGCCTCTCTGCCAAAAAGCTGCTGTCCCATGACTTTAAAAGGACTGTTTAAACACTCTTGATTACAATAAGAGCAGCAAACATGATAGAAGCCGTAGCTCTGCCATGTTTTCACACAATAAACAAGCCCAGATTATTTAATTCTTCCTCCACCAGTCCTCCCACCCTGTGTCCATACACTTGCACATCATGCACAACAGGCACCATGCTCCCCCCCTCCCCCCTGTGTATGTAGCCAACCAACATGTGGGGAGGTAATCCCAGCTATTAGGGTAATCTCCTCAGTATGACGATCAATATGGGAGGGTGCACAAGGACTACTGGACAAGAGTAGCGGGGGGACAAAATTTGAGCTAAAGAAAAATGATTTAATCATCCAGATTAGGTCAGGAGACTGGGGTCTGGACAGGGGCTTGTTGCTGGATGGGGGGAGGGGAGCAGACAGAGCAGACAGGAAGATGTGAGGGGTAAGGCCATCTCCACTTAGGGCAGATAGATCCCCCCTGTGTGACAATGGGATGAAAACTGTTATACTCTCCAGCCTGGGGTCGGTGAAATCAACATAGACATGGCTTTGTAGTGAGAAATAAAGGATCAGGTGGACAAGCTGAGAGGAGAGGTTATATTCAAATATATATATAAAAAATAGCAGTTTGGCTTTGTTTAAGATGCTTTAGTAAAAAGTTACACTCAAAAGTTGACTCCAACATATAATGTTTAAAGTCTTTTTAGCTTTAAAATGAGACAAATTGAAGACAAAGAGGTGGATCAGAACAGGTGAAAGTCAGTGACGCTGCTGTTCCTGCAGATGCATTACAAGATGAGTGATGTTAGCAGATCACATAAACCATAATTAGATGTTTGTATTCCTGCTGTTCCATGTATTCAACATATTTCTGCAAGTCAAATCAAGCCATTATGTTTACAGACGCACAGATGGATTCAGTTTAACAAATATCTGCAAATATTGGCACATTAGTAAATAATACACCATGTTTCTCTGCGTACTGAAGTGTCCCATCTTTGTCTTCATCACATAGATGTAAATCTTAAAGCCATTGCACCTTACTGCAAGGAGCCCCTGCTCAACAGACTGACTTTTTTGTGATAAAGTGTGCAAAAAGCACGACAGTAACACACAGTCTGTAAAAGATAAGCAGCAAGCAGTTTGTAATCTCACAGCTTATTAAAAAAAAATAGACTCACAACACGTCAGCTGTAGGTTAATGGCTTATTTCAAACATCAGTGTTAATTTACTCAGTAGGTGCAGCTCTAATTATAATAAAATGTAATATAATAATATGTAATATAATAAAGTGTAAAAGCTGTTACTGAATTTTCAAATCGACAGCATCAAGTTGTCTCTAGGACCTCAGTATCAAAAAGGCCTTTTTGTCTTAATCATGTTGACCCAAAGTAAGGTCAAAGTCAGTAACTGCCAGGATTAGGTTCACCCCCGCCATTGTTCTGGACAAAGTTTGTATTGTACGCTCCCTTCTGCATGAGTTTCTTTGGTTAGTGGGGGGAAAGTGACATTAACGAGCATGACAAAGTTCAGAGAGTTGAAAACGTTGAGCTGACTTGTTTTTTTTTTTTTTTTTGCATTGCATAAAATAGCTTCTGTGCGGGGAAACAAACACCTTTACAGGCCACTAGGTGTGCAGCAGGAAAAATTACCTTAAAATGTCACTGCATAGGGTTGTAATTTTTGGAAAGAGATGACGTTGTGTTTGCATCCACCTATAGGATTTTTATGCAAAGTTAGTTCTTGCAAATTGCTCCTTTTATGCTCTGATGTTCTATAGGGGATGTCATTCAATCCAACAGGATACTAGATCCTAAATGGCACAGGGAAGCTCTGAAGAGAAATTTTGTTCAGTTCTTGTTTAATGATATGGAAAGAGAAATGATTTTTACAGAGCTGAAACAATCCAATAATAAGCAGATAAAAGCTTTTATAGTTTGAATATTTCCAATTTTAGTGTGATATTATTGCAACTATCGGGTGTCCAGATTCAGCAAAATAGAAGGGCATTATAAAGTATTAAAGTCTTAGTCATCATCTTAGTAGGTGTTACATACATCTGCAGCATGTCCCTTTCTACATTCAGTTGTATAAACAATAACTAAAGGTATTATTTCAGAATTAAAGTACAATATTCACACCCTGAATGTCTCCAGTGCAGGAACTGGTGTCTACACACAGGCAAAATGTCCAGATGGAAGATGGGAGGGATGAGTAAGGCGTTCACAGATCCCTTCTGCTCTGCCCCATTGAGACAGGGGGAGACGAGATTGGATGGGTCTGAGGGAGTCAGGTTACTATCGGCCCATTCTGCTCCAAAGGATCTGTGGTGTTAAAGATGCAATACCCCTATGGGAAACCTAATCCAGACCCTGCTGCCAGCTGTCATTCTTTTGCTCCAGGGTAAAATCGCTAAGCAGGTATCGCCTTACCCTTCAATCCTTTACCTTAATCATGGCAGCAAGGAAGGACCTACACCTCAGTCTCAACTACAAATTAATGCTGTCTTTGATATTTGAGAAATTTGATGTTAAGCATTAAAAGAAAGAGCAAACCCTATTCTCTGATGAATCTGAGTGCGCCCTCATCTTAATTACTGTTCCTTATTTTATGTTCTCCAACTGTCATGTTTGAAATTTGATAGAAGTCATGAACGGGCAATCATGCTAATCAGAAAAGTTAAAGGTAAACAAATCATCCATTATAAACGACACACAGACATACAGATCAAAGTTTGCTTGTGTAAATTTACATGTAAGCATAATTTTGGCTTTATTAAATTGTTAGTAGAAGGGTTGCATGATATTTGATTTTTGAGAAAATCTGAAATGCCAATATTTTCAAACTAGGCCTGCGCAGTACCTTTTTTTCTTATACTCTTGATCGAGGGATGCACAATATCTACTGAAATCTGATAACCAGATTATTCAAACTGTGGATGAACATTAGTGTTTTGTGCTGGTATCTGAGTAGCCGATATTTTCAACCTAGAGGTGTATGATATTGTTTGTATAGGTGTGTGTGTGTGTGTGTGGTAACAGCGTATCTCCCTTGTCGCTCAAGGAGATACGCTGTTACGTTCACGTTACATTACGCGTGCCACTCGCTATATAGACGGTGTATAAGATTGAACGTTACTCTTCACATTAATGGAAGAGGGTCCAACAGGATTTGATGCACTCGTTGATGACTCAAAACAATTCGAAAATAACGCTGTGTGTTGTTGTGCTCACACAATGTGAGTAGAAATCATTAGTGGCGCATTGATATAAATGATCATGTGAAATTTTAGTAGCGGAGCACATAATTCTGCTAAATGAATGTGGGGGAAACACTGCTCAGGAATATAAACTAGTATACTGTGTTATTTAGTATTTATCTTCATTTGTTGTACTGTTGAGTTAAAATGTTTTTTATATTTTTCTAAGTTAATCTTATTTAACTTGCTTTTTCATTTACTTTGCACGTTAATCAAATGTTGAACTAATCTCTAGTTTCTTTAGTTTTTAGTACAGATGCGTTAAAACTGGCAGTTTTAAGAAATAAAAAAAATTGTGATAATGAAGATCAGACAATAAGACAAAATATATTGTGACCGTTTTTTGCCAAATCACCAAGTCCTAATTCAAAATTTCTCTTTTAGCAGAATTGACATGTTACTCTCTTGTTACAGTCCATTTGTTTGGGAAACAGACAAAAAATAGACATTCGATAACACCATAAATGCAAAAAGTATTCTTTTCAAATACAGACATTCAGGAATGTGTCCGCTATCAGTCTCCAGCATTTCAAAATACTTCCATACAGTTGTCACATCCCCATCACCAGTTATGCATCACCACATTGGCTGAAAATTATATCAGCATAAATGTTCATATCTATTGATACAATGCCAATAATATCATGCATGTCTTGCATCATGCATATCAGCTGATGTATTGGCCAATGATATACAATTAATTGACTCAATTAATAGGCCCAACCAATTAGGGCTGGGCGATAAACGATCACAATATATATCAAAAATTAATTTCCCTCAATATCAATATAAGACATGGTCAATACGCTTTTCAACAACCACCATTCTGCCATGTTTTGGTAGACTATATGAATAGCCAATGAAAAGGAGAGTTGCTCTGGATCCGCTTCGCACTGAACCAATCTTGCTGAATTAGAAACAAGTAGCAAACAACTGCATAGTAGCAGGCTGCAGCTACACGCAACTATAGCACTTTAACACGTGAAGCTGACAGCACTGTTGGTGAGGAAAAAAGAAAATGAGTGCTACCCTCGGCAGAAATGCAGTTGAAGGCTCAACAGATGATAACATCATCGACAACACTGGCATGAAAACGTCAGTGGTGTGGAGGTATTATGGTTTTTTGAGGTCGGACATGAAGCAGAGTAATGTGCACTGCAAATTATGGCGAGTACATGTTCTCGCACAGTCAGGGAATACCTCAAATCTTTTTCACCACCTGAAGCAGTGCCACACAGCAGAGCACACGCAATGTAAAAGGTTACAAACCCTGAGTGGAGTAAGGAGCCCAGGGTGCCTGTGCAGCCGAAACAGCCGACCATTCAGTCTGCTTTCTTTAACGCAACGCCTTACGACAAAACATCCAAGAGAAACAAAGACCTCACAGATGCAGTTGCTTATTGTAATGAAAAAGACATGCTTCCAATAATCACTGTTTAATGTCATATTTTATATCGTGATATCAATATCGACTAATATGAAAAAAAATATATTGATAAACTTTTTCTCTTATCGCCCAGCCCTACAACCAATTAAATATTATATCCCTATCTGATAATTTTGTGCATCTGTTTCAGCATATTCCAGGATAATTTGATCACCAATCTGTACTATTAACTTTAATTGGGTCCTCATAAAGTAGCTTCTTCTAAAACCAGAAAGAGGTTTTTGTCCTGAAATTATGCCAAGCTTGATTATCAAAGGTTCATGTTTCACGTCAAACCATATGAGTAAGACTGTGGCTTTTACCTCTGAAGAGCACTGTATCATCATATCATGGTAATTTAATCTGTGAATTTTTCCGCACAATGTGACTTTTATTAAGGTGGAACAGAAACAAACAGCTGTTCAAACTTGCCTTGTGCCATACAAAGGTAGAGGTAAGGGCCTGCAGATGGAAAAACTGATCAAGTAAAAGACAGGATGCAGAGTGATGGAGAGACATAAAGGGAGGCAGGCCGAGCGAGTCTGAGCTGACCTTGCCATGATAATCTAATCCCTGTCGAGAGTGCTTTTTTTAGAGAGCAAGTTAATGCTAGCAGATTATACTCCAGTGTGTCCCATACTAGCCAATCCAAACTTAAAAGAGAGTCCACCTTTAGTGAATCTCAACACCTGCAAGAGATAAAGTAGCATCCGTGTTTGCAGAGTTATCTGATCTCTAGAAACCTCTAATCACATTTTTTGGGGTGTGGTGCAGTCTAGTTTTTCACACTGTTGAGGAGACATGATGCTACATTAACAACAGGTGAATCCGAGCCAAGAATACCCCCCCTCCTTCAATACTTCTTCCATCTATTTGCCTGGCAGCACTAAGGGGCATCCATGATAAAAGGCCACTCATCGAGCAGCTCATCTCATGCTACCAAGAGTAATCCCTATATGTTGTGTAACCAAGTGCCGAGTTGGAAAGGAGGGGGATGGGCACAATCGGGTGTAAGTTTGTCTGTGCTTGTGACTGTTGAGCTCATAGCTGTCTAATCTCTTAGGTACATTAGGCTGTTCGCCCACGGTGCTGCAGCTTCTTCCCTTTCTTTATGCAATTAAGTCACTCGAGGAACAGGGTTTGTCTCAAACACTATCTTAGACTATCGCCTGGGTTTTACATTTTTACTAGAGTACGTCGCAAGGAAGTATTAATTAACTGGGGTGTTTGGGTGCATCTTTATGATATTGTAAAAAAATGTGGACCAGTGACACTTTATTTCTGTGACTGCACAGGAAGTTAAATTTCACAGTGACCAAGACAGAACAAATGCAGCAAGCACTCCTCTGTTTTATCAGACGTAAAGCTCCTGTGAGGTGTTTTTTGATGTTAATGAAATGGACTTAAACTCATATTAATGCCTTTTTATATAAAACAAAATCAAGACCATAAATGACCAGATTGGTTATTTTCTTTAACTGTTAAGGCCTTTAGCTGGTGTGTTAAATGTAAGTGGTGCAGCCGAAGAAACAGCCCTGCTTTTAACATTCCCCACCTTAAAGCTATTGTAACCACTGACACGATTGACCATTTATATATATTTTTAATTTCAGTGTCTGTAACTGCTGCTTGCATTGCCAGGTTCTTGCTAATAAATTACTTTGGTTAATATCATGTGCACATAAACTGCACAGAGTAGTGCTCAGTGGAAAGTGCGATATGTTTTAGCCTCAGTATCACTTTCATCCTGTTACTGTTTCTGCATTTAGCTTTAAGATAGTTGTTTTACAGTCCTGAGGTATTGTAGCCTTTTAAGACTGATTGGCTGTGGATGGATGTTTTGAGTCCATCATTTGTGCAGCCCGATATCACAGAATAAGGAAATTCTGCATTATTTGAGATAACCTACATGATGTCCTGAATAGGATGTGAAGGCTCTGTATTTGCATTTCACCATTACCACTAAGAGGCCATCACAGTCCGGCTGTTAAGTCAGCAGAGAGATAATTCTTAACCTTATTCAATTCAATTCAGCTTTATTTATATGGCACTTTTCATACAAAAGAAAATGCAATTCAAAGTGTCTCACAGAGGCTAAAAACAACAATAATAGAAAAACCCAACCCTTCCACCCACACACACACCCACCCATGGACCCACACGCACACAAAGACACACACCCACCCTCACTCACCCACACATACACATTACACACACACACGACCGCAGACAGTGTGAGAATTTCAGATATATTGTTAAAGAGACACGGCCTGACACCGAGACATTACATGAGGAAACAGCCACCTTTAACACTGGAGATAAAAATAGAGATAAAAATGGTGAAAAGAGTAAAACCTGATGGACTGGAATAAGAAAATAATAATATTAAATGAACAACTAAGTAAAAGGGGTAAAAGAAGTAAAAACGTGACGGAAAATTAAGAAAAAGACTAAGAACAGAGATAATAAATAGAATGACATAAAATAAACATTAAGAACTTTGAATAAAATGAACATTTGCAATAAGAGAAATTTAAAATGGCAATTAGTAAAAAGCCTGCTTAAAAAAGTGAGTTTTGAGCCTCTTCTCAAACATATCAACAGTCTCTGCGACCCTGAGGCTCTTTGGCAGGCTGTTCAACAACCGGGGACCATAAAAATGCTGCTATGCATGTTGTCTAGTGAACAGCAACTGCTGATACCGATATTAAACATGCAGATATATAATGCCAATATCACATTGTTGCCAATATATCAGTTTATCTCCAGTGTCGTCCATATTTATTTCTTTTAGGAGTTCATTCTTGTGATGAACTTGATTATGAAAGAGGTGTTACCCTAAAAAGTGAGCTGTCCTCTGAGTTTACCGTCCAAAACTTGAATATATTATGGGCATGAGCAAGGGGGAGATCCTGAAGGTATTATAACCTAACGCAAACAAACAGCATCCAAAAAATCTTAAAAATATCAATCCAGAATTCTTGAATAAATTGTCGGCTTATTAGTCTTTATTAGACAGAAAAGCTTGAAGGAGAGACAAGGACTAAGTGGAGATAGTTGGAATGGCATGGAACAAATCCAGGGATTCACAAAAGACCAGTGCAAAGAGGACTGTAGCATCTGTACATGGTGTGCCTCCTTCATCAACTGACCTTAGCTTGCAGCCTGAGTGTGCAAAATTCTTGACCTGAAAAAAAGCAAACAAAACAATGTTGGAAAAAATTACTGTGTGCATATTTGCATTGGCTGAATCCTAAACTTAATCACACAGTCTGGCAAAATATGGACGGTAATTTATGGAAGAAAATGTATTTCATTGGTTTACATTACAAATCGCTCCACGGTCATTAAAATTACTAATGACCTCATTGGTTAACTCTAACCCTGTGCTGTTGAGGCCTCGGTCATTTCTTCAAACTTTAAATCTGAGCGTTTTTGCCTCCTGTGTCAGACCTTAATGTAGAGTGTGTTAGCTCATGTCTGATAATAATTCAACATGTCCGATCATGCAAGTACCTGGAAGTGCGTGTCAGCTCCCTAACATCTGGAAGGACTCATCTTTGAATGCATCAGCAGTGAATCAGCAGAGAATTCATTTTCTGCCTACTTGCCCCAAGCCTCAAGATCAGGAACATGTTTTCTCCCTTACTCTGTACTAATATTTTACTAAGAGAAGATCTTTAATATGTAGAAATTAGATTCTAAACACTATTATTTTTTTGTTTTGCATTTAAAGCAACCCTTATCTTTAAAAATTTGAAGGGTCAAGGGTGCAAACTGACTGGCATTGTTTCATCAACAGCGGTTTGCATACAACTGCAGCTACCAGGCTGAATCTTACAGGATGGTTAACGAAGACAGTAAGCAAATTAAGAAATACATTACTGTGATCTAAAGCTTGTAATGTGGTGCACCAGAATAATATGAATGAATTCTTGTTTTTTTATGAAGGGATTTCCTCAAATATGTTAAAATATTTGTATTTTAAATTACAGTCCAGAGGAAGTGGATGTTTTTCTGAGCATTTATAATATCTATCTAAAAGCTGGCACAACGCTGAAAAAATCCTAACCCAGTGATTTGATTTTTTTGTGCTATGTGTTTGCAGTGATTGGAAACAGACAGGATTATTGGACACATAACAGTAGATGGGAGCTGAGGCTTAGAGAGTGGCTGTGGCTCTGAAAACTAGCATAAGGACAGTCACATGCTATCTCCAGTCAGGGGTATGTTGGCACAGGCTTGTTGCTGGTTGTTGAGAGTATTTGGATGACTTCAGCTTCCACACATACACACAGAGGCATAGATGCATGCACAAGCACTAAGGTTAACGTGCACTTGCTTCAGCAGTTGCAGGATTTTGCAGGGACAGGCCTTGTGGATGTTTCCGTGCACGGAAAAGCAAGTGTGTGTATTTTTGTTTGATGGATGCCACAGTATCCTGCAAAGTGAATTCAGGGGAAATTCTATTTCCAGATCCTGGCAGGAATTTACACTCACAGTTTCAGTGCAGCAGCCCAGCACGCAGGCCGTGCACATGCACACACGACACACTGACAGTGGATATTTTCATGCAAGTGCACATGCACGCACACACATCACAGCACTCAGCATCAGTGCCCTGACCATAGGGAGTTTGTGCTGAGCTGGTTGGGACGTCAGGATGAATCAATGCGAGGACAGCTGACTGGACATGCCTATTCATCTGCTAAAGAAAAGAGAGAGAAAAAGAGAGCGAGGGATTCTAAAAGGAATGAGTTAAGCCCTGGAGCAACATGTTCAGCTATCTGCATTACTTTACAGATCCTCCAAAGAGCTTTTAATAATGGGATGATAAAAGCAGAGGAGGTGGAAAATAGAGAGACAAAACTGAAAAAATACAAACAAGATGATTCAAATAAACTCACAAGGTCAATTTTGTTGAAAATACAAAAAGAGATGCATCTTTACTGATAAAGGAGTCACTACAAGATAGAAGTCACATCGGAGTTCATCATAAGACAGTTTCTTTATTGTGAGCTTTCAAGAAAAGATTCCCACATAGGACATAAAAACTTGCCTTATGCCTTTGCTATTTTATTTCCTGTTATGAGGACGATCATGCTTTTATTTTGAAAGGAGATATTAGGCACTTCCACTACATGTTACCTTATGGAGTAAATGTAAACAGCTAAAAATGCATTTAAAATGATTTTTAATGTGTCTTGTTACTCCTGCTAAGCCCTATCTAAGGTTTATAGAAATAAAAGGCCTTAAAACCTTTTTAAACTTGTGAGAGGTCTTCGGTTTTAGATAAGTTTTTTATATACGTATGTTTGAGTAGTTCATCAGTTCTATAATCCCTTAATAAATTTGCGTGATTTTCTTTTCTTTTTTTTTAAGTATTCTTTTGGTGAGTTTTTGCCTTTATTGATAGGACAGGTTGGAAGTATGGGGAGAGAGAGAGAGGGGGGGGAGGACATGCAGCACATGGTCAGGGCCAGACTTGAACCTGCAACTGTATGGTTGGGGTGCACTAACCTGCTCAGCCGTCTGCGCGACCCAAATTTGTATGATTTTTTAAAAATACTATTTTAAAAGATTTCTTTGTTCTTTAAGACTGGTCACTGGATTCATTTATTTGATTATGATGTTCTGCTCTCTGAGCATATTGAGCTTTTAGTTTGATAGGAATCATCGGCCAATAACACTTCCTTTTCTCTGTATCTTGTTGAAAATTTTTGTATTTACATTATGAGTGAAATGTAACAACAGGATTGTTTCTTCAGCTGCATCGCTAACACCTCTCTACTCACACCAGTTCAAATGTGTTTAAAATGATAACAGAAGAACCGTCAGTCTTGTCCCTGATGCTCTTGTTTGCGTTTGTATGTCATAAAAAAGCATCTACATGAGCTTCATCTTATTTTAGAGACATAGGAGCCTCAAAGTAGTTGCTGGTGTGAATTCTGATAAATTAATGTGGTGGGTGATTTTTATTTGGTCAGGTCCTAAAAACATCCTCCAGATTCTGGATTAAAAAGCATGTAGGAACCCTGAAATAGCACACTCTAAGCATGTAGGCTGCTTTAACAAAGGCATAAGCTCCCACTCTAGAGGCGCCTAACTCCACACTGATGGCCTGTTTATTCCAATCTGTTGCCCTGAGCTCTCTGACTTTATCCCTATTGTGTTAAGATATTACATTCACCTTAACCTTAACCCCTTAATTGCCACCCTCCAGTTTCTCTTGCACATCCTCCCCCTCTCTTGGAGATAGTGTGTGCCACATTGCCCATGCACTAATCTGATGGCGTCTGCCTTTCAAACACCTGCTATGTTCAGGAAAAAAAAAAAAAAAAAAAACCCTCCTAGACTCCTCCCATAGTCCAGATTCAGCACCCACTCCAGCGTGAGCGGATCAGCACACATGACCACATGCAGTCAGGCACGCAGGCAGGCAGGCAGGCAGGCAGGCAGGCATACAAACAGATGCAGAAACAGATAATTAGACGTACAGCCTCGATCCCTGAAAATCATGCCGGAGTCAGCATTTTCTTAAACCTTGTATGTTTTTGCTCACTGAGAAGACAAACTGGAGTGCTCTTTTGTCCCGCCTCTCTGCCCAGACATTTATTAGAAGACAGTGACGTGTAGGCCCAGGCCTCTTTGCTTTAACAATACTCCTCTCGACCCCCCAATGAGGGGTGGAGGGCCAGACATGAGGCGATGTGACAGTTCTGGTGCGGTCGACACAATAGCAGGTTTTTCTTTTGACTGCCTGGCTGGCTACTCTCCACAGTCTAGTTTCTTTCACTGTTAACAGTCTAACACAGAGCCGAGTTAGCCTGGGGAACATGTCTGTGCCACATATATTTATTTATCGTGCTAATGTGTTTTACATCCTCCAGGTCTATCCAGATTTTTAGGGCTTAATCAGATTCTTGAGGGTCATCTCTGTTGTCTCGCCTCTGTCATATTTCTACTGCTTTTTTAAACACATTTATATACATTTTACCTCAACCTTCAGTCTTATTCTAGCACAGACTCAGAGAAATGTTGGTGCGCCTGTGTTAGCTTCTAAAAACGAAGTTTGTTGATAATGGATTATTGATCGTGAATTAGAGTGGGCCGCCCCTCAGGGTTCATCCTGGTCAGCCAGGAATGAATACATCTCTTCATGCTCCACCTCACACACTCAATTTGGGCATAGGAAACCAAAGGGCAGACACGCACACGCGTGTTGAGACACTGGGACGTGCTCTAATATGCACAGACAGGCATCGCTCATCCACCCAGGGACAAAGGTTACTCTAAAATCTGTGTGAGGCAAACTGTCTCAGAGGTCTTTTTCCCTGGGAGCAAATTTTTTCCATAGAAACTGAGTCAGACTACAGTGTTTGTTATAAAATGATGATGGGGTGCTGTCGGGGGCTATACATATTCCATAAATATGAAATATATTCAAAAGGCCTGTATTTAAAGCTCCAGTGTAGAGTTGTCTGATGTTTATGAAACACTGAAATTCATACTGATGCCTTTTGAGGATAAACCAAAAACAAACAGGACCAGCAGTGACTGATGGTTATACTGTCATCTTTTCAGAATAAAGCAAAAGTTCCTCACAACAACTTGAAGCAAGTTTGCATTTGAGTGGGCTGTGGTGTGTCCTCTCATACATTTATTGAGTTAGCTCTGTTGTTAGTATGTGATAATCTGGTTCAAAGGTTGTTTTCTTTGCAGGCTTAAGTTTTGAAGTTTTTTTAGTTTAAATGTCATGAGTTTAAATGGTTTCATGTATTCAGATGTATGTATTATTTGTTGTGTATATTCTATTGCATCGGGTCGAGTAAGTCTTGAGATGAAAGTTGCGTGATGCAGTGACGTCAGAGTCAAAAAAAGAGAAAAATAAGTGTTTCTTGTTTTATCTTGTCTCACTTTTTACTTGGTGTTTCTTTTGAAACTTTACATTCTATAACTTACTGTTGCTAAAAATAGTCTCAGCCACATCATTTGCAACTTCTCTTGAATTCATGACAGCAATAATACTGTCCCTTTCCTTTTCTGATGTGTATTTGACTCAAAGCTAACGCGGCTTTTCTTTTTTTTTTCAGGTCTTCTCGCCAAAACAGTCTGTGTCTGGATGAAGACGGTCTCTAAAAACCTGGATGGATCCTAAAGCTGTTGTGTTTTTGGTGCCTCATCTGAGAACTTGCTAGCTTTTGGACGACACATTTCGCAGAGTTAAAGAGTTTATTCCATAGCTCGGGTTTTTTGACACTTTAGTGCTCAGAGAAAAGTAATGGGGACAGAAGAGGGGGAGGATGCCTCACAGAAACCCACGGCTGAGGTAAAGACAGAAATAGAAGAAGATGTGACCTCTGGCCACACCTGTGGGGTGTGCGGGCGCAGCTTTCCACTGCTCAGCTCTTTGTCTCAGCACATGAGACGACACACACGGGAGAAACCGTACAAGTGTCCGTACTGCGAACACAGGACTGCCCAGAAGGGGAGTCTGAAAGCCCATATTCGAAGCCACAAACTAGGTCTGTTCAGCCAGAACCTCAGCGACAAGGAGTGTGAAATGGAGCAAGAGCTCAAAGCCAACACAGAGGTTTCAGACCCTCCTGATACTGACTGCACATCTGCCAAAGCTCTCAGAGTCAACGGGAAGGTAAAGAAGAAAGAAACCAAGAAAAAGGTGAAGGGTAAAGAAAGTGCTGCGGCCGATAGTGAGTCCTGTTCCTGCACCATCTGTGGCCAAGTCTTTCCTCAGGTACTGCTCTTGAAATCCCACATGAAGAGGCACCGCAGCTCCCAGGATCACGGCTGCAGGATCTGTGGTCGTCGTTTCCGCCAAGCTTGGTTCCTCCAAAGTCACATGCGCATTCACCGGGTCAAAGCTCAGCTAAAAGGTGGCAAGAGCAACGAGCCACCAGCCACGATAAACGGAGTCCCTCAGGACCCGGCGTCGCTCATAAACGAAGAGTGCCTCTATGAGCTCTGTGCCAGCTGTGGGAACTTCTTTTCCGACCGCAAGACACTGCGAATTCATGAAAAACTGCATAAAGTGAACCACAGCCGCACTCAGGCACCAAATCCAACACAGGAGGACACTGCTGAAGTACTCGACACGAAGAGACAGTTTTTAGAAAGCTTGAACCTCACCGGTGTTGGAAAAACAGAAACTTCTGAGGAGAAGAGTCCAGGTAGACGCATCCCCGAACTGGATCCAGTTTGCAGCTACCAAGCATGGCAGCTAGCCACAAAGGGACGACTGGTTGAGGTCACAGAGAAATGCCTCGGATGGGAGGAGAGGCTTGCAGATGCTGAGGTGGCATATGACACAGAAAAGGGTGAGTATATCCCCCTGAAGCAAGAGAAGAAGAGGAAGCAAATCGACGTCCCTAACTCCAAAATTAAGAAGATAAAGGGCGATACGAGCCTGGATCAGACATCGAACAGCTCAGCTCACACTAAAGGAGGAGAGAGGAGGATTTGCCAGAAGGATCGTATTCTGTTGAACGGACTGGGTCATGCTTTTTATGAGGCACTGCAGAATAAGAAAGTCAAAGACGCTCACTTCACAGTGAAACAGACAAACAACATCAGGAGCCAAGTGCAGGAGGGTAAGCCATGCACACGCGACATCATATTCACTGTGCTGTAGGAGTGCTGCAATATAAAGAGGAAATCCAGTTCAGTTCCACTGGGCCCTTTTTTTTCTAATGAGAGGATGGTGTGTTTGTGGACATGCAGGCTCAGACTTCTTGTGACAAAAACTGCATGTTTTATATGTTCAGGGTAGTCTCTCAATGAATATTACTTTCAGTTAAAGTGAGGCCTTCAGTATGCAAACTCAACTCAAGAACATCTCTTTAAAATCTGATCAGAGCAGCTAAAATGTAGCATGGCCATGTGGAAAAGGGAGACCTCTGGTGGTTTTCTTTTATGACTGCAGCAACAGTGCTGCACTTTTTGTGCTCCAGGTATTCTCCACAGTTGATAGGAGTCGAGTGATACCTGTACTGAAACAGATAATTATTATAAGTTAGTGAAGATGAGAAGAAGTGTGTACAGTGGACAGCAGCACAGAGGACATGAGTGCACCATCTTTGACCTTGTGGCAGAGGATGACTTTTTTTCCGCAGGCTGCCATTAAAAACGCAGAAATCTGACCATAAAGAACAGCTGTCAGATTTAAACTTTGAGTAGTTGTAAGTTGTATTATTGAACCAGCAAGTAAACACAAGAATAGTAGCACTATGATCCAACAAACTACAGTAGGATAAATAATCAAACCGTTTCAAACGTTGACAGTGAAAGTGAGGCTTTCAGTGTGCAAAGGGAGCTTTTTAATCATTTTAAGGTAGCCCATGTCGTATTTGATATGGTAATGCATGTCATACTACAAAATATCCTGCGAGACAGAGAAAGTGTTTGTTTTTAATATTATATTGACATTTACTTCGATCTGTAAAGCCATCACAGTCAGCAGAACCCTCCTCATTCTTCCTGTAAGTCAGTGTGGTGTAAATGTCTCTAAACTTCATCCTGATCATGTGTCCTTTGTGTTTCCTGCACTGCCTTGTGGATGTGATGTGGAGGGGATGGTCTCTACCTGAGGATAGTCTGGTTTGCCTAGAGTTTTTGGTGCTTTATCAGCCCCTCAGTCAAATTAAGTGCATGTCCATCACTTTGTCTTTTTTGTGCTTTCTCACAGATAAAAAATCATACTTCTGCGAGCACTGTGATTTCCACTGTGGCGACGCCTCACTACTCAGGTCTCACCTGCTCCGGCAGCACCAGGACTTCCTGGGCCCCTACAGCAAACACATCACTATTTTGGACAACTTTAACCAAACCGGATCCAAAGCCTCAAAGTACATGGACTACCTCAGAAACAGGAGCGCACTGCTGAGTCAGCCATACTGGAATCCTTACACGTGTCCACCTATTCAGGACGTCAAACCAGAGAAGTCAAATGGCACTGAGGTCAAAGGGCAGGAACAAACGTCTACTGATGCTGGAAGTCTTCTTAATCTGTCCTCATCACCCTTAAATGAAGGAGAAAGCACTGTAAATCAGACGGTTAAAAAAGAGGGTCTGGTGAGACATCAGTGCCCCTACTGCTCCCATACCAGCACCTACCCAGAGGTGCTATGGATCCATCAGCGGGTTGCACACAGAGTGGACGGTAGTAGCTCTGTGGCACCCAAGTGGGCCCCCTGCACTGTCAGCCCAAAGAGTTTAAAGGCAAGTGCGACCCCCTGGAGACGCACAGGACCACCGCCATTCCTCGAAGGCAAAGACTGTCCCACTTTACCCACTCCAAGAACTCAGCGCACACAACCTCCAGGGGTCACAACGCAGGGCAGCGGCAAACAGTCCACACCCAAGACCCAATCAGGAGTCCCAAAGTCCAAGGTGAAGGATTCTCGTTCTTCAGATGGGACACAATCAAGCGAGAGGACTAGACTCTTATCACAAAAGAAGTCTGGACATCACCGGGTAGCGGAGGGGGAAAGCAAAAGTACCCAAGCTACATCATCGAGCAGTACTGTTCACAGCAAGGGTGCCACCAGCTCCCAGTCCACCAGTAGACCCAAATACAGAAGCCACAGAGCTGTGGTGGAAACAAGCTTTCCACAGGAGGGTTTGGGTTTTATGTTAGCCAAAAATCATGGTGGGACTTCCTCCAACACCCCAGACAGACACCACCATCGTAGACAGTCATGTGACTCATCCTCAGGTCCAAAAGGTCCTAACCTGTGGGCTGCCATGAACATGTGGGGTCACAAGGCATATCTAGAGCCACTCCAGTTTGCTCAGGGAAAGAGTGAAGCAGTGGGAGAGACGCCCATGGACATTGATATTTTGAGTCTCCTGAAAAACTACAGTCCCCAAGACCTGGCTGCTCTTTACCAGCACTGGGGGTTTGTGGACCCTAGGATCGACCCACAAGGTGAGAGTGATCTTTGATTTAAGGGTCCCTGATAAAACTAAAGATAGATGATAAACCTTCTACAGTTAAAAAGGGTTACATATGTGAAAATCCTCTTTTTATACTCCTCTTTTACAGCAATGTTGCAGTTAAATGGAAATTATGGAAAAGAAGTCCATCCCACATCTGATGCTTCAAAACAGGTAACTATTGTTCATTTTCACAAACATAAATCTCAAAACAGTCCCTTCCAATAAGACAACGTCCTGTAAAAAAAAAAAAAAAGCCAATTTAAAAACCGAATGAGTGAAAAATTATCTTTATATATCCACCTGAAAATATAAAATTGATTAAATCACACAGATGAAAACTAAAGTATATTAAAATACAACTTAATTTGATCATCATCATGATTGGATAAAGCAGAGCCTTGGAGGTCAAATATAAGGAGTGCATATAACATGGATACATCTTCTATCACAGTTAAATGTGTTACACAGTTGAATCCAGACTTTTTTCATCGGTTGTTCCATGATCAGGATCAGTCTTTATTTCTTTTATTCTCATGTATGTATGTACACTACAGGCCAAAAGTTTGGAAGCAAGGCCATTACAGGCCGAACAGTTGGGAGTAACTTCAAGTTTTTGTTCACAATGCTTTTTTTAAATCCAGCAGGAGTTTTATGTATTTTGGGATGTATTTACTCCATGATCAGATGTTGCTTTCATGGAAATGCACCATTTTACTCCATTTACCTTTAGATATACATTGATGTTAACAGACCATTGCTAAATATATGTCAGCAAAAGGAAATAAGGGCTTAGTTTTAGGGTCAAAAACATTTGCAAGAGTCACAACTTCAGTGCAAAAGCAAAAAAACAAATCACATTTGGATTATTCACTTCAACTTTTTGGCTTTTGAGAGTCTGCATACAAAAATCCTAATAAATCTCAACTGCGTTCAAACTACTGAAGAAATAACTAGAAAGAAGCAACTGAGTAAAGAAACAAAAGTACAGATTTGTACATTGAGGAAAGAAGGATACACAGAAAGAGAAATTGCAAAACGCCTAAAGGTGTTTAACAAAGAAGTCCACTACACTCTGAAGAGACTAGAGGAACCTGGAAGTTATGATGATAGAAAAAGGCCTAAATGAAAGAGAATTACTACAAAAGCAGAGGATAAACATAGCATTGACACCAGTAAGAGAGATCGGCGAAAGACAGCACCACGAATAGGGGAGGAAATCAACATGACAAGGTCGAAACCCATATCTCTGACAACTGTGAAATGACGTTTGAGAAAGGCTGGTCTGAAGGGTTGTGTATCTGCAAAAAACACTACTTCATCCACAGAACAAGAAAAAGAGATATGAGTGGGCAAAAGCTCACAAAAATTGGACTTATGATGACTAGAAACAAGTTTGAACTGTTTGGTTCAAGACGCAGAGTCTATGTCCGCAGACAAACTGGTGAACGTCTGAAAGCACCATGTGTTACACCCACAATTCAGCGTGGAGGTGGTAGTCCCATGGTATGGAGTGGGAGTAGGATGGAGTAGGAGATTTGTTTGAATTAAAGGGTATCATGAGGAAGGAACAGTACCACTCCATCCTCCAGCACCATGCTGTTCCATCTGGACTCAGACTTGTGGCTCATAAGTTTGTTTTGCAGCAAGACAATGACCCTAAGCACTCTGCCAAGCTCTGTCAGGGTTACCTAGACAAAAAAGAAGAGGAAGGTGTTCTTCAAAAGATGGTTTGGCCCCCTCAGTCTCCAGACCTTTCTCCAATTGAGCTTGTGCGGGATGAATTGGATCGATCGGTCAGAAAAACGCGTCCCATGAATCAGCAGTCTCTTTTTAATAAACTTAAGAAAGCTTGGAATGCAATCCCTGGTACATACCTTAAAAATTTGTGGAACGAATGCCTGGTATATGCCAAGCTGTTGTTAAAGCCAGAGGAGGTTCCTTCAAAGAAAGCAAAGTCTAAGAAACAATAACTCAAATACCTAATAATTATAGTCAAAATGTCTTCTGATAAGTTACTCTTGACACAATAGTCATGTTTATTGGGTCGCAAATTATATATGTGAAACTATGATCTTTTTTTGTACAAATCTGATCTTGCTTCCAAACTTTTGGCCTGTAGTGTATGTATGTGGCTGTTCTACAACCTGACCACTGACTTCTTCAATCTGACTGTCTCTCCCTTCTCATTAGATGAGACAAACTTAGATCAAAGAATAAAGCATTGTCAGTCCCCTGAGGGAAAACTCACCCTGCATCTTCATATGGTGTGTCATCAGCCTGCCAGTCAGGCTTACCCTGATGCTACCTACGGCTGTCCATGCTTTCTCCTCTTTTCCCCTTGAGTCAAAATGTGGGCCACTTCTTAAACACCATGATGGGCTCTCAGTGTGTAGGGGTGAAGAATTACAAATCAGATAATACGGATGAAAAAGCATTACTTGACATTTTATTCTATTGTTTCATCAACATTAAAAAAACAGAATTAATAATTGATAATACTGTTAGAATGTCAGACCATGCCATGCTTACTTCAGTTTGTTAGGCCTCAACAACAACACAAATCTAAACCCTGATATATCTATCATAAGGCTGTATGAGCTCATCCTGAAATAGTTCCGTTATTAACACCAAACTGTTTCTTTAAAGTAAAGAAAACAAACATGGCTGAGCCATAAAAGAATAAATTCATCAAACTGGTGTGCCCCTGTCTTGTTTCCTCACAGGTTACCAGCCACTCATCTTCCTCTTCAGGGTCTCTCCATAAAGGAACATGAAGATTTGGGGCCGGTCCTGTCATCTTTCAGTCCGCACAATCTTGCTGTACTTTGAAGAAATCAGCCATAACTCCTAAAAGGACTGAAGCACACTAGGTGATGCACAGTATATGCAAAACAATAATGTGGACTCTTTTTTTGTGATGGAGTTTAATTTGAAGTTCCAAACAGGGTTTTGTTTGTTACGAGTGTAGAAGTGTTTGGTACCAGAACACACTTATTTCTGAGGTAGTTAGAGTTTATTGTAAAAACAAACACAGCTGAGGTGGAGGTTAGGTGTGGAGCGACATTTGCATGGTGGGATCTGAAAAAAAAAATCCAACCTTATTTTTTTATGTTGATACGAACATTTTATTTCATTTTAATGTCTGTATTTATGGTTCAGTTTGTTGTTTTCATGAAGCCCATAAGCTTATTGAATGCTCTGTTTTGATTTTGGGTTCAGGACTAGTACTGTGTTAATGCCTGAACATGAAATAATGCACTTCAGCATGACCTGGTTAACTGTAATATGTGGTTTCTTTAGAGTCATCTGCAGTGCTTTGTTTTAATCTCTTACTTTTAGTTCTAGTTTTCAAATTCAGCTTCACATTGATGGTTTTAAAATAAGGTCCTGTTTCTTTAGAGGCTTTTTTGGGTGGTTATAGAGGAGCTTAATCCAACCAGAATCCAGCCTTTAGCAGTACAGACTTATCGTCCCACTCACACTTGGAAAAGAAGATGCTGGGCTGTGTTTTAGCCTCACACTGGATGTTGTGATCTTTAAGTGCTTCAGCCCACAGTCATGAAAACCTGGATTGACTTCATCAAAAAAAGGTGTTCAAGTAAATCCCATTAATGTGACTGAGTCTCCGTATTTACCAATATCACTAAACCATTGACCTTTGGCAGAAAAAGAGTTTTCACCAAAGGTTAAAAAAAAGAGAAAAAAAAGAGTGCCAGCGCCGTCAAAGTGACATTTTTATGGTGAATCTTCTTAATTATTAGTTATTGATCTGAGGCTCATTCCTGATTGGCTGTTTGCCTGATTGGCGTTTTAATGTTTCAAAATTTTGTTTTTTCTTTTAATGATGACTTTGGTCAGACACTTTCTGTTTAGGTCTTTAAAACAGAAAGTTCAGCATATTCAAAGCTACTTTACAGAGCTTTTGGTTTGTGTTGATTTTGGCGCCCCCTGTGGACAAAGTGATTCCTCTTTTTTTCTTGTCCTTGACATGTAAAATGGTATTTGCAGATAAGAAACTCATCCAGTTGACTCTGAAAAATTAATTTACTATGAGTATTTGCTGTGAAAAGGTCAAAATAGGAGTTGTCTGTCACTTATCTTGTCTGGCACTTACCCTCCCTCAGCTATTTTTAGCATCAGATATTACCACAGTACCACATGTTACAGAAGGTCTTGTTTACTTTTGAAGATCATAAAGAGGCATCAGTTTTAGTCAGTTTTACAGCCAGTTTAAAACTTCTCACAGTAGCTTTAATTGTCGCCACTTAGTTACTTGTTCAACTTCAATGTTTTATACAAGATGATATTACATGTTGTTCAAAGTGAGTTAAAGTAGATGCGATTAGTTGAGATAACCCTTCTAGGTTTGGTGTAAGCAGTCAGTGTGAACATGTCTGGCCACCACTACAAAAGTGCCCCCCTCCCCAACCCACCCCCAGTAAAAAAAAAACTGTCTTCCCATGCAAGTGAAGTGAATTAAATGTAAACAATCAAACTTCAACCGCATTTTCCCCAGTCTGAAATTGAACCTTTACGTCAAATGCAAAAAGTGGCACTATGGTCTGTATCACAGAGAATATCCCAGTGGCAAAGTCATCCAACTACTGCCAAAAATGATGCTCAGAATAAAAAAATCTACTGACAGTAACTGACGGTCTGTCTAACAAGTTTACAGTGAAATATGATGTCCCATTTTTTATTTCATTGCAGAAATAGATTTTTTCCACCCATCAGAAAAGTAGAGTGACGTTTGCACTCATCTAATACTGTACTGAAGCGATATAATGCTGTGATTTTTAAGTAGAAACTGTAGCAAGAATCAATTCTACTGATGTGGACTTCACTCACATACGCCAGACGAGCTAATGTAATATTTTTGTTTGACTTTTTAAAACTCAGCTCATTCTGAATTTATTTTAATGTGTTTTCTGTTTGAAGGTTTGTTTAGTAAGTTTTTATTATAGTTCTAATTTACTGTAATCACCTCCCATAGAGAAGTAGTCTATGCATTCGGTAATAAGCCATCATCTTGTGGATTCTTGAGAGAAGTTGAGAATTCACGATTTATTATTGGATTATTGATCTGTGTGGAAATTGTTTTTTTTAATACTGTAAATGACTGTTTATTTAATACTTTTTTGTTTGTTTATTGAGAGCGGGTTTTCAACACCTCAAAGTACTTGATATTTGTAGTAACAACAGAAAATGTAAAAAAAAAAAGTGTTTGTTTCAGAGTGCAGGGTGTGTAAAATGTGATTCTCCTACTGACGGTGTGATTTACAGCGATCTGTAAAAACAAACCTGCAGGGAACCAAAAGTGAGACAGTGAATTTATGCAAGCTTTTATGCACACTTACAGCGTAAAGTTGAGCTCTCACTGGTGTAAACATGTTTCATAGATTGTTATTATGCTGTTACAGAATTTCTATTTTTACCAGTTCCACTTTTTGTCTGACTGTAAAAATATACAAATAAAATTGGTCAATGTTCATTTCCATGAAAACAGGGCTGTTGTCTTCATTGTCACCCGAAATTCCAGCTATGATGAAATGTTTCACAATTACACGACCACATTATTATTATTGTACCTTATGAGTTAGCCTTTTTGATATCATACTTCACCAGGCACGTTTTTTTAAACTTTACTGAATATTCAGAAATTTGCTTGCATCTTGAAAAGGGGGTAAACTGTAAGATGCATTAGAAAACAGCTGGACCGTGAAGACAACTAAATGTATACAAAATAAAATGTACTCAAGGAGAATGAAAAGGTTTAACATCAGGCACATAAAAATATGGAAGCATAATGCATTCACCCCCCCCCCCCCCAAAAAAAAAAAAAAAAAAAAAAAAGAGAGAAAACTATTTTTGAGTATCTGTTTTTTCTTTACTGTTTTTTGGACTTTTTTTTTCTTCTTTCTGTTTTTCTGTTTTTTCCCTTCTGATTTTTTGTATGAATATTCTTTTCTCCTCTTTCTGTATTTTGGACAAATTTTAATTATGTTTTTGGTACAATCCCCCCCCCCCCCATCTTTCTGTTTTTTTCCCCCTAACTAAGGGAGATACTTCAAAATCCTGCAAGAATCTCATACACTCAGATAACGTTAACTGCCTCGGCTGCTCCAAATCAGCGGAATCTCCAGCTCCTAGATAACATTGACCATTGGGTGAATAAGAGTAAAGCATGTTGTTAGTTAAACATGGTATGCAAATCCTGAGGTGCCTGTGCAAAGTAGACAAATTTACGACGGTTCTATCTACCTGACTTAAAGAAAGGAGTATCTCCTAGTGTGATGAAAGTGTCTGTTTTTCAATGATCATGATCCCAGAGAATTAGAAAAACAATTAGTCTGAATAACAAAACAGAAAAAAATTAGTCCGAAAAACAAAAAAGAAAAAAAAAAATCTGAAAAACAGAGTTCTTTTTTATTTGGTGAATTGCAATGCAATTCAGTATAAAGGCGACCATTCTCCAGCCTGTTTTAGAGGGAAAAAAATGAATGGCTACTTCCATGAGAGATAATGACGAAAGTGCACAGTCACAGGTATTGCAATGTCCCATCAAAGTTACAGGTATTATAAGAGCTTGTGACAGGCACGCACACCATATCTTCAGTTAGCGCCAAAGTCAGGCCCTCTCCATTGGGTTTTCACGAGCAAACTTGAAATTCATCAATTATAAGAGCCCATATGCCAAAAGTTATTTTACTGTCTTGTGTGAAATACCTTGAACTATAATGTCAAAACAACTTATCCACCAATACAAGAGAAGTTGTTTACCTGGTTGACACCTGAGATCATACATGGCACTTATCAGGTTCTGTTAAGTTTTACCCTTTGGGACCTCTGGGGTGTCCTACAGCAGCTTGTGTAGGACAGGACTATCCTTCCTTTTCTTGTATCAGCTTGTTGTAGCCTCATGGCTGCAATTCACCTATTCTACCAGAAGATGGCAGCAATGTCAAGTAAAAGATAAATCTGACCCACGGCTCTGTCACAAATACTCATCCTCACTGTTTTACTTCATGGCTGCGTGACTCCTTTATTTGGAGTTATAAAACTACAATTTCTCCTCTTTAAAAACCACTGTAAGCCTCTATCAGCCCTCTGTAATCCACCCTGATTGTTTTCCTACACTGCAAAACTTCAAATATAAGTTTGTTCTATTATCAGACAGCTCACTTAGGCGTCATTAAAATAAGACATTTTGAGACTGTTTAACTTTAAAGTTTGTCAAAATATTATGGAAAAATGGCAAATCATATTGAAATCATCTGTGCTGCTGAGGAAAAACTACATTGTGCAGAAAGGTTGTAACTGTAGCCTCTGCTGTCTGGCACATGGAGGAGGGATGAGCACTTGTACTTGTGAGTCTGTGTTTGTCAGTGCAGTGTACTCACTGCTCTGCCTGCATGTCTTTGTCACTATGTGTTTGTCAGCAGCTTGTGTTATGTCTTGGTGCAGTGACAGCATCAGTTTGCTGCCTGAGAGACATCAGAGATCATGTTTGCAGAGCTACCAGCATGAGGGCTGAGAGTCTGCGCCGGCCGCGGGGTCTGAGAGAGGAAACTGTCAGAGACATGCAGCATGGACATATGTCGTCTGACAGGAAACGCCTGGCTGATGTCAAGCAGGGAGTGGAGATGGACTGGTGGCCAGTGGGAGTGACAGCTGTCGGGACGCACTGTGTGTGTGTGTGTGTGTATTGTGGTTGTTGTTGTTGTGCTGCCTCTCGCTAGAGATCTGCTGTGAACTTTGTGCCTCACTAAAGTGGTTTTATTTCTTAATTTATTTATTATTATTTTTTTTTTGTTTTCATTTCATTTAATTTTTTTATTTTAACAGTTTGTCTCATTTCCTTTGGTCTTTTTTGTAAAGCTTCGTGAAGCTTCTGTAAAAACAGTGGGCTCATATCTCTACAGAGTTAGTCTGTGGTATTGGTAAGCCAATATCAGATTTTTTAAGGCCAATAGTGATACCCATACTGAAACCGATAATGTGAGAACAGGTCTATGACATTATGCTGCTTCCTCATTGTTGTGCTTTTGACAAAATACAAAATTTTTTGTATTTTCTGCAGTAAATGACAGAGGGATATTTGGGTAAATATAAGCTGATAGTTAAAGACAGTTTGCAGAGCCACTACATAGTTTTTCTCAAATTTGAGTTCAATCAAACTGCGATAGTCCAAATAAATGCTCAAAAATTTCTGCATTTGGTGAGTGGTTTGTCAAAAATGTCATGAGTGGGCTGGATTGTGCAGGCGAAATCTGGACCCAGAGTCTTGGTATTCTTGAAATCTGGATACAGCTCTGCTTTGGGGTGTGTAAATAAATTCATTTTAGGATTTTTGTGTTAGGTAACAATAAATTTAGTTTGCCGGACAAGTTTCCAAAAGGGGGCTGATCGTGTTGTTACGATTTGAAATACAGGGGGAATAAATGAGTCAATGTTTTTGTCATGAATCAAAATGTATCTGTTACTTAAGCTACTGTTGTTAGATTTAACTTTAATGAGACTCTGAGGGGTCTCATGATGTTAGCTTAATAGCAGCTGTGCATGCTTGTGATGACTACAGCATCTCTCATCTCATCTCTTGGCTTTTCAGACTCCTACAGATACAAACACCTGCTCTTCTCCCTGCTCTCCTCTCTCCTGCTCTGCTCTCCTCTCTCCTGCTCCGCTCTCCTCTCTCCTGCTCCGCTCTCCTCTCTCCTGCTCCTCCCCCTGCTCTCCTCTCTCCACATGTAGCTGCCTAGCTCCCTCGTACCTCTGTTGCACAAAATGTTGAGGATACACCGACTATCATTGATCTTAGCAGGAGCTGACACTTCCAGGTGCTCCCAAACTTTGTTTCAACAAAAGGCACCCCCTCCTCCACATTTATTTTTACTGTTGGCCTGTTAGTGAAGATCTGCCTCACACTGAACACTTAAATATTACAGATGACTGATGGTGGCTGACTGAAAGCCCAGCTCTGACCACGATCTTGAAACCACGACTTTTTCAAACCCTGTTAAACCTTGAAACTAGTAACTTTACTCAAGCAGCCACTGAATACCAAATCCAAGTTTGTTTCAAGGGAAACAAAAAAAATGGAATTTTTTAACTTAAGAAAACATAATCTGCTTTACTATACCTTTGCTCTTTAAGCCAGATTTGTATTATCTATTTCTTTAGCATCACAATTAATATTAAAAGGTTTAAGAAACTCCAGTGTCAACAACATCCGACTTCTCAATTTACAGCTGAGGACGAGACCTTGAATAAAGTAAGAGGAAGTTGGTCAGACCGTCATTATGAAGCTGCTTAAACAGAGCGAAGATGAAGTGTGACAGTCCAGGTAGAGAGGAAAGAGAAGACAGCATATCCATCAGATTAACACACAGTAATGTCTTCCTGCTCTGGCTTCCAGCATCAGTGATTTATCAATGCAAAGCTAATAGCATCAATATGAATCTAACTAAAAATCAATATTTCATTACCTAATTGTTAGCAGGAATGAAGAGGGATGATTGTACGAGACAGCGTCTGAGAGCATCTGGAGTTCACAGAGACATCTGGAGGACAAACTCCGACAGTAACATCAGCCACACTTTAAAAGAAGAGGAGGAAAAATCAATGTGGCCGGCTTTAATACGGTAAAACGCCACCAACAAACAGACAAAATACAATGATTTGTTGCATAATGCTTCTGCAAGGTTAAAACAATGTAACAACATCACATTTTATCAAATAAATGGCCACAAACGCACTCTCACACATAAACAGCACTCTGAGTAATCCATTAAAAATACTAATAGTCCAAAAAGGCTCCTGGTCTTTCAAAGAGATATCAAACACAGACTGCTGCCTCAGACGTTTTACATCCATCACTTACACACTGTTTAACAGTCTCAGCTAAAGTCAATACAGAGCAGCATGGTGACGAAGATGCCTCAAATAAATCAAGTTTAAATCTTTCAGCTGCACGAAGTAAATCAAACTGGAAAATGCTCATTTCTGCAGTGACTATGAAACCTTTGAAAAAGTTCAGATTTGACTAAAAGTCTTTGATTTTTTTAAATAGTGCCTTAAATTATTAAAACTTTGGTGCAAACACTTTATAAATACTGACAAGTGTTACCTTAGCATTAGTTCATACTAGCTATTAAGCATTAATCCTATACATTATTATGAGTTTGTACATAATTCAACAAAGTTATACATGTTTTGTGTTAATATTGTAATCTAGAATGTGTTTAATGGTTTTGCTCTAATACAACATACAAACTGAATTTGTATGATACCATGATTTAGGAGTCATGTTGATGCATCATTAACAGAGATCATTCAAAGGTGTATTAAAGGTTTGTGAGCCTGCCCAGTAAATACATACTAATACAGTTGTGCTGTCATCCAGGAGTGGACAGAAACTCAAACAGCTCGTCATCGCTGTTAGGAGCTCTAATGTTGAAAAAAGAAGAGAAAAGCAACGTTAGTGATTGAATCTGTTTAGTTGAA